TAGCCATGCGGAGACCGCGGGAGGAGCTGGAAGTCGTTTGGTTGATATTGTTTTGGAAGATACACCTCGCGTTCATTGCTGGGAGAGGAACTCCAGACGTTTGGGGTCATTGCTCCATGTTGCTGCCCACCAGCTTATTTGCAAGAATGTCTTGTAGATGGGTTGGTGGGCAGCGCCATTGAGGGGAGAAAACAGAGCACTTAATGGTGTGACGACTTTTGTGAAGATCATCGTTCCACAATGCAGTGGCGGGTCGAGCCGAAGTGTCAATCCCGGCTCAGGTGGGAATGCCAGGCACCGTCAGCTTCAAACAGCCACGAGGATTCCTTTTGATCCATGGTTCTGACCATTGCCCCGGAAGACCGGGAAACTAAGGTCCCTCAATGCCATGGATCGTCCATTGCGTTGAACACCGACACCATAAGAGGTGGATGCGACATGCACAGCCGCATGACATTCCCCAAAGAAGAACTGCAAGCTCAAAGTGGGACAAGAATGAGAACAAAGTGGGAACAAGAACCCCAAAGTGGGACAAGAATGAGAAGAAAGTGGGAACAAAGTGGGAACAGGAACCCCAAAGTGGGACAAGAATGGGAAGAAAGTGGGAACAAAGTGGGAACAAGAACCCCAAAGTGGGACAAGAATGGGAAGAAAGTGGGAACAAAGTGGGAACAAGAACCCCAAAGTGGGACAAGAATGGGAAGAAAGTGGGAACAAAGTGGGAACAAGAACCCCAAAGTGGGACAAGAATGAGAACAAAGTGGGAACAAAGTGGGAACAAGAACCCCAAAGTGGGACAAGAATGAGAACAAAGTGGGAACAAAGTGGGAACAAGAACCCCAAAGTGGGACAAGAATGAGAACAAAGTGGGAACAAAGTGGGAACAAGAACCCCAAAGTGGGACAAGAATGAGAACAAAGTGGGAACAAAGTGGGAACAAGAACCCCAAAGTGGGACAAGAATGGGAACAAAGTGGGAACAAAGTGGGAACAAGAACCCAAACTGGGACAAGAATGGGAACAAAGTGGGAACAAAGTGGGAACCCCAAAGTGGGACAAGAATGGGAACAAAGTGGGAAGAAGAAGTGGGAACAAGAACCCCAAAGTGGGACAAGAATGGAACAAAGTGGGAACAAAGTGGGAACAAAGGGGAAGGAAGAACCCCAAAGTGGGACAAGAATGGCAACAAAGTGGGAACAAAGTGGGAACAAGAACCCCAAAGTGGGACAAGAATGGGAACAAAGTGGCAACGAAGTGGGAACAAGAACCCCAAAGTGGGACAGGACAAGAATGGGAACAAAGTGGGAACAAAGTGGGAAGCCAGAGTGGGACAAGAATGGGAACAAAGTGGGAACAAAATGGGAAGAAGAACCCTGAAGTGGGACAAGAATGGCAACAAAGTGGGAACAAAGTAGGAGCAAGAACCCTGAAGTGGGACAAGAATGGCAACAAAGTGGGAACAAAGTGGGAACAAGAACCCCAAAGTGGGACAAGAATGGGAACAAAGTGGGAACAGTGGGACAAGAATGTGAACAAAGTGGGAACAAAGTGGCGGCAACAACCAAAAAGTGGGACAAGAATGGGAACCAAGTGGGAACAAAGTGGGAACAAGAACCCCAAAGTGGGACAAGAATGGGAACAAAGTGGGAACAAGGAAGAAGAACCCCAAAGTGGGACAAGAATGGGAACAAAGTGGGAACAAAGTGGGAAGAAGAACCCCAAAGTGGGACAAGAATAAGAGCAAAGTGGGAACAAAGTGGGAAGAAGAACCCCAAAGTGGGACAAGAATGAGAACAACGTGGGAACAAAGTGGGAAGAAGAACCCCGAAGCGGGACAAGAATGGGCACAAAGTGGGAACAAAGTGGCCAAAGTGGCAAGAATGGGAATAAAGTGGGAACAAGAACCCCAAAGTGGGACAAGAATGGGAACAAAGTGGGAACAAAGTGGGAAGAAGAACCCCAAAGTGGGACAAGAATGGGAACAAAGTGGGAACCAAGTGGGAAGAAGAACTCCAAAGTGGGACAGGAATGGGAACAAAAGTGGGAACAAAGTAGGAAGAAGAACCCCAAAGTAGGACAAGAATGAGAGCAAAGTAAGAACAAAGTGGGAAGAAGAACCCCAAAGTGGGACAAGAATGGGAACCAAGTGGGAACAAAGTGGGAAGAAGAACCCCAAAGTGGGACAAGAATGGGAACAAAGTGGGAACAAAGTGGAACAAGAACCCCAAAGTGGGACAAGAATGGGAACAAAGTGGGAACAAAGTGGGAAGAAGAACCGCAAAGTGGGACAAGAATGGGAGCAAAGTAGGAACAAAGTGGGACGAAGAACCCCAAAGTGGGACAAGAATCGGAACAAAGTGGGAACAAAGTGGGAACAAGAACCCTGAAGTGGGACAAGAATGGGAACAAAGTGGGAACGAAGAACCCCAAAGTGGGACAACAATGTGAACAAAGTGGGAACAAAATGGGAATAAGAACCCTGAAGTGGGACAAGAATGAGAACAAAGTGGGAACGAAGAACCACAAAGTGGGACAAGAATGGGAACAAAGTGGGAACAAAGTAGGAAGAAGAACCCCAAAGTGGGACAAGAATGGGAACAAAGTGGGATGTGGGAAGAAGAACCCCAAAGTGGGACAAGAATGGGAATAGGAACGCGATGGGAACAGAGTGGGAAGAAGAACTCCAAAGTGCGACAAAAATGGGAACAAAGTCGGAACAAAGCGGGGACAAGAACCAAAAAGTGGGACAAAAATCGGAACAAAGTGGAAACAAAGTGGGGACAAGAGGACAAGAATGGGAACAAAGTGGGAACAAGGTGGGAAGAAGAACTCCAAAGCGGGACAAGAATGTGGGAACAAAGTGAGGAACAAAGTGGGAAGAAGAACCCCAAAGTGGGACAAGAATGGGAACAAAGTGGGAACAAAGTGGGAAGAAGAACCCTGAAGTGGGACAAGAATGGGAACAAAGTGGGAACAAAGTGGAAGGAAGAACCCCAAAGTGGGACAAGAATGGGAACAAAGTGGGAGCAAAGTGGGAAGAAGAACCCCAAAGTGGGACAAGAATGAGAACAACGTGGGACCAAGAACCCCGAAGTGGGACAAGAACGGGAACAAAGTGGGAACAAAGTGGGAAGAAGAGCCCCAAAGTGGGACAAGAATGGGAACAAAGTGGGAAGAAGAACCCCAAAATAGGACAAGAATGGGAACAAAGTGGGAACGAAGTGGGAAAAAGAACTTCAAAGTGGGACAAGAATGGGAACAAAATGGGAACAAAGTGGGAAGAAGAACCCCAAAGTGGGACAAGAATGGGAACAAAGTGGGAACGAAGTGGGAAGAAGAACTCCAAAGTGGGACAAGAATGGGAACAAAGTGGGAAAATATGGGAAGAAGAACCCCAAAGTGGGACAAGAATGGGAACAAAGTGGGAACAAAGTGGGAACAAGAACCCCAAAGTGGGACAAGAATGTGGAACAAAGTGGGGAACAAAGTGGGAAGAAGAACCCCAAAGTGGGACAAGAATGGGAACAAAGGGGGAACAAAGTCGGTAATCCAGTCCAGTCCAGTCCTCCAGCAAGTCGTCCAGTCCAGTCGCCCAGTCGCCAGTCGCCCATCGGGACTATGGACTGTGGATTGTGCACTGTGGGACTTTGTGGACTTTGGACTTTGGTGGACTTTGTGGACTGTGTGGAGTGTGGGGACTGGACTGTGGACTGTGGGGACTGTGGGGACTGTGGGGACTGCGGGGCTGTGGCGACTGTGAGGACTGCGGGGGCTGTGGTGGACTGTCACACTCCTACGCACATGAGGCATCAGGCTCTATGCAGATCAAGCGAAAACAAGGTTGGCGGTCGCTTGTCATCGCTTTTGACGACATGTTGCTGGGTGGCTGGGGCACCACGGTGCCCCGGCACGCTGATTCTGAACTGCCGCAAGCCCGCATAAGCAGAATCGGAGTTCAGCGATTTGTGAGGTCTTGAAGGACATGACGCACTTTGACATTGCAGCTGAAAGGCGTGAGGCTATTGCATGCTTCACAGGCGCTTGGAAGTGAACCTGATGATGTGCAAGCGCGCACAGCAAACGCAACGCCGAGCAAACGTTTGCAGTGCGAAATGCTTGCAGCGTGATCACTGCATCTTATTTACATTTCATTGATGGTTGGGAACAGTGTTCATCGTTGTTTGGAATTGCCAGCATCAATCATGACTCAGACCCCAAAACAAGTTTATAGTATGTTTGCTCATGTTTGCGACCAAGAACGCTTTCGGAATGGCTGGCCCAACGTATTTTCATTCAGAGCAGCGGGTTTGCCTGATTAGGGTCATTTGTTAACAAAACACATTGCGCAAAAACTTCTTCTGTTCAGGTATGACGAATATGTGAGATGTGGGGTCTTGTTTGACCAGTTTGCAAAATCACAAATTCGATAATCGTGCCCCAATATGCTTTACTGTTTGCAAAATGCAACCTTTGTTGAAGAGTACGTTTGGTTCTCATGCTGCGCATTTTCTTGTTGGAGGCACGTACTGGTTTCGAAGGTGTTGGGTACAGTGTGGCTGTGACCTTGACCGCCTTGATCCCGGAGAAAAAATGGTTGACCAAGCCCAGTGGCATCGATGACATTCAGCTCAATGAATGTGGGAATCAATGGATGGAATGCCCGGCTAAAGGCAAAACCTTTTCCTGAAAGATGAGTTGCTCGTTTGGCATGGTGCCTTGGATGTCCTTTCGCTAATTGTCCAGACGCATAGGCCATTGGCAACAGTCGCCAGTGATGAAACGCAATCACATGCAGACGTGGGAAACAACAAGCGCACCACACAAACACACGCCCTTTCATTGGCAAACTTTTGATACACCGCACATGCAGCTGTTGGCAGCTTGACACTTTGAGGCTCAAGCACATGCCAGTGTGTCAAATAAACATTTGGTTCCGCATGGCAGTCTTTTTTGGAGCACCAGGCTTTCTTCGTGAGACTTGCAGCAGCTCGTATGCAAGTAGGTTCATTGGGGCGGCAATTTCCGGAGTTCACTGCCGATGCTTTGAGCCCGGCCACTTCGATCACCAGGCAAGTGCCATTTGGACAGTCAGCCAGAGTTGTTTTGTTGTTGCCAGGATGGCGAGCCCAGATGGGCGGACGAAGTTGGCCAAACTGAAGCCGAAAGGCAGCACAGGTGCTTGGGCAGAAGTTTGTGTTGGCAACTTCCGTTAACATGCTGAGCGTGCCAAGCAAGTCAGTGCATGTCTTCTAATCCTGTGCCATGTGTCCTGCCTGGAGGTAAACTTTCCAACTCCACGTCAGCAGCGGGCCTGCAGTCCGGCGAGATCGATTGGAGGCAGGGTTCTTCTTTTTGTGTTCTGGCGTATGGGTCCGTCTCAAAATGAGTGAAATCTGGAAATGGTTGATTTACTTTTGGTTTCTCTTTGAAACAGAACCCTCAAACACACGGACACATATGCTGTTGAGTCACATAGTCCGAGACACGCTTCTTTTTGCAAGTGCCCCGGCTCCAGGGTTTTTGGCCTGGATCTTGAGCCTGGGGCCATTGGTGTCCTGGCCTCGGTGCCTTCGTCATGCTGCGGCTTAATGCACATTGGCACACGCTTCAAGCATGGTTTCAGAAGACAACCAAAGGGGAGTCGACCAGCTAGAAGTTCCTTCTTTCACACAGCCTCACTTGCTTTGGCTCAATTTTGGAGCTGCGACAGGCGGCCCGATCACCTGTGCCTCCTCCCCCGAGGCAAAGATCGAGTGTCGGCCATCCCTCTTCTCCCCCCCGCACCCTCAAAGCCCTTTTGAGAAGCCTCTTGGAAGTTTTCGTAAAGTCGTCCTGGGAGTTTCTCCGTCCACATCTGCAGTGCAGACGTGTCCAGCCCCGCAGGCTTGGGAGCGGACCTGGCGGTGTTCCGCAGAAGCGAAGCACGGCTGGCGTGAGGCTGGACAGCCTGGACAATCCGACCTCATTCGACTCGGTGGACCTGTCCCATTTGCGGTCCACTGTGAAGCGAGCGCCTGGCTACCAGGAGACACCACAATTGAATATGACCAATTGAGACCTCAAGCAAAGAATATGTGGGATTTGAGACCTTTCTTTTTTGTTTTTGACACCTGTGAGGAGCAGCTGCCTCCGCTCCTGACTCTGCTAGAAGAGCGGGGGGTGGACTATGGCCGTCCCAACGTGGACCGGGACGTGCAGCTGCCGCTGGAGGCCTTCGAGGACACCACGATGTGGACGCGCACCCCTGAGGAGTGGCAGCAGCTCATGTGGGACGAGTCCAGGCGCTTGGGGACGTTCAAAGGACGCCAAGAAGGGTTTGGCGGGACAGTTTTCCTAGAGGAAAGCCCAAAGATGCTGGTTGTCCTTTGAAGGGGAAAGCCAAGAGCCAAAAGCGGCTCGCTTCTTTCTTCTTCTCGAGTTTCAAGCCTGTAGGCCTTGCCCCCTGGCCTGCACGGCGCTCCGCACTATGGAGGATGGCAGCGGGCGCTGGCAGAGCGGGAGCGCGCTCAGCTGGGATGCTGCTAGCCAGCGGTACAACGTGAAATGGGCCAATGGTCAGGAGGACAAGGTGCTGAGCCTCCACGTATTTTTCGAGGGGGACGACCCGGTGCTTTTCGCCGACCGCCTGAAACACGCGCTGCAGAACAGAAGATATGCCAATAGTCTTCTGAAGTATCATTTCTTTGTGGACAGCATGCCGGAAGACCGTTCCCGCAAGATTGGACGCGAGTCTGTGGCACGCATCTCTGAGCTGGCCAAAGGCATGCTATGGGATGCCAACAGTGAGTTTGCGGACAAACTGAACGGCAAGCTGGAAACCTTGCTGCAGGAGGCGCAGAGGGAGTACATCCGGGTGCAGAATTTAATTACATTTGAGAAGGTCCGCAATCACGGGAACCTCACGGTGCTTCCGCCAGATCTGGTCTTGCCACCGCCGCCGGAGAAGCCTTTGGTGCCGTACCTGGCAGTGAAGGTGTTGCCCTCTTGGGACACCCTGACGATGGGCGCGGATCCCCAAGTACCGCGGGGCTTCCGCCAAGCCTTCGAGTGGTTCTGCAAGGCCGCCCTGGTGATCCGGCCCGAGGTGTGCGCGGCCTTGCAGGCGGGCTTTGTCCAAATCAGGGACCTCCCCCCTAAAATATGTTTTCCCTTAAAGAAAGGAAAACAAATGGAGTGAGGTGCATGTTCCCTGGTACATACCCTGAGACCCAGGTAGCGCGGGGCATGTGTTTGGACCTCCTCACAGAGAAGGTCTTCGAGACCGCATTCAACTCCCCCTTGAGGCTGCAGGAGTTTTCCGAGCGCCAGGAGGGCATGGCTCCTCAAAATAGGGAGGTTTTATCCCCCCCAAAATGGGTGGCTGGTTTGCTTTGGGTGTTTTCAGAAAATCACCAAAATGGAATGACTTTGGGTTTCACCAGGAAGACCAAACAGTTCGTAGTTTTTGCAATTGGTTTCCACAGAAAAACCAACCCGAAAAAGTGCCGATCCTCAAATAGCCACGTCCCCAGGAGGCATCGATCATGCGCCTGAAAGGGCGCCTGGGGATGTGGGTGAACACCATCCGCCAGGACCTCAGAAGAACCGCTTGGAACTGCTCAAAACGCGCTTGCTGCAAGAGCTGGAGCCATGTGCAAGCCAAATCGCCCAGGCATGCGTATCACGCAGTGCCTGCAACAGGCCGGTGCAGCGACACCAAACACTTGCTTGCAGATAACTCTCTTGCATTCCTGGCAGGCAACTGTGAAGTGGTATCACCTCAATGAGACGTCTATTGAGCACGGCCGTCATGGTTGTGTGTCCGCTGCCGCTTCGGCATTGCTGAGATTCAGCCTATGTTTGCTGAGCTAGTGGAGAATGAGCAATGGCAGGAACTACAGGGCGAGCCGTTTGCGACCGATGTTGGTGTGCTGTGGTTTGATGATGTCAGAACCTGAGACCCAAAGCGCTTCTTGCCAACTTCAGCGCCTCGAAGGTCCAACGCGTTCCTCCTCCTGGCAGAGGAGAGCGTTGGAAGCAGCCGCCAGTGTCGGATGGCATTGTTCACGGCCTAAATCAGTGGGTTTTGTTTCCAGGACAACCTCACATCATTTGTGCGGCTCTCAGTCCGACGTCTCGAAGACTTGGCGATGCGGCACAAACCAAAAGGTGAGCATTGCCGCTTGCCCTGAGGTGAAAGTGCTTGAAGGCCTCACACCACTGCGGGTGTGGTGCTTATTGCCCTGGATGCATGGCGCAACTTCCAGTCCTCCCGGTCCAAGTGGCTGAAGAGCCCCAGGTGGAGATGACGAAAGATCGGCATGTGCTCCGAACGCTCAGGAATATCGCGGGAGCCCCGGAAAGGACGCGAGGTCTCAATATGGGAAACCCTTTTTGGAAGGCTTTGAAGGAAGATGAAAAACAACCCTAGTTTTGAGGCCAGCGATTCATGAATCCTGACAAATAATCGCTTTCTCTTTACACATAGGCTTGCTTGGCTTTTGCAAGATCCATGGGGTTCTCGCAGGTGAAACCAGATCCTGACAAGGACGAGATTGCAGCCTCCTGAGTTTTGCCGGCTTTCTTCGGCATAATTTTTCACATCCAGCCCTCCAGTTTGCGCCTCCGCTGAAAGCGTTTCTTCAAGTCTCAACGTGAGGCCTTGGAACCGGTCTTCAAGAAGGCGCTCTTCAAGGCCCGGGTAGGTAACCACTTCAAAAGCAAGAACACCCATTCAATTCCTCTCCTTTTCTTTTCTCCGGGTCCCGGGCAGTTTCGGGCAAGGTGGAGATCGTGCTTAACCCTCAACTGGCAGCGAGAGCGGCAGCAGCCCATGCCTTTGCGTGACAAGATCCTGAGCTTCACAGAGCAAGTGGCATGAGCCCAGGCGGAGGCTGCGGTGGAAGGGGACAAGAAGAAAGAAGAGAAGAAAGGCCTGCTGACGAGTATCAGTGTACCAGTTGCTTCGGCTGACAGCTTGGGCAAAACCGTTGGCGCCATTGCGCCTTTGTTGACTTGATGTGTTCGCACGCAGGCAAGGAGAAGGGCAAGGACGGCGCCAATTTTATGAGCTTGTTTGCATGCGGTTTTCTTTCAATGGGGAATCCCTCGTTAAACGGGCAGTGTGTTAGTTTTTTCTATATCACCCTAAAAAAGGAAAGCTCAAAAAAGCGACAGCGGAGCAGTTCAGCATACACCTGACTCCACAGGAGGAGGAGAAGAAGGTCGAGGGTCCTCCAATGTTGCACTTTGCATACAAGCCCGCGGCTCAGCTGCTTGGTTTCAGGGTTTCCGAATTCCAGAAGCCATGAGACGCGTTTGCCTGACATTTCCAGGACCGACTTGGGAGAAGCAAAACAGGCTCGGGCGCTTCGAGCTCTCGTGGCTTTCTTGAAGCCATCAGGCAGTGCTCACCATGTTCGACAAGGGAATGGCATCCTTCCGTGATGTGCATAGCATCGAAAGTGTTGGCATCTCAGTTTGACACAGATACACTCAAGTTTGGCTGCGAGCATAGCTCCAAACCGCCACTGGTCGCATACCCTGCTATTGTAGGGAGTAGTGGTTTGGAGGTCACATTCGGAAAATCGCATTCGCTGCACCTGCGTGAAGGTTCTGCTGCCCCATCTCATTCGCGATCATCACCTGGACTGAATTGTTTGCAGTTTTTGGCAACATGCAAGCGGCCTGTGCGAGATTGTGGGCATGCCACAGAAGCTTTGTGCCTCTAGCTGCATTCGGCAGGATCCCATCTTCACCCCCAACGATGAATGGGTGACTCAGCTTCGCGAACGGCTTGAGGCCAGGGCCTATGAACTTTGATTGTGCCCGTCTGTCCTTTGCGGATGGTGTCAGCGAAACACCCAGCAAACGCAAACCACTTGTCTTATTGGGGCCGGTGATTGAGCAACCCCACCTGGGTTTGTGGAGTTTCCCTCGCGTTTGACGCCCGATCAGGAGACCCTGGCCAAGCAGGAGCCATGGCTGCAAGGGATCCTCGAGGCCTTCGAGAGTTTCAAGGACGGAGCCTTCGGAGGGCTCAATGTGACAGGCTCCACCTGGCAGCTTTGCAGCTTTGAGTTTTTGGTGTGATGGTGGGGGTTGAGATACTGCTTTGCCATGCCAGCACATGTACCATACACGCAGCATTTGATGCCGCTTCAACTCGCAAGGGAGTTCTTTGTGTTTTCAGGATGTCGTGGTCATGGATCCGGAGGCCTGGCAAGCCGAAACTGCCGTCGCCGATCCTCCCTAGCGCTGAGGTCCCTCAAGCCTTTCTGTCACTGAATAGAACACATTGCGGTTGGCCCTTGAAGGTCTTGAGCTCCCTGCATTTTCCGTTGGGGCTGTTTAAAATCAAAGGCCCGACGGGAATCACCAGGCAAGGTCCCATCATAGACCCCATCCTTTCAGGCCCTACCGCGTGCTGCTACCAGGGCCTGTAGACTATTGAGCCTTTTCGGGGGAGGCTTTTCGGGGAGCCTTTGACAACCACACCCTCAGACTTAGACTTTGGACTTTAGACTTTTCAACTTTTAGAGACTAGAAGGATTTATGCCATCTCCCTCTAAAGTTGTAAGGTATCAACGAACCACTAAGAACCACAGGATACCAACGGCCCACTCGTTTGCCAGGCTGCTGCAGCCCGGCTTCAGTCAGAGCAGCAGCCTCCCTCTGCAGTGAGGGCCATGATCGAGGAGAGGAAGGAGCGCGGGCCCTGGTTGGGGCTCCTCATCAGCTGCGGCATATGGATCTTAAGTGAGAAAAAGAGCAGCACCTAACATTGCTTACAGAGGCTACGAAAACCTGTATCACCATGTTGGTAGAACAGCTGTGTCTCAAAAGAACATGACATTCATGGGTTTTGCCTGCTGAAATGGGACCCAGATCTCGTGCCACGGCCTTCTTTTTCCTGAGGCGAATTCGGCAGATCCAAGAGTCCATCCCCGATGACAAGGACAGAGGGATGGCTCCGCGATCAATGATAATGCGTCGTGTCATTTCCTTGCCTGCCTGCTCACAAGCATTCAGCAGATATCAAAAAGCTCAAGTAAACGTGCGATTGCATACATGGCTGAAGCAAGGATGTGAGCGCAGGAGGATCGTCCAAGAAACTGCTGGGACACAGCAATATTGTCACCGCATGACCAAGCAAACCTTGTTGCATGGCCATATTTTTGGACCAGTCTGTCCCCGGCAAACGCTAACCAAAGATGCTGCTTCAGGAGTCCATGACCGTCGGATTCTATCGTTGGAGCCTCGCTTTTCTCCCTTGTTGGAGATGTGGCCATGAAGTTGGATGGGAGATCTCCCTCCACATGGTTGGTGGACATAAATGAAGTCCCCGAAAGGGTCCCTAATCAAAGCTCAACCCAAATTTGCATAGTCTCGCCCAAGGCATCGAGTCCGGAACCATCCGATCTCAGCTGGTTGAAAAGTTGGAGCAGCTGGAACCTCAGCAACCCTTTTGCAAAGGGATTCCTGCACAGCCATGCTTAGTTTTAGCCAGCATGGCAGAGCCATGCACAGTTTCGCAATCCCCTGTTTACTTACCCACCAAAACTTTCACCCAGGTGTAAATCAAGTCAAATCTGGGTGCATCCTGCACCTGGTTCTTTTGGCCCGAGGTCAGTGCAGCTGCTGCTGAAGCACTTGGCCGAGGCATTGGAGGTGAACATCCACGAGGTCGTTCCCTAAGATCAATGCGCCCCAATCAAAGCAGCTTTGTGTCGACTTGTTTAACGCAAGGTTTTGAGTACCAGGATTGATGACCCCTTCAATGCCAGGTTTTGGGTAGACTCTGGTCTCGGTCGGTCATTTTGTTGAGGCCACAGCAGCCTTCGAGGGTATCTTTGCCAAGCTGCAGACGCAGGCGAGCAAAAGACAAGATGATCGGGCTGTTGGAGGGTATCATTTTGACCCCGTTTCAAAGGACAACGAAAAGGGAAGCACATGTTTTTGGGCCCTCCGTATGTTGACACATGCCTAATGGAGGCTTGATGATTACTTTATCACGAAAGGCCTACACGTCTTTTTGAATTCCATATTCATTTGCAGGGAGGAGTCTAGTGTTGGTTGGAGAGGACATGGGGGAGCCAACCCGCATTTGGGACAAAAGCCGGGAGCATGGGCCCCAATTTTTCCGAGTCCTCTTGGGAAAGCAAGTCATTTTGTCCGCGAGCACGGCACCGAATCGATTGTAGGTTTCGACCATCGAAGAGTGCTCGGATATGAAGGCACGCAGATGGGAGAGATGATTGGGGCCTGAGCCTGGCGAATGGGCAGCCAGCTGGTTATTTGCCGGGGCTTGATCGGTGTTGCGGAGTTTGCGCTGCTACAAGTGGAGAGCATATCCGTTGATACAGTAGCAATCATCATGACTAGGGGATGTGGCTGGCCCCCTCTGCTTTTGCCAGCCCTTGCGGCTTTCCGTACCGACTGTCATTTTCTGAAATGGGAGCCCCTCCACAAAAAGGTGTGGTTTCCTTTTGCTTTCCCTGACCAACACCTCCCTCAATGGTTTGGTTTGCCTGAGCATCCTCACCGATGTTGGTCGTAGGACTTCCTGAAGTCCATCCCCAACGAGCTCACCAAGCTGGCGGGCGCCGTGAACGAAGCCATGCAACTGACCGATTTGGCGGGGCAGCCCGAGGAACCGCCAGAAACGGGAGTGTCTTTTATGGAGGCTCGGTACCCCAAAAAGGGTTGCAGTATGAAGTTTCAAAGGGAAACGACTGTTTGAAACATCAAGAATGAAATCGCTGAGGTTACAGCCGTGCAGCGTAACTAACTGCGATGCCTGTCACTCTTCCTCGCAAATAACGTGACAAACAGCTCCACCAATGTGCAGAATGCCAGTTCTTTTTCTCATCGGAGCTGATGGAATGATTTAGTTTGCTACTTTGAGCCACGACGAGTCAGGAGTTTGGGAATGTCGAGCCAGGATTTATTGGGTGTTTTTTCCGCAAGTGAAGGGTTTCCTCTAGATCGGGACACTTCCCCGCCTTTCATCAACCAGGTTTTGGAGTTCATTCATAACAGCAAAGGGCTTATTTCATCACTGTAAGGTTGTATTGAGTTTCCTTTCAGGTCGAAGACTTGCGCTACGAGCTGCCGGCGGAGACGCTGGAAGCGCGCTGGGAGATGTCGGGGTGGCCTGGGTGTCGACTTGGAGATGGCGACATGGGCTACAGGCTGTTGACATAGAGGACGCCCCCAAGCCTGTTTTTGGTTGTTTCTCTTTGAACCATCTTGTCAAAGGGTAGCTTCAAGAATACAGAGACCTGGGCTAAAATGTACGGCCCCCAGAGTCACCGATGTTGAGCCGGGACTGGTGGCAAGCAGCTGCAGCCGTGCGTTGGGCACAAAAAGTTCATGCTCGCCTGAAACAAGTAGCCGAAGCTGCCTCCACTTTGTTTCTTTTCGAGCAAAAGTGCCGCTTCTTTGTACGCAAACAAAGCACCAGCGGGGCTTCCAAAGCAAATTTGCGGAGCCCCGTCGTCTTCGTTTCGCCGAGGTTTGGGTCCTCCGGACTGGTGAAGTCAAGGGCGGCAAAGTGCTTGGAGCCCGCTGCTCAAGAACTTGTTGTCCTTTTTGGTACCTTCTTTCTTGGTCCTTTTAGTTTCATAACTTGAAGCCTGGGTAAGGTGAGATCTATTTGGTAGTGATATTTCAAGGGGAAATAGAGGGAACCCTTTGAGTCTTGAGGCTTTTTTTCCGGTTTTTCTTCAAGGCTCGGGGTAAAGGGACACCACAGTTTTTTTTTTGGTGGGTTCTTTTTGATTGACTTGGGGGCTTCTACAAATTACAGGACCCGTTCCGTATGCGCATGGTGAAGCGGGCGTACATAAGGCATTTTGGTGTCTCCCCGAATCGTGAGACTAGCGCTGCTGAGATCTTGTTGGGGTTCTGAGGTACCTCAACACTCAACATGACTCTTTCTTGACGTCTCAAGAGACAGAGCAGAAGGCGGGCGGAGAGGCTTGTTCAAGCTGTTTCATTTCTTGATGGTGGTGTGCTGGGCTGAAGATGGTCAGATTTGAGAGTGTTCAAAATGAGGGGCGCCTCCAAGTGGTTAGTGCCCTTGTGGTTCTCTTTCAACTCTTGAATAGGGGTTTCCCGTATTTTGATACAGATCCAAAAGCTATGTTTTCTGCAGCCTTGTGAGTCCTGATAGTGGGTTTGGTTCACTTCCAGCGCCCTTGGCCAGGAGTTCGATGCACGACTTGGAAGGTTGGAAGAGGCTGCTTCAACATGCCTGCATTGTTCATCGTGTCTCTGTATATATATATATAGACTAATAGACATACATATGTCAAATCACCCTTGCTGGAAGGCCCCCTCAAAAGTTTGGAAATGTCCCTTACCCTTGACAAATAGGTCAGTCGTCCGAGCGCGTGTGTTTGTTCGACTTGCTGCACAGGTCATCGAGGGCTTCTCGCAGTACAAAGACTTGGCGCAAGTGAGAGAGGTTGCCGACAAGGCATTTGGCAGGTGCTTCTTCGCTGCTTTTCTTCGCGCTCCCAGCGTCAGGTGCGCGAAACCTCCGATGAGATCAAGGCCTGTCAAGATCTGGTGCGGCTCTTCAACTCGCGCGAGGCGCCCTATGGCAGAGCTTTGCGAGCTTTGGATGTGGTAACGTCAATCGGACGTTGGCAGACGTGTGCTTGCTTGTGTGCCTTGGGCCAGGTGTTGTTCGATCGGGCGGGGATCTAAGTTGCTATTGGCTGTGTGACGCCAAATTGTAGTGTGTTGTCAAATAGTCAAGTCATGAATGGATCCATCATAGGAGCACGACCTTTTTCTCTGAGATATTGGCTTCGCATGTTTCCTTTATCCCATGTGAGGATCAGACCGATTACTCGAACCTTCAGACCATGATCAAAACATTCGAGCCCTACAATAACCTGTGGAAGACAGCCGGCGATTGGGTCAGCAACAAGGAGGCCGGCAATTGGTAGAGAGCAGAGGCCTTGATTTTCCAAGGGACAAGTCTCTACTTGCGAGGGGATGTCCCTTCAAGTTTCCGACTATTTGGTTTTCGTGTTGCTTTCTTTTGATCCAAAGTTGGTGTCCTCTCAGGTGGTTTCAATCCATTGTGGTTCTCCTACATGTTTGCTTCTCTTGCTTTCTTCCAAATCTGTTTCCTTTCATGTTGGTTTCACGTTGGTTCCCAAATTGACCGCTGTCCGCACTCACACACTGGCAGGCCTGGCTGCAAGGGCCCTTCGACGAGATTGACCCTCGTTACTGCGAGAACGAGGCGGGTCATATGTATCGGAGGTTGGCTTGAAGGGACACCAAAAAGACAACCACAATTCCGTTTTTTTTTTTTTTTTCCCCAATGTTTTGCTTCTTTCTTTTTACTTGGGGAGGGGCATGGGGGCGCGGGGGGGGGGGGGGCGCACGGGTGTGTGACTTTTTGAGGGTACCCTTTTTTGGTGGTTTAAAGGGACACATTTTGTTGACATTTTTTTTTGGTCCCAGACACTCCCAAATTGGACCTGTGAGCAACTGACAACATTTTGAGTCCACTTTTGGGTTTGTGGAGGACATGGGACAACCCAAATTCTGGGTAGACAATTCATTATGTATACACTATCCTTTGCTGTAGTGCGTTTGATATGGGGTACACTGACCAAATTGAAATGAGTATTGACCGTGGCTGAGATGGTAGAGCAGCCGAAAAAAGACACCCGTTTGAATTCCCAAGTTTCACCCGCCACTCAGATGGAGTCCGTTGGTTTCCGAGAGGGAAACCAGCTGCAAACCCACTTCTGGGGTCCCGGCTTGCACGTACCCGATGGGCAGGTCACCAACGGCATTCGCCTGCTGTTCAAGACCATCCGCGCCCTCAAGGAGAACGAAGAAACCAAGGCCGTCCCATTTTGCCATAAGTCAGAGAGCATGTCAAAAGGAACATAATGAGGGGGCTGCTCTTTGAGCTGGGTTAGAACCTCCTTTTTGCAAGAAGCTGCTTCCTTCCGTCGATTCCGGTCCGAATCTCCAAAGAGGGGATTCTTGTGGATTCCCGTCTCAAGATGGAACAGATACCTGACTGGTTGGAGAATATCCGAGTATTCTTCCGCCGGTTTGAACAAATCAGAAGAATCAGCGGATCGAGTGTTCCGCATCGCCCAGTCCATCAGCGGCATTGCGGAGCAAATCAAGAATGAACTGGAGGAGTCGGGGTCCCCAGCAGCTTTGTGTTCTTCCTTCTTTACAATAAGGTCCAAAATGTAGGGGACTTCCGTTTTCTTGCTTTTTCAAGGGAAGCGCCAACTTGTGCTTACTGGATGTTTCCAACAAGTGGTAACCCTCTTTTTTCATGGGTTTCATGGGGAGCCAAAAGGAAGCGTCCAGTTTTAGGGTTCCTTATTTTGAAAGCGGCAAGAAACTGACAAAAAGGCTGGTAGTTTATTATTGTTTGAGGAGGTTAGCTTGGGGAATTAAGTCATCCAGGGCTTCTCAAAGTTCCGGGGGGTAGCCTCATTTAGAGAGAGGAAGCCGCACGTCGTGTTTGCCACCATGCGCGCGGTCTCCGAGGTTTAAGCCCAACCTCCCTCTGGTCACTGGCCTTCGCAACGAGGGCATGCGCCAGCGGCATTGGGCTCGCCCCGCCTGTTAAACCTGGATGCGCGTTTTGAACACCTCATTTTCACAAAGAATGAGAAAATAAATGACCGCAACACTTTGGGCATTGCCAAAAGTGAGCCATGACAGGAGCAGATTTCGGATAAGCCGGGCTCCCAGTTTGCCTGCGAGCGCCGCCTTTGGATGCATGTGCCTAGGTCCAGCGTGCAGGTGGGTCCGGGCATGGATGGAGGCTTCACCTTGCAGAGGAGTGAGACGCACCGCACGGCTCCAGGTTCCGGCTTTCCGGCAAGACGGGGCCGGGAGGGATAGCAGTGTGCTTATGGGAGCAAAGGGTGAGTTCTTTTGAGGATCCTGTTTCAAGAAAACGCCAAACAAAGAAGCAATGGTTGGACCAAAAGATGCTCAGAATGGTGCAGGATGCTGGACGTTGGTCTCTTGAACTTTGCCAACGAGGCACTGCATTTGCCATGTACTGCCTGGGCCGGGGGCAAAACCGCAGGTGGCCGAAGTGGGTGACCGAGCAGGAAAAGAGTACGGCCTCGAAAAGACCTTGAACAAAATGAAGGCCGGAGTTGTTAGGTCTTTTTTTGGTGGACGCCTTTGGTGGACATGTAAAGGCCACACTCCACACGCAAGGGCTATGACTCCTGAGGCTGACTGGGAGCCCTTGTCCTTCGACCTCTCCGAGAAGTACAGGCCGGCGGATCGGATGTTGCGTTTGTGGGGCTTGGCGCCGGATGCGAGTTCCCAGGAAGACCGGCACCTACGTGTTGAAGGGCGACGGCGAGGAGGGACCTTTGGGAAGGGATCCAGGAATTGCAATCTGTTCAGGAAGGTTTGGTGCAAAGAAAGGTGCTAAGCACCCGTACGGGAGGGCGTGTTCCTTCTTGGCGGCTCGAGGCGATGGTGCTCCTGGACGAGCATATTGTGACCACCCAGGCATTGGGAGTGGTGAGACCCCATTAATTTTTACCAATTGGCACCTCATTTTGAGGATGTCACTATGCATGCCGACTGAGCGCAGAGCGACCTTCTTCGTTGCAGGCGATGATGTTTTCCACCTTCAAAGGTCCTTTCGAAGAGGACATCGATGAGTGCGCTCCCATGCGGTGTTCAAGTGGCTGGTTTTGAGGGCAACTGCTTGTCAACGTCATCTTTGTCCTAGGTGGAATGCACGACTCATGCGGGTGTCGGAGACCTTGGAAGAATGGAGCTACTGGCATTGTTAAAGCACGCCGCATTCCTGGGATGCCAGCTGAAGTTCATTGACTCTGAATAATAAGACCCTGGCAGGTTGAAATGCCAGAAGGCATGGATGTACTTGCAGCCGATCTTTGATTCAGATGCTACTCGTAAGGCAATTGGCATACATGCTAAGGCAAGCTTGTGACATGTTTTGCTAGGATCATTTACTGTGTGAAGAGGATGCCATTGGGCACACTTCCCAAACTGCCGCCAGGGGAGGGGGGACTGGCCAAATCTAATGTCGTTGGGGGACACTAGCAATACTGACGGTGGAAATATAAGACCCCCGAGACATTTGGGAACCGCTAAGTTACTAAGGACATCATGCGGCAGCTCCCCACGGAAGGCCATCAGCTTGTAGCGCTGGGACTTCCATTTGAATTCAAGTGCCGTCTTAGGCAAGCGCTTCAAACACGTGGACGCCACCTGGCGACAGGCGCCGAATGACCCAAGAGGAAGGCTGAACACCCGGAAGTCACAGGGATAGGCATCAACAAAAACTTATTAGGCATCAAACAACAACTTATGCTCATTCCTATGGGGGGAAGGAAGGAAGGAAGGAAGGAAGGAAGGAAGGAAGGAAGGAAGGAAGGACGGAAAAAAGAAGAAAGGAAGGAAGGAAGGAAGGAAGGAAGGAAGGAAGGAAGAGGAAGGGGAAGGAAGGAAGGAAGGAAGGAAGGAAGGAAGAGGAAGGGGAAGGAAGGAAGGAAGGAAGAGGAAGAGGAAGAGGAAGAGGAAGAGGAAGAGGAAGAGGAAGAGGAAGAGGAAGAGGAAGAGGAAGAGGAAGAGGAAGAGGAAGAGGAAGGGGAAGGAAGGAAGGAAGGAAGGAAGGAAGGAACCCCCCAACCACCCCGCTGATTTGTAGAAGGTTGACAGTGATTAACGCACCCTTTGCTGAATCATCACTTCTTCGATCATCATCACGCTTTGTTGAATCATCACTTCTTCGAGCATCGGGGCTGCCGCCCCCCCCCAACCCCCCCGCTGATGTTCAGAATGTTTACAAAGATGACCGCACCCTTTGCTGAATCATCACTTCTTCGATCATCACCACCCTTTGTTGAATCATCACTTCTTCGAACATCATGGGGGGGGCTGCCGCCCCCCCCAACCACCCTGCTGATTTGTAGAATGCTTACAGAGCTTAATGCACCCCTTGTTGAATCATCACTTCCTCGAACATCATGGGGGGGGCTGCCGCCCCCCCCCAATCCCCCCGCTGATTTTCAGAATGTATACAAAGCTTAATGCGCCCTTTGCTGAATCATCACTTCCTCGAATCATCTCTCTCTCTCTCTCTCTCTCTTTTATTCTTTCTTTGTTTCTTTCTTTCTTTTATTCTTTCTTTCATTATTTCTTTCTTTCTTTCTTTCATTCTTTCTTTCATTCTTTCTTTTTTTCTTTTTTTTTTTATTCTTTCTTTCTTTCTTTCTTTCTTTCCTTCTTTCTTTCTTTCTTTCTTTCTTTCTTTCTCGCTTTCTCTCTCCGTTTTCTCCTTTTTTTCATGTTTACATCTCTGTTTTTTTTCTTCACTGCTTGCGAAAATGCTGCCCCTGCGTCAAACTCTGCACCGTACCTTGCGAAAGTGCTGCGCCTGCCGCGAAATTGGTACCTCTTGCGAAAGTGTTGCGCCTGCCGCGAAATCTGGACCGCAGCTTGCGAAAGTCCTGCACCTGCCGCGAATCTGTACCTGACCTTGCTAAAGTGCTGCGCCTGCTGCGAAATCTGTACCTGACCTTGCGAAAGTATTGCGCCTGCCACGAAATCTGTACCTGACCTTGCGAAAGTGCTGCGCCTGCCGCGAAATCTGTATCGCACCTTGCGAAAGTGCTGCGCCTGCCGCGAAATCTGTACCTGACCTACGAAAGCATTGCGCCTACCTTGCGAAAGTGCCGCGCCTGCCACGAAATCTGTACCTGACGTTGCGAAAGTGCTTCGCCTGCCACGAAATGAATAAGTTTTTTTTGATCCCCCCAAAGTTTTTTTTGATGCTCTGATGTTTCATTTTAATAGTAAATCAATGATAATATTTTGTTTTGATCGCTAACAAGTTTGTTTTTGATCTTCAGAAATAAGTTTTTTTGATGCCTAAACAGTTTTTTTTGATCCCTCACCCGAAGTCACACCGGTTCCAGAAACCGAATGGGATCTACAAACACCCTGGCAGAGTTGCTCTTTGGGCCCTGTGTAAGGGTTCGGAGGTTCCCTGGCGCGGTGAGTTCAATCCCTTCCAGTACGCAGGAGATGATCAACACCAGGGAGAACCCGAAGATCATCGACATTTGCGCCACGGAAGGGCTTCTTGAGAAATGGCGGGAGTGCAACGCGCGCCTGCCACGCTTGAATCGGACGGTGGAAAACCAAGAGCATATCTTTGGAGGATTGCCTCAACGGAACCCTTCTGCGAGGCGTGTTGCTTTCAACAAACCGGTGTGTTTTTGGGTCTCTTTTGCAAGCAGGCCTCGAATGGAATCTCTTGTTGTCACATCTGATATGCAGGCTCTACCCAGTTGGGTGTTTCGCCTTCTCATTTGCTGCGTTGATATGGGAGCTTGCCAGGTAACACTGGACATGGTGCAGAAAGGGCTGGAGGACACAGAGCTGAGAGTGGGGAACGAAGAGCTAAGAGGCTTTTGATTTTCATGAGGAGGCCATGGGTATGTGGCAGGTAACCAGAGACCGGAGCCGGGCCAGGAAACATGACATCTCTTTTACCTTGTTTGACCTTTCGGAAGAACCAACGGGTGTCTTTTTCCTATGACATTTCCCATGGCCAGGACTACTTGGAGACCAAGCGGTCGCTTTCTTAGATCCAATGTCTGCCAGATTCGCAGTGACTCGCAAGGCACTCTAGTATTCGAATTCTGTTTCATGATGACGGTGCACTTCCAAATTTGTAGAGATCCCCAGTCAGCGTGTGAACTGAGGAATGGCTTTGCACGCTTCTATTTCCTCTCCAACGATGAGCTGTTGGAAATCCTGTCGCAGACAAAGGACTGGCCGGAGTGGCGGTTGAAGCGTTTGTTTGAATACGCAGAAAAGTTGTGCAGACGCGACAAGAGGAGTCCCAGAACATGTTCGAATTTCTTTGCTATCCCTTTAGACCAACCACGAAAAGGGTCTCAACAAATGACGCCCCCACATCGTAGTCGGCAATGGTTTCTCAGAGAGGCAGAGCCCCTGAGGCCCAGACACCATTACTTGTAGCAAGTTTCCCACATCCAGGGCTCAAGTGAAGTCCAAGCGGACTCAGCTTGAGGATCCCACCAGAGTTCAGCCGTTCTTGTCCAAAGTGTTCGAGGCCATGTCAAAAGCGGGGTGCCCAGGCTTGAGACCTTGAGTTGAGGATTGTCAAGATGCTTTTTTTTTTCTCCCCCAAAGGCGGTCCAATTTTGACTCCAAGCTCCTGCTTGTCCTGGGCGAAGTATTTGGGAGCTCTCAGGTCACCTTCACCTCAGACAATGAGGTTACGCACATGGCCTCAGCCTCAAAACGCCATGCATCGTATTCATGACACCGGCCCGCGGGCTAAGATATCTCCAGAATCGGAGCAAGTGGAGATGTCGACCCCAGTGGTGACTCACCAAAAGGCAGGCACACTTCTTGCCTCATGGCCGATCTGTTGAATCTGCAGGCAGTGGAAGTTTGGATGGGCGACCTCCAAGACGGGATGTGCATGGCAATCCGTCGCTTGTTTGCGCTTATCCAATCGCTTGAAGTGGGCAGCATTTGCCGCGCATTTGTTGTCCAGGCAATGCGCTGGATCTGGGCATCGGCCTGGTGCTGAATGTTGTTTTGGGCGCCCAACAAGACAGCTTCCTGCTCCAAAGGCTCATATCCGACCATGGACCGCACTGACTGGGTTTTGGCCAACCCCGCGCAGATCGTGCTGAATGGGTCCCAGGCCAGTCGGATCAGAGAAGACAGATTGACAATGCTGCAATGCCAATTCCTTCGGAGTCCTTGTCTTGAACATGACATGCTTGATGACTCCACTTTGTCTTGCTGGTCAATGTCAAGCCTGGTGCTTCTCACTGGCAAATCAAATTGACAAGGGCATGGCCAGTTCCCTTTGAACGCCATTTCCGCAATAGAGTTTCTAGTTGCAGGACATTCAGAGAGTTTGCCAAATATGTTCAAATATAAATTTCGAGGGCATTTTTTCCTATTTTTTCTATTTTTTCTATTTAATTAGGAAAATTAGGAATTTGCCATGCGGTTTCTTCGATGCAAAGGGCGCCTTGAGGTGTTCTGGACCTCAGAGGTGGAGGCTGCCTTCGATGGCAACTTCGCCGCTGCCTGAGAGCAAGGGAATCATCCGAGACGGAAGTCACCATGGTTGCACCTCAAATGTGGTTGTCCTTTTAGTTCCCCTTTAAAACCATCCTTCAAAGTGTACCTCAAAGAAGACCCCCTTTTCCAAATACCGAGCCCGCAGATGGTGGGCTTCCTGTTGATTTTACTTCAAACTACGCTTAAAAACACAAAAACAACACGCACACACACACACACACACATGTGTGTGCCTTCTGCTTCCCAGTTGGGCGACTACGCGAAGAAGCTCTCACAACAAATTCTGGACTTGATCATGCTTCTGCGCAAAGGGGTCCCTTGCTGAGACTTTCGAATGCCAATGTCAGGAGTGCGCGCTCGCGCGCGTGTGTGTGTGTGAGGAAAAAGAGCCACATGCTCTTTCAGCTTCATGTCGTGTTTGTAGGTGAACAAGCTGCAGACAAAGACTATGAACGCCTTGATTGTGATCGATGTCCATGCAAAGGAGCGGTGCATGGATGGGTTGTAGCCAGTACACCTGATGTTCTCTTGCAGGATGTGATTTGGAATTTCGTCGAGCAGGAAGTGAAGGATAAGGCCGTATATGTGTAAGTTGACGCATGCATCAACATAGCGTCTCCATCTCCCGTGCAGTCTTCCTTCGAGTGGATCTCGCAGCTGCGCTACTACTGGGAAATGGATGACCGAGGACAGGAGAACATGTGGGCAGCGGACTCAAGGTTTTTGGTGATTGCTCCAAGAGAGGGAAACGCTTGCTGCGGTGCTTGTGGTGGATGTGGCAGTAGGTGATGTACAAAGATATGGAAGGGTGTCAGTCATGCGGGTTTGTCTCAATATCGTGAACCACTTGTTGGATTGTTGTAAAGGGATCCAAGAGGAAACCAATGATATACAGGGGTCCCGAATTTTAGGTTGGGCTCCCAACAAATCAAAGGGCACTTCCCTTTTCAAGTGCTCTTGTCGTCCAGAGACGATCTCGGCAGCTCCAAGGTGAAGTGCGTTCAGACATCCTTTCCTTATGGCCTGGATCGCAGAAGTAGTTTGAAGCTGCCTTGCCTTCGCATATTTGGCGCTCTCAATTCGGGGCAAGACTGAGGCTATGAGTACCTGGGAAACTCCATGCGCCTGGTGATTACTCCATTGACCGACATGTGGGGGCGCTTGATCTTTCGATTTGTCATAGGATGCTTTGAAGCCTGTCGATTCCGACTTGGTACCAAAGCACACCACTGTGACGACACCGTTCACGCCAAGTCAAGTTGTCTCGGGTCTTTTGTATGGGGATCAACCAGTACAGACAGCTCTTTGGGTTCAGTGTCATATACTGGGTCCTGTCAACGGCAACTTCAAGTGCAGGGTTTTGTGCAGGGCCATTGACAGGTTCTTGTGCGTCAGGTGCTACATCACCCTGATGGGCGCCCAGTCTCTCAGCCTTGGCGGCGCGCCGGCCGGGGACGTCGGATCTCGACGCCTTCGTTTTTGACTGAAAGATGAGATCTGTTTTTTGGCGAGTGGCGGCCTCTTTTTGGGGTCATTTGACCACATTGGTGTTTGTTGTGTTTTGCTTTTCGCCTTGGTTTAAAGGGAAACCAAATGGCAAACCACAATTTCGGGGGTCCGGACACTAATTTGGCAAATATCCACATGGATGCAGTGAAAAGGGAGATGAGCGGAAGTCGGTTGATCTGAGCCTCATGCTGTATGAGGCCGGGCCAGCAGGCACAGGGAAGACGGAGACCACCAAGGACTTGGCGAAGGATCGGGTGTTATCCGCGCCGCCGCTCGCTTTAGTCATTTGCGGTATTGGTTTAGGACAATTGCGTGCAAGTCTGCATGGCACCAGGTACAGCACATTTTCAGACAAACCCCGGAAATCCAAATCGGACATCCGAAAAGGGTGGTTCCTCCCTGTGTCCCGTTTCTGTTGGTTTTCATGGGACGCCAAAGGGGTGCCCAAGCATGAAGCCTGGACTCGGCAGATGCGCTGTTTACCAGGCTCTGGCGAAGCAGTGCGTGGTCTTCAACTGTTCACCGGAGATGGACTACATCATGGTGGGGAAGTTCTTCAAAGGCGCTTTCGCCGAGCGGCCGAGCGGTCGCGCGTGTTGCTTTGAGGATCCATTTTCAGGTTGGTTGGTTGCGGGCAGCCATACCAAAGGAGAGCCACCATTTTGGGCGTCCCCTACTTTGACACACACACACACACACACACAAGTCAGGTGGTGATTCGGCTGGGAGTTGTTGATACGGAGGCTTGAGTAAAGCGCATACCGAAAATGTAGACTGGCACTTTAGGAAGAACTGGTGTGTGCCCCTGTGGTTTCATTTGTTTTGGGGTCTGCAACTTCCTATCTAGTCATGGCTGACAAAACCATGTGTGACCCTGGGCACCATGTGTGAGGCTTGGCATTCTCTGGTGCCTGGTGCTGCTTTGATGAGTTCAACCGCATCAACATTGAGGCGGGCAGTGTCAGAAACACCTTTTGGTCCAGCCCCCGAAATGGTTGATGGACAGAAAAAGACCCCCCAAAAGGTTGGTACCTTTAGGTTTCCCCTTTTTACAACCCCAAAGGGGTAAGTAGCGAGTGTCCGGAGGTGCTTTCCGTCATTGCCCAGCAGCTCATGGTGCTCTTTGGAGCCTTGGCTTCACAGATGGGTGGTTTCTGAAAGTGGGGACTTCACCTTGACCAACAAGGAAGAACAGAACTGACTCGGCTTTTTGTGCAGGGGTGCCCTCCAAGAAAAAGTCCGCTGACAACCGACTTGCTCATAGCACTTGCGCTCAGGCAGGAAGGCAGAGCTGCTTGGCTGCATGGCTCTGGGCAGTGACGGCAATGTGTCCTCAACCCCTGGGCGCAGCTCAAGTGCACGGCTTGTGGTTACAAATTCGACTTCAGATAGAACCAAGTGCGGGATGTTGGTGCCATCTCAAGTTGTGTGCCCTTTTCTGGCCTTCAGCGAGGCTCGCCAGCTACAACGACACGGTTGAGCTGGAGTTTGAAGGGACTCTCATTGCGCCACGCTCAGACGTTGAGTTCTGGGACATGAAGATTCGGGTCTCGCCCAAGTCAATGGAGAAACGAGTGATGCCCTCTTGGCCAAAGCTCCATGGATAATAAAGATGCATATTAAAAATGAATCTACATATCCAGGGTTTGGAGAAGAAGGCAGCATTAGAAGAAAATCGGCCAATCCTTGAAACGCCTGAAGTACAACATATTATGTATTAATCAACATGAGAGCAAACTTGATAGCGACACGGAAGGTGAAAATGGGACGACTCAGGATTTCCAATTTAATAAAGGCAGCTAGAGTTACAACTGTGACGCATACCCGAAGCCACGCCACATTCGAGGTGATGAAGCCCACCTTCAATGTCTTCATCACCATGAACCCAGGCGAGGGGGGGGGGGGCTGGTGTTTTTTGTTCTTCTCTTTTAGATATTTTCCGTGGATTAGGGCGCCGCCCATAATCGGATGAAACTCAGAGGTTGAAATGCCTTTAAATATGGTAGACATACATAAATCCAACCATATCTTTTTCCAGGTCCACCAAGGGTCCATTCACAAGTACAATTCCTATCCAGGTAGGCTGGAGTCTGGATCAGCTGTTTGTAGCTTGCGCCAAACGCTTGAGGGCGTGCCGTTTGAACGTGGCCAATTTGGTTGCCCGTTGTGACCGCGAAAAAAACCGCTTCTCCCACAAGTCAGCAACACACATCCGTCACGACAGGTGGCTCCCAACTTGACCATCCGTCTGATTTTTCCATGATGTCCGGCGTGGGCAGAGCCCCGCGTTCCGCAGGCTACGCTGGCCGCGCGGAGCTCCCGGACAACTTGGCGGCCCTCTTCCGACCAGTGGCGCTGAACCCAGAGGGCTGAGGCAGCCGGAGGGCGGAGGTCCGGTTGAAACGTAGATGGAAAGCAAACCGGATTCAGGGATTCAGTGCGGTTCCATTGTTGCTCAAAGGATTTCTTGGGGGGGGTCCAAATGAGATGTGGTCTTGTTTGGGTTGGAGGGACATCACAGAGAATCCACAAGTTTCACGAATTTGCCTATTCAGAGACAAACCCGTGTGGGCAATGGAAGGCACCACAAAGACTCATGATCGAGATCAACACAGTACTTTTGGCCAGGGCTCCTGTGACTCTTCTTGCTTAGGCGATGATGGTGCCAGACTACGCCCTCATCGGGGAGATCATGCAGCAGCCCTGGACCAATTCCACGCTTGCTTTCTTTGGAATGGGACGAGACCAGCTCTCATTGGGTGGCTGCTTTGCGTGCACCACGAAGGTTCTATGCTTACGGCTTCACAGAGGCAAAGGTCCTGGCAAAGAAGATGGCCCCGTGCTCGAAATTTGACAGACAGTGCATTATTGAAATCGCTACGCGATCCGCCGACGCCAGTGGGGTGCAAGGGATTTTATGACCTGTTTTCTTTTTCGTGGAAGTCTGAAAGTGCCACAACAAGGCCTTCTTGGCACTTTCCTATTTTTCAGTCAGGAAACATGTCCCAGATGCTGGGGATGCTGGAAATGCAAGGGATGCAACCACACACCGTACAGGAACAGACCCAATCTTCGCATCCAACATTTCAAGACTTTCAGACACGCAAAATTGACGTAACACAGAAAATACCAGAGATGTCGGGAATGCTGGGAATGCAGCCGGCTGGCCACAAATGATATTTTCCCAAAATCAACCATCAAAAGCAGATACTAGCAACCCCCTTCAAATACCCCAGCAATAGACTTCCAAAAACAGGATAATGCAGGGAATGTTTCGCAGTAACTGCTCCGTACAGGTGGGGAATTGCAAAAAACACTCATTTTTGCAAATTCAAACAGTTCCTCAACGTATCACTGCACTTGGCCCCACGCAGACCCCGAACAGGACGATTCCAACATCGCTTGAAGCAGCAAAACACCATTAGTATCTGCAAAAAAGAGACGAATTCATAGCAGCAAGGTAACCCTGCTGATGCTGGGGATGCAGATCCTGCGCGTCCGGGGGAACCCCCCCCGCCCCTAGAGACCTAGGCGAAACGCAGGTTTTTAGCAGGCAAGCCCCAAAAACGCTGGACAATTACAGGGTTTTGGACACCCAGCGCACCATGCCCAAAAAATGGCAGCCCCAAAAGCCTTCGGCTTTGATAAGAGATCCGAAGGAAGACCAAGTTGCGGACTGCCATCTACACGCTGCGGATTTTCCGAGTGGTGGTGTGCTCATCTATTTGGGTTTGTTCAAAGGAAGCTAAAAGGAAAACCACTTTTTTTCTGGGGACTATCTTGACAGCTTTTTGCTGGCTTGTTCTGGGAGCAAGGCACACTAGTATCAGCAGTCATACTGCAGGGCGTTATCGCCGCGCCGCCAAGGTGACAACGTTCACGCTCTCATCTGAGCAGCTATCCTCACAGCCAAGAGCTGAGTTGAACGCGGGAAGTGGTGAGAGCCATACAAAGTACAGTAGCAGAAATGAATGGACGCCGTGCGCCGAATTGGCTTCATCTTGCGTGGGTCCAGGTTCCACTACGACTACGGCATGCGCGCCGTGAAAAGTACCATTGAGATGTGCGGAAAGCTGAAGCGGGAGGCCTTGCGGACAGATGGCTGTGGAGCAAATCTACTGTACCTCCTTCCCCGAAAGTATGCGTTGGGATTTGCACAAACCACGTGCATGTACCACAGGCCTTGCAACAAAAGAAACAAGCCAGCAGGAAGCTACAAAGTGAGGGAGAAGATTGTAGTCTGACCCGAAACAACCTAACAAGGGCCCAGCCAGCTTTTGGCACACCAACGATTCCCTTGGGAGAGAGGTTGAATTCTACCGTGTTTGCTCCAAAAACGGAACTCTTATGCCCCCCCCTCCCAATCCTCTCTGCAAACGTCGGCAGGTGGGTGACCTACCAGAGGACCAGATCACCTTGCGGGCGCTTCGGGATGTGAACGTGCCCAAGTTCCTGAAGGCGGGCCTGACGCGCACGTCTGCCAGGAGTAAAGACTTAGGACCTAGGAGCTGCCATCGGTCGGCTTTCTTGGGGCTTGAGGGGTTTGATTTAGTACTTGTCTTGAGTTCCTACACCCACGCAAGGCAAACGGACATCGGGGGAGGAGTTCTTGCCAATTGGAGACAAGCCTTCTTTTCGTCTCTGCCCAATGGAGCTCTAGTGGTTTGGAGCTGCTGTCAGGGAAGGTTCCGGAAGGTTCGGAATACCACCTGGGCCTATTTTTGTTTTGACGGACGCTCCCATCAAGAAAATTTTGGGCACATCATGTGTTGGTATTTCAACCATGGCCAAACTCGCGCCCTGGCTGGAACGCTCGGACCTGCTTCAGGATGACCTGCCTCTGTTCGAGCCTGCATCCTAGCATGCGACGGGAGCATACCATTGACCCAGAATCGAATGGATGGCATCCGAGGAACATCATCTCAGACCTATTCCCCACCACAGACCGGCCTGTGGTTGAGTACGGCAACCTCACTCCTGTGATGGAGGCTTGTGGCAAGGAGCCGCCAGTTAGTTGTGTGACTCTTGTGGGGGGTAGTTCTGCTTTGAGCCTTGAAGTTGGAAGGCCCCGAGCTCGAGACGTGTTGAAGCTGTTTTGCCAACAATCTCAGAGGTACACTCCCGTGTCGAACCCGTGGGTTGCATGTCGGGTGGGTGGGCACCAGGAGCAGAACCTCCAGCTCACGGACAACTTTGTTGTGAAGGCCGGGTGTTGTGCAACGAAGCCAAGAGCCGTTGATACGGCCAGAGGAAACAACCGCTGTTCGGCCTGTGGGTGTGTCAAAAGGTTTGGGCCTCGAACCGTCCACATTTTTTGCAGTTCTCTTTGGTTTCCATTTTGCCACGAAGTTTCCCTCAAAAGAAGACGATCTTTACGTCAAGAGCAGAAAGTCAGGTCTTCTTTCTTTTCTCATCCCGACGGCATCGTTAGGTGGTGCAGCTCATTGACACCATCGGAGTGCGGCACGGGCTCATGTTGGTGGGGCCAACTGGAGGCTGGAGAAGTCAGCGAACGGAGACTTTGGGCCCTCTTGTAACCTTGGCAAGGAGAGCAACGCGCAATCAGGTCCCGCAAGCGCCCCTCGGGCAGTGTTTGGGGCTGCCAGCGTGCAGGCGGCAAGACATGCAACTACCGGCTGCTGCAAGCCACCTCCATCGCCATGTGCGAGGCCGCTACCGCGAGCCACCGGAACGACCAGGGTTGTGAGTGAGAGGATGTGCATCGAAACACCTAGGCCTAGGCTTTGTGGTGACGGTATCAAGAACTAATGAGTGGCGCGGTATATACGGTATGCTGGGACAGTACCTCCGTTGTGGCTCTATGCTATACAGAAACATACACACACACACTATCTATGGATATTTGTGGATAGTACACGGTATACTGCGACAGTACCCGCCGTTTTGACTCTATGCTACACAAAACTTACACACACACACTATCTATGGATATTTGTGGATATAAATGATTATAAGTTAAGTCCAGTATGCCCTAGTTTGCAAGGTTACACTCCCAGGGTACATGCGACAGTTGACCGTAACCGTTGCAAGGTCTCGCGTCCAGCGAAGCTTCCATGACCAACCAATGGGCGTTTCATGTGAGCATGGCAGGCCATGGGGTGCTCGCCCAAATTTTCCACACAAAAAGAAGGGGGCACGCCATGCGGGGCTCGGATGAAGGCGCACATGTCTCGCTGCTATGGAAAGCGCGTGAGGCCGGGGACACCAAGTATCAGAAGGTGCAGACCCACATCCTGAACCCCAAGGCCATTACTCAGGCACGGGTCACTTTTGAGCGCATTGAAAAGATACTCTCAGTTTTGGCTTCCAAGCAGCTTGACCAGCCACAATATCCGGAGGGCAGTGCAGCGCCCGGCGTGGCCTTGTCTCCGGCTCCAAAAAGTTGAGGCACAGCTGTACGGAGCCTTCGACGAGATCACACGCGAGTGGTCCGATGGCGTGGCCAGCGAATGCGTGGGAGGCTGAGAATCACAGGATCGAAGATCCCTTTTCGCTTGCGTTTTTTCCTTTTTCTCCCGGTTAACTTGCGATTGGTTTGCCAGCGAGAGATAGTTGAATCACTTGCTGCCATGGTCAGCCCTTCAAGGTACGCACAGCTGTGGCCAGCGGCAAGTCAGGATGTGCTGACAACCATTGGGCCCCAGACTTAGACTGTCCCTGCCCAGCGTTTAGGGGCTAGTGCGCTTTTGCCCCAATCTTCTTTGTGCCCCGTCCTGAGTCGGAAGCGGGAACCTCCTTTTTGCAGTCGAATCAGAAAGGAAATCAAGAGGACAGCAATCAGTTGGAAGGGATTCCGAACCTGTTGATCCGTCCCCATTCCTTGTGTACCCAGGTGATTTTTGATGGCCCGGTGGATGCCCTATGGATTGAGCCAGGAGCCCGGATTAGGTGATGTATGAGTACTTTTGCTCCATGTTCTTGAGTGGTTTCAACACGCACCATGCTCAAAGCCGCATACAAACGCATACAAACACACATACACAGCTTTTGGAAGAGTCCCTGTGCTGACATCCAACCTGCTAAGGTCCATGAACACCGTGCTGGATGATAACAAGAAGCTTTGCCTGACCTCTGGCGAAATCATCTCGTTGACTCCGCAAATGAGGCCTGAGCCAGTGTTTGACAATGCCTCTCCCCCCAGCTTCAACCATCAATAGGCGCAAATATGAGCCCACAGTCTTTGGTTGGCTCCAATGTATGGCTTGACTATCAGACAATTTGTGGCACTGCCAGGATGGTGTTCGAAGTGGAGGATCTGTCAGTGGCATCGCCTGCCACGGTGAGCCGATGCGGCATGGCGCGCTTCCCAGTGGCGCATTTTCATGGTGTCCTGTTTCCTTTTGGTCTCCATTTGCCAAACACCCAGGAAAGGTGGTCAAGGGTCCTAGGAAGATTAAAGCACAGGATGGTTTTGAGTCTTAATGGTTGGAACCGCCTAGCCATAAACCATGTACGGCCTTCCATTTCATTCCCATGAGGTGTACATGGAGCCTTCTGCTTTGGGCAACGAGCCTTTGGTTCAGTGCGCTTCTCAGTGCGCTTCTCAGATCGGTGTGATCTTGAGAAGGATGGCTCGAGGTCGTGGGTGGAACGCCTGCCGTCCACCTTCAAGCAGGAGAATCCGGAAGTGTCGCTCAAGCAATCTGACGTTTAGTGGTGCTTCCCCCAATTTCCAGGGATCCTTCTTTTCCCGACAATGCCAGAAGCGCATGGAAATTTGACCTTTGAAAAGAACGATGGGTGAAAGAATGGGGCATCGTACTTGTCATCCTTTGAGGAGATGTGTGACAAGCTCAAGGAACTCATGTTGGTATGGGCCCCGGAGCAAGTTGCCAGCATGCAGAGAACTGGATGCGCGGTGAAGTGGTGGCTAGAAGCGGCTAGATCATGCATCTCCGGAGTGCGTCTTTTGCGAGTACTTGTACCTTGTTTCGGTTGGTTTAAATGGAAACTAAACGTAAAACCTCATTATTCTGGAGGGGGGTATTTTGACACGTACTCTCGTCCAGCCCTGAGCTTTCATCCAGGCCTACACGTTGCCGATGATCCGGATCGTTCGCAAGCTGACCAAGGCCATGGCAAAGCAGGTTTCCTGATGTATGCACAAACAGCCCGCCACTTTTTAACTTTGCATAATGATTCAATCCCAGGAATAAACCACACTGTTCTCTTACAGGATGACCTGCGATTCCTCCTTTTGGAACATAGTCTATCCCAGAGTTTATCCTTGGGCGATAGTGCTGGAATCCTGCTGCCTTCTTTGTCATCCTTGTGGGGCGTCCCCGTGAATGCCCTTAACTGGGCCGCTTGTAGGATAGAACGATTAACAGTGGGTCTGCTTGACGTGTCTGGCAAGCTTCTAAGCCTGCCAGGTTGACACAAATTGAATGGGCATTTTTTAGAGAATGCCCCCTCGAAACCTCAATGACTGTGGAGCCAGGAGCCTTCGATGACTGTGGACAACAACATTTGTGAGTCGCATTTCAGGCCTGGCACGTCCTCCCTAAAATAGCTTGTTACTTTTCGGTGCTCCTTAGAACCATCCAACAGCGACACCCCAAAATCGGCAACCACTAAAACTGGGCGGTTTCCTTGTGGTTTCCCTACCATCCCAAGCCGCGCTCATGTTGAGAAGTCAAACCGACGAGCGGCAGGCTGATGGACTGCTACTTTTCGGAGTACATCCCCACGGAGGCCAAGACCCCGAGCCCGGATGAGATCAACAAGCTGCAGCCGTGCACTTACGTGAGCGGTGAGGATCAACGTGTGGATTTCCCTTGGTTTTCCTTTTTTGTTGTTTTAACCAACCTGGAAAGGGTCAAAGGGTTCAAAGGGTTCACCAAACCCATCGAAAAAGTAAAGGGTCTCGGGAAGAGGAGAGACCGATGTGTTTTGTCACGCAGGTCGCACTTGGTTCCTTTGTACTTCTTCACCCTAGTGTGGTCTGTCGGCGGCCTTCTCAGTGACGGTATGGCTTGGGGCTCCGTCTCATTCAGCTTGCTTGTTGCACGGACAACTTCGTGCACGGCTATGCTTAGTCAGCACGTTTCTGACTGAGTGCCAGCCACCATCACACAAGGAGCATGTTGGTTTTGTGTCAATGTGACTACAAGGTGCTACTTGCGACAACAAGGGCCGGCAGACCTTCAATGCAGCTTAGCTGCCAATGTGTTCAGCATCCTGTCCTCGTTGTGTTCTTTCCTCTGCGCGCATCCCCCTTGACTATGTGAGTTTGTTTGGGGTGGCTTGAGAATGTTGTACATACGCACTGTCAGGACAAGCTGTGGGAAGCAGTCAAGGAGCAAGGCACCGAGGCAAGGTGATTCTGGCTAAGAGTGTTCAGAACCATGAGAAGTAGACGAGGGGTCCCACTATTTGCCTGTTGCATGGGGTTACTTGACAACCGACAACCACATGACATATGCTGGTAGTGTTGAGCAGCTTGTCGGCAGGTCGGCGGAAACATTGACAACAGCATGTTCTGGCAACCTGGCTGTGGCAAAAGCTTTGCGCCGCGCACTGACACGAGTGGGCAGTTGGAATCCCGAGGTATGACTTTGTGTATGAGACCGAGGCACAGAGTTGACCCCTCTCCGCTCAACTTTCTCACCGTTTGATTGCCTTTGCAGGGCGAGCGCGAGGGCCAATGGACTCCATGGAAGACTTGGGTGCCTTGCTCGGTCACTTGTTGCACTTTTCGTCTTGCGAGCTCAGTGTAAGGGCGTTGTGGTGGGCAATTCCAACATACATATTCAAGCAGTTTGGTTCGTTTCCGTTGCTTTGTGCGCCGTATTTCTTGTGGCCGAGGCTCCGAAGTACACGGTGCCACCTCGCAGGGGCCCGAGGATGCTTTCCACTGGCGCGTGCGTTGGAAGCTCTGGGCACTGGGCGTTTGAAGCTGGTGAGAGGTTCTGAGTACCAGAACATCGTGGTGCTGCTGCCTCAGCTCGCCCTTCATGCCTTCTTTGGGCCGAGCAAACCCGACCTTTGCGACAGATAAGGTTTTCAGCATGCAAGTTACGCCCATCCCACGAAGGCCGACAGTGGACTCCATCCGCCTTACGCACACGTTTGCCACGCTGTTGTTGAAGGAGCTCAGGGCAGCAACGAAATTGGCTGCAGAGTTTGGTAGAGTTTACTCTTCAACCAAAAGGTTTGGCATTTTCCTCAAAGAGGGGATCCCAAAATGGCAGAAGGGTCCTTTGGATATTCGTTTGGACAGCCAAAAGAAGGTCCACGTTTCGGGACCCCCCTTTGCAAAGCTTAGTGCTGGGCAATGCTTGGTAAGCGCCAGGACAAGCATGTCATTGTCGCGGGCGAGACGGGCAGTGGCAAGTCGGTGTACCTGTCGTGAACGCCTCAAGACCAAACTTCGGCAGTGCAGTGCCGCCCAGCGCCCACAACCGATTCCCAATGGCCATTTTGGTAGGTTGGACGAATTGGTTGCATTGAGGGTTATCCCAAGTATGCTCGTTGACGGGATTATTGCCTTGCTCTGGTGTTTTCTTCGGATTGAGATGGCGTCATGACTTCGCGCAAGGTTGTGGCTGCAGAAGGACGCGCCGGAATCCATCATCCCTCTCTTCATCAACTTCTCTGCACGGATCTTGGTGGATTTATGTGTAAGTCCGCGCTGACTGGCCCTGCCATCAAGGCCCAGACCCATGTGAACCAGCTTCAGGCCGGATTTCTTGAGCATCTGCAAACAGAACATTTGCTTGCTTGGGAAACCAAAGATAAGCCATTTTTTTTGGGGGGTTCTCCTTTCCAGGATCTCCTGGATTCCAAGTTCGAGAAGCGCCGGCGTGGCGTCTACGGCCCGCGGCTCGGTCTCATGGCTGTGCCTGCGAGTGCTTGTGGGGTGAGGTCCACCAGCGGGCAAGAGGAACGTCATCTTCATCGATGACCTGAATATGCCCAAGAAGGACGAATTTTATGTTTTGCTGGGGGTTATCTGAAATTGACATGGGAGAGGCATCCGAGCGCTTGGGACTTTGCGGGGCGACTTGGCAGGAGTATTATGGGGCACAGCCACCCATTGAGCTCATCCGGCAATGGATGGACTACAACGGATGGTATAACCGCAAGGCGGGCGATGGCAGAGGGGTACGCCATTTTGGGGGTAACATGACGGTTCTACATTTAGCCATATCCAGCCACTTGGGATTGGTCAAGCATTTGATGAGCCCTGTCTGCTCGGGTTGGAGGATAACCATGTCAATGTGCTCAAGTGACCAACTGTTCATTTTCCGCGTTTTGGGCATAAGAAGACGACTCCGGCCAGGAACTGAAGATGCAGGAGATCATCGCCCGCTCCCAAGCCCAGGGATAATGGACTCTTAGGGCCTTAGGGGTGCAGTGCTGCCCAAAGTGAGATCCAAAGTCATGATCATTGTATCGGGTGTTCGTTGGGAGGGGATGATTCTTGTAGGGTCCAAGCGAGCAAAATCTGAGTGTGCATGTGATCTGTACACATGAAGAACACTCTCCTGGGAGCCACATTCCCCTCCCCTAGAGTTTTGATTTGATCCTCAGCGGGAATGACCGTGGCAACTATTCGCCAACCTTTTAAAAGGAATCCCAAATAAGGAACCTTCCTCCTGAATAAAGGTTGCAAAACCTTGGTGAGCAAGAACTCCTGTCAGCATTTGTTTTTAGTGGGAATCTAAGGACATTGTTCACGTCTCGGCCATGGGACCTCCTGGTGGCGGCCGCACGGAGATCTCCGGGCGCCTGAAGAGGCTCAGACGGGAGCCCAATGCAGGATGCCCAAGGGCGGACCAAGGAAGTGGCTCACTTCTGTGCACACGTGCTTTTCGCTGCGGAGTGCAAGTGTGTGTTTGAGACGTGCTGTGTTTGATTGCTTAGTGAAAGCGAAGCTGTGCACCGACTGCGCCGATTCTTGGCGCCCGGAACAGGCACTACAATACGGTGGTGGCGGCAGACATGTCCCGGGAGTCCATCTTCGGCATCTTCTCCACGATCCTGGACTACTTCTTGCAGCAGGGCTTCGAGAGATCCATCATAGACCTCAAGGACTGGAAGCGTGAGCGTGCCCCAGAACTGCCGGGGTGTAACGGGGTAGCTCGGGTAGCTTTCTGTGCGTCCGGTTTGCTTTTAGTGGATTGGGGGTAGACATTGGCCAAGCTCACATTGTCCTGGATGAAAGGCAAGGCCTGACTGACCCTGTCCACATGCGCCAAGAGAAAGACAGAGAGAGAGAGATTAAGAGAGATGTTTGCATGAAATTTATCCCCTATACTTCCCCGCAGAGAGGATCATGTTGCGTACCAAATATTGGCCGTGAATTTTAATAGGGAACCTGCAAAGTGGCTGGTGGACAGGAATCCCCACCGAACTCAGATGTTTACCATTTCTGGTCCAACCACTTAACATTCACACAAAAAAAAAGCAAAACAAAAGCTCGCAGGACAACATTGTGAACTGCTCCATCGACATGTTCGAAGCCGCCGGCACCGACTTGTTGCCGACGCCTTCCAAGAGCCACTACACCTTCAACCTCCGGGACATTTGGAAGGTCTTCCAAGGGATTTGCTCCCTGAAGTCCAAGAAGGTGTGGTTTTCAGAAGTGCGAACACCATGTCTATTTTTTGAAGAGCCCTCTTCCTTTTTTTGAAGGTAAACCCAAAGGGCACCAAGCATTTCCGGGGCCCCTTCCCTCATTTTGAGGTCCAAACCCAAGACCTCAACCTCAATTTCCACAAGAGTTCAGTGTTCCCCCAGTTCCCCATTATTTTTGCAAGGGCAAGCCCAAGAGTTCATCCATCCCCTTTCTCCATTTTTGAGATTCCGGCGAGAAAACACGGAGTTGTTTCCCGTTTTTCAGCGGAGGTCTCCGACCCGTTGGTGGTGATCCGCTGCTTCTGCCACGAGAACATCCGGGTCTACGGGGATCGGCTGACCACGGAGGAGGACCGCACCTGGCTGCGGGGGAAGCTGGAGAACCACCTCAGCGGGCCCTTCGGAGTGAGCCCCGTGCAGATCTTCGACAAGGAGGGGATGGGGACGATGAAGAAATTCCTGGAATGACTATGCTCCAGAAAGAGGGACATCTTATTGTTGCAGTTTGATGAAACACTCTTTGCACTGACAGATTGGCAGTTTGGGGCTCCTCTGAGCAAGCCGTGGCTTGCCGCAATTTTGGAGTTTGGTTGTGGTTTAATACCCAAGTCGGCAGATGTTCAAAACCTGAGCGTCAGACAACGCCTACCTGCGTTTTCTCGTTTCGGGGCTTGCTTTCTGGAGGACCGGCTGGTGTTTGCGGACTTCATGAGCTCCTCTGGAGATCGGTTCTATGCGGAGGTGGAGAGTTTGGGTGCCATGAAGACGGTGATGGAAGGCTTCCTGGATGACTACAACAACATGTTCGCCGTGCCCATGCCGCTGGTGATGTTCGCTGACGCCTGCGAGCACGTGGCCCGGGTTTGCCGTGTGCTGAGGCAGCCCTCTGGCAATGCCCTGCTGTTGGGCGTGGGAGGATCCGGGCGCCAGTCCCTGTCGCGTTTGGCCAGCTTCATGTCGGAGTACGAAATCTTCCAGATTGATGTGGTTAAGGGCTACGGCATGACAGAGTTCAAAGATGACCTGAAGACCTGCTTGATGAAGTGCGGCAGTGAGCAGAAGCAAACTACGTTCCTCTTCGCGGACACGCAGATTGTCAACGAGCAAATGGTGGAGGCCATCAACAACGTCTTGAACTCCGGAGATGTCCCCAACCTCTACAAGAACGAGGCCTGCAGAGTCCGAGTCAGTGAGTGAAGCAGTAACATGATCTATATGTCATCCCAAGCAGATGGTAAAACTCATCAGTATCATCAGTGGCTTCTGATCAGGACATGGACTCCATCATGCAGGCTTGCCGAGCGGCGTGCCAACAGGCTGGGCACACACACACACATGCACATTCTACTTGTCGAACGATTTTACAACCAATGAACGTGGACGGAGAGATCCCTTTTCACATTGGTTACCACAATTTGGGGGGGTTTCCCTATGTCGTTTCCCCTTAAAACCAATTTCAAGGGGCGCTCTCAAGAAAGGAAACTCCCAACAATTCTGATACAGAACCAAGTCAAGACCGCTCTCAGGCTGGCATCCCGCCGACCAAAGCCAACGTCTTCAGCACCTACCTGGGCCGAGTCAAGGCTTGCGTCTTCTGTTGCCTGGGCCGAGGGGCCAAGCAATTGCTGCGTCTTGAAAGAGGGCAACTTTTGAGGCTTTCCTTTCAAGCCACTAAAAAGGGGGAACAAAGACCAAAGTTTGCCACAAGCGGCGGCAAGCGTGCAGGCCAACGTGCACGTGGTCTTGGCGTTCTCTCCGGTGGGCGATGCTTTCCGCACTCGTGGTGGCCCTAGTGACCCAGTGTCAATACTTTTAGGGGAGATCGTCAAGAGTCTTGGTTCCTCCCCCCCGCCCCCCCACAAGGTGGAGGAACCAACCACGCACAGAGCCTCAAAAGTGGTTTTGTGTTGACTGGGGGTTGGACACTTTTGGGCTTGGAAAGGGAGTCCGAACATAAAATGGGTGGTGCACCTACCCCAACATGGTACCATTGGTTTTGACCCACAGCCATGTATGCCCGTATATTACACCAAGGGCTCCATCCAACTTCCGTAAGCTGAGGCCTACGGATGTTCCCATCCCTCGTGAACTGCTGCACCATCGATTGGTTCGCCGAGTGGCCGGCGGAGGCTCCGCAGCCGTGGTCGTGGTTTCAGAAGGGTGCCTTCACCGCCCAGAAGTTGTGGTGCCCGCCAAAGAAAGTCATCTTCTAAACGACCAGATTGGACGTAGCTGAGTGGGGACGTGTTTTTCGCGTGTGAGGAAGCTCAGCCACAGCACATTTCTTCAGGCGCTGTATAGCGTGGGCAAGCAGCAGATGACTTTGGAGGATCTGAAGCTGCCGAACTTGGAGGGCTTTTCGGCCTGAGCTATTTTTTGGTTGTTCCCAATGGGCAAAACGGCCCCTTTTAAGTCCGTTTCTGTTTGGAGGGTTCGGGACCGACTGCAGAATGTGGAAGAACATTGGCACCCTCTATTTCCCAAGATAGCTGAAAGCCATAGGGTTCCAACTTCTAATAGGAGGGGAAAGTGATTCGCGAGATTGACGGCTGGGTGCTAGGGGGCGTGCAGTTGGGGGTTGGGGTGCTGGTGCAGGGGTGCCGTTTGCTGCGCTCTTCGGGGGGTGCTGTTAGAGGTGCTGGTGTGCAATCATGCGCCTGTTTTCGCTATTTGGGTCTATGCTGGTGTAATTTGTTTTATTCCCGATAGTTCAACAAACTTTGGCACCCCTTTCAATACCCTGTGGTTTTGTGGGTTCGGGACCCACAGAAGAAAGGCCTTCCGATCAACCAAAAGGGGGTTTCAATTCGTTTTCTATAAGGGTGACCAGGCAACAGGGTCAATGGTCAGGAAGGAACGGGGTGCTGCCTGCCTGCGGGCAACACTTTGCCGAGGCATTTTGAAGGCGTTTTCTGTGGTGCACCAGTCCGTGGAGAGGGCAGCCAAGAAGACCATGGAGACTGTGAGGCAGGCGGAAGATCTCGGCTCTGGATGCTGAACTCTTTGCGGTTATGCCTGTTTTCTTACCCTCTTGAGTCTCACTAGGTTGACAGAGGCCAGTGAGCAGGGGTTTGGAACAAGGTTAAAAAGTTGTATGAGACAGGTTCCATTGAGGTGCGGGAGCGACCGCACCGATTTGAGAATCAGCGAAGATAATAGATTGATTATGAGCATGACCGGGTTGACCGCAGGGAGCAGAAAACACTCTCAGCGCATTGCGTTTCAGCCCAATCCATGTTTGCTTTACTTCTTTGTCACTTAAAATTGCCCAACACAATACGCACCCATTGCCGCTGCTGCTGCTGCGTCTGCTGCTACTGTTGGTCAGTTTTACTTAGTTCACGATGAGCAGCTCTGAGGCTTGTGTTTGATATGTCTTTTGCCCCATGTTTGTTCTTGAGCAGCCCGCAAGAATTCTGATGCAGAAAGCTGGCGCGCTTGTCGTGTTGAGCACATGTTGACAGCACAAATCTATAATATTGTTTCAGTTGCAACCACAGTTACCAGTATAGCCAGCAATGACGTGCTTTCCCTTCCGTGGAGAGTGTGTTTTCTATTCGTAGGAGCGCCTTGGAGCGTTTTGATCGCTCCAGGCGGGCGATTTACATCACACCCACCTCCTACTTGGAGCTGATCTCCTCGTTCAAGAAGGCAGGAGCTTGTCAGCTGGCGCCCGATAGCCTTGCTTTGTACTTGCGTGCGTCCCGAGTGGGTGTCCAAAGGTTCCAGACCCATAAAGTACTTTTCTTGCTAAAGGAACCAACACACGCAGACCTCGGGCATACATAAAGTCCATCCACCCATCCGTCCGTCCGTCCGTCCGTCCATCTCGTGCATGCATGCATGCATGCATGCATGCACGCAGACAGACGTACAGATACATACATACATACATACATACATACATACATACATACATACATACATACATACATACATACATACATACATACATACATACATACATACATACATACATACATACATACATACATACATACATACATACATACATACATACATACATACATACATACATACATACATACATACATACATACATACATACATACATACATACATACATACATACATACATACATACATCATCACCACACATACATGCCTACATACCTACCTAGGTACCTACTACTTACCTACCTCCCTACATACCTAGATACTTCATACCTACATACCTACATACTGACATACCTACTCATACCTACACATACCTACAAATACCTACACATATCTACACATACCTACATACCTACATACGTGCGTGCATAACTGCCTTTATATGCAGAAGACCACAGGAAAGGCTGTGCGGACATTGTTTGGGTAAAGTTCTGAAGAGGTAGGAACACCCCCAAAAAATCAAAACGAGGTAAGGCCATCACATGTAGGTGGTTGAGATCACAAATTGTAGCAACAACTCTTGAAGAATACATACGTACATTGTATCATACGTAGGTACGTAGCATAACATAGCATAACATAGCACATCATGATATGACATGACATGACATGCCATGAGATTATAATACGCTACAATGAAGTACAAATAATGAATTACATGCATACATAAATGCATGCATGCACGCATGCTTAGAGCCTGCGGCTCAGTCCGCCGACATTTCACCGTGACCCTTCCAAGTTGAGAGGTAAAAGGAACATCACGCCTCAAGCAAAGAAGAACATGTCCCTTCATTTCCCATTTATTTCTCCGTCGTTTCCCCTGCGTTTTTTTTTTTTTTCATTTCCCTTTCATTTCCGTTTCATTTCCCTTTCATTCACCGTTCTTGCTTTCATGCCCCTTCATTGTCCATTCATGTCCCTTTCATTTTCCATTCATTTCCTTTTCATTCCCCCTTCATATCCCTTCAGTTCACTTTCATATCCACTTCATTTTCCTTCATGTCCATTCATTTCCCTTTCCTTCCCCTGCAGTTCCCCTGCTTCATGTCCCCTTCAATTCCCCTCATTTCCTATGTCTCCCCTTCGTGTCCCCTTCACTCCCCTTCATGTCCCCTTCATTTCCCTCCATGTCTTCTTCCCTTCCCTTCATCTCCGCTTCAGTTCCTTTTCAAGTGCTCTAAATTTCCTCTTCATGTTATTTACGCTACACTCCCCCTTCCTTCCCCTTTACTTCGCTTTCATGTCCACTTCACTTTCCTTCCTTTTCATTCATTTTCCTCTACTTTGCATTCCCCCTTCATTTCCTCTTCATTCCCCTGTCATTTCCCTGTCTGTTCATCGTCATTTCCCCTTCATTCCCGTTCATTCCCGTTCATTGCCCCTTCATATCCCCTTCATTTCCATTCGTTTCCATTCAATTCTTTTTCGATCCCCCGGCATTTCCCGTTTATTTCCCGTTCATTCGTGTTGATTGCCCCTTCATTTGCCCTTCATTTCCATTCGTTTCCATTCAATTCTTTTTCGATCCCCCGGCATTTCCCGTTTATTTCCCGTTCATTCGTGTTGATTGCCCCTTCATTTGCCCTTCATTTCCTCTTCTTTCCCCCGTCATGTCCCCGTCATTTCTCCTTCATTCCCATTCATTCCCGTTCATTGCCCCTTCATGTCTCCTTTATTTCCATTCATTTCCCTTCATTCCTATTAGTTTCTCTTTGATTTCCATTCGTTTCGATTCATTTCCCCTTCGATCCCCCGTGATTTCCCCTTTACTTCCCGTTCATTCCCATTCATGTCCCCTTCTTTTCCCTGTGGTGAGAGAGATTTGAACCGACCGGGAGCCGGATTTGAGCCTGCGACCCCTGCTTCTCCACACAACCAAGACTCCCTTCCTTGCCAAACCGTGACCTGTCAGTAGCAGTGGCTGATGTTGGAGCGCCAACCCCTGCGAACCATCGGCACATTCTTGGACACTTGCTATGTCGGTATTTCTCGTCTGCCATGGGAGACCTAAAGCAAGCAGCATTGCAGGCAGTTCAATGAGAAACAGCAAGGGACAGAACCCCTCGAAATGATTCCTGCAGCATGTTCTTTGTCCGACGTTGTTTGAGTCCAGCTTTTTGACAGCAGGTCCTGGCGCTGAGACGGGACCGACCGGGGGGGGAGGGGGGGGGGCTTGAGGCTCCACAAAACGTGTGTATCCTGATAATCCAGATGGATGGTTTTAAATGGAAGCCAAGGGAAGTCCATTTAAGGCGAACCACCCAGTTTTAGTTTTAAAGGCTATCCGATTCAGAGACGAGCACGAATGGAATGGGGACTGGGGACACCTGTGGCTCCCAGGCTTTTTTTGGGGACGTGAGAAACCTATAAGGTGGTTAGGGCAAGGTCTTTTGATTTGGCCTTGTTTGACCTATGGTTGCCTTGAATCACCTTCTTCAAGGGAGGCCACCGTATTGACAGCTTGGCCCATTCATTGTATCCACCCAGACAGCTGATACTAGTGCAAAGCGCTTTGCTGAATTTTGCCGGGGGCCAGCATTGCTTGCTTCTTTCAACAGACACATTCAAACAAGAGGGTAGTGGCCGGACCCCATCCCCTGCAAGCATCCTTCGTGCCGGCCGTGTGTTTGGTGCTTCCTTCTCTCTCAGCTGACTGTGCAAAAAGGCAGCTAGTGATTTGCAAAATGCACCAATCCGAACTCACGGTTCTCTCTGGTCCCCAGTTACATGTCCCCGGCGAGTGGGGCAAGTATTGTTTGGCCGGATCCTGGATGTTTGAAGTTCAGATGGCCAGTCATCAACCACTGAGTAGGTGATGAAAGGGCTCCTGCACCAGAGTTTGGCCATGGCAGACATGGGCCGAGCTTTGATCAAGCCGTGACCGAGACGTTTCTGTTTTTGGCCAGGCCACACATTGCACTCTTGTTCGAGTTGATCGTCACACTGGTGTTTCAGACTTCAAGGGTTAGTCTCAAGCTTTCGGGCACAAGTCAGAATGGGTTGTATATCTTTGGATTTTCTTTGACATAACCCCAAAAGATACGCTCAAACAAAAAGGCAACATACCCATATCTCATCAGATTTGCACCCGTCGCACTGCCTTTTATCTTGGTTTGCGTCCAGGTTTCGATTGGGCCATGTTGACATGTGGTGCGACCTGTGGCCATTGGAACTTCTTTACTACTGGTTCTAGGAGCAAACAGTGGACAACTTGCAGGGAGTCGTTCGGCTGGCCCAGTTTTCCTTGAACAGAGGCCTTTTGCTTGTGCAAACTTGGTCCTTGTGAAGGGTTTCCTTCACAGGTTGGACCAACCATCGCGGCTCATTGCATCCCCGCAACCAACCATTTGGAGTCACCACACATATTCTTTTGCGTCAGGACATGGTGGGTACCCTGAAGAATCGCCTGCAGAAGGGTCTGGACGCTTTGGGTGCCGCCGCCTATGCCGTGGCCAACATGCAGACGGAGCCGGAGCGCCCAAATCGCCGTGTCGCGGTGCTGAGCTTTGGGACGCTTCCAAACGAATTCCCAGGGCCCGACCAAACGTATTCGTGCATTTGGTGGTGCCATGTGCCCAGGTTGGAGGCCAAGCAGCCCGTTCTGGAGGAGACCAAGGTGAAGGCGGGAGATGTGAGCCGAAGGGCAGGAGCCGGCTTTACATGAAGCAAAACACGTGTGCCGCACCACAAGAGACATGAACAACATGAAGCCATCAGGTGGCTGAGATGATGGTGGTCATTACAGAGGACAAGGCTAAAGTTCAAACCTCAGAGTGAGAGAGGTGCGGCATAGGCGCAGAGCAGATATCAAGATTCTTAGTTAGCAGCAACAGTGGATTGACTCCAATCTGAAAATGGCACCCTGAGAAACACATTGGACATGTTGAGTGTCTGCACTTGTCGTGGATGCTGGGGGACTTACAGGAATTGAATTCACCTGTTGGTTCAGGCTGCTGTGACGAAGGAGGAGTGCACAGTAGTGGAAACTGAAGCAAAGGAGCAGGCCGTGCGATTGTGAATGTCATTTGCAAAGCCTTGCCCAACTGTTAACAGGCACCGCCATGCTCGAATTTGGCTGTGAATCGAAATGTCGATAGGGAACCACCTCACTAGTGGATTGTGTGTGGACATGAATCCCCACCTGCATGATGTCCACCAAAGAGCCCCTAAAACAAATTCAAACCCCCACTGTCGGGTGACCAAAGCGGGACCACTCTTAAACGGTTTTGAGGTGAAGCCACGTGAACATCAGCCGTTCCCAAGATTCTGACTGCCAGTTGTTTCTGAAAAACCAGTCCGCGAAGCCAACTGCAAGCCAGGCTGCAAAAGCTACAGCCATCAAAGAGGATGCAGAGAAGGACTTGAACGAGGCATTGCCCGGAGCTCAGCCCGGGATAATTTGTTTGACGTGGATAGGGGGCATGAACGTTCCGACGGTTGCCTGCAGGTATATGCCCATATTTTGTTTGTAGCCAAAACACGAGGCCGGAACTACTGAGAACACGTTGAAACGTGGGTGTGATGGGTGTGCGCCACTTTGCACGCCGGGGGCTGCATGTGGCTCTTCCAGCCCTCCACACAGCCGGGGAATCCGCTTTCATACTTGTACATGCAATTGGCCGCTGTCGCTGTGCAGTTTGCGCCTGGCAGGGTGTAGCGCGTGTCTTCGCACATGGCGGCTGCTTTTCCGCTTTCCAGGGTCAGCGGAGGGGTAGATCATGCATGCCTTGGTACAAGCCAGCATCTTCCTCACCATCTGTGAATGATCAGCGGGCAGAACCACAACTTGCTACTTGGATGTTCTACTGTTTGACTCTTCTTAAAGGCCAAACAAAACCAACAACACTCAACAAGAAGAGGAGAGGGCAGATATGTGTCAGCGCTTGGCAGGGTGGGCGCTTGGGCTGAGGCCTGCCCTGAACGTGGCCGAAAAGGCCTTGAAGTCTCTGAAGCTTGCCAGCCTTCAGGACAGCACGCACAGGGCCAGAGTACGCGCAAGCTTATCCTCGTTGGTTTTTGGGGCAAGGCTCTTCTGGGAGTTCCCGTACTGGGGTGAATGCACGCCGTTCTAGCTTTCTTGATAGTTTGGGCTTGCGGAGGGAGGTTGCTGTGGTCCGACCTCGTCAACTCGAGACTGTGAATGCCTGAGACGAGGTGCTAGGAGGGTTGACACAGGTGGATGTGAGATGGCAGCTTGATTTTTAGCCCCGGCTTGAACCTCGACAATGGCGTTGGCTGCATCGAAGACCATATACACCCCTTGCCAATCCATTGATTTGGAGCAGTCTTCTTCTTTTTCGCGGTTTCATTACGTTTGGGACTTCGTCGCTGTGGCCTGAGCCCACTGGTTGCCCGTTGGCCGCAGGAGATCAAAGCGTTGGGCAAGCCGCCGGATGGTGTTCGCTTGACCCTCGAGGTGGGTGACCTGCCGATTTGTTTGCCGGATATTTCGGCTCCCTCCAGGCAGTGTGCGTGATGTTCCAGGTCAAGTCAGCAGCCAAGGATTGCACGTGAGCAAGGGGCAACCATTTTACTGGGCTTGCTCACCAAAATTTGTTGTCGCTGGGGGACAATGAATAGCAACTGTGGCTCATGTTTAGATGATCCCATAAGGCTTAATGCATCCAGCGAAGTGAGTAGGATGCTGCTCGACCGCCTCGCTTCGCTGTCAAATTAAACATCTGAGGCCGATCAAGAAGGCGGACCCCAACCAGCCTGGCAAGAAGATCGACGACTACTGGGAGGCTGGCTTCCACTGCTATGAATCCGAATGGGTTTGGGAGAAACAATGCATGTAAATGACATGAGCACCCATGTGAATGATGTCAACTAAAGGGAGCCGTGGCGGGAAGCTCATTTGTCACTGGGCCGGGCTGAGGCCTCACAGAAAGGGCCACTGAGCGATCCCAAGAAGCTCCTGGACGACTTGTTCGAGTTTGACAAGGCTCGCACTTGGAATCTGTGTAGAGTTCCTCAAAATTGCTTATGAAGCGGCCTTGTCCCAGCCTGGATTTGATTGTCGAAAGGACAACATTGCCGAGCCTGTCATCAAAAAGATCCAGGAGTACGTGGACCGCGAGGTGCGAGCGTACGTTTTGGACAGCGTTTTCCCCTGCTGGAAGTAAGCTCCGTACCGAAACCCAGAGGTTATCTTAGGCGAGTACAGCCCCCCTCACCTCTTTGGTCGGTTTCAAGTCTTGGAGTCAATTTGGGAAGAAAATCAGCTTTTCATTTGGGTGAAGGAACTAGAACTGGTCGTTTCTTTTTTTGAAGCCGTATTGTTAAACATATGTCATGATGGGCAACCAAAACCACCCTTCTGGGGTCCCAGACCAGTTTTAAGTGGGAGCCCTCCTGCAATCAACATAGAGTCCAAAACAACCCTGGTGTCCAAGATGGAGTGTCCAGCCCTAAAAACGACGAGCTTTTGGGTTCTGCGTCAATCTGTGCAGGACTTCGACCCGGCGGCCATCAAGAAGTCCTCCGTGGCCTGTGAGGCCCTCTGCATGTGGCCAGGGCCTCGAGGCTGAAAGCACGGGCCTCCTGTTTGGGGTGGGCGCGCGTTGCAAATCGGCCTCCGGTTTTGCCCCACTTTAAGGTAGGCCAATCTTAGGCGTTTGGCCCACTCCGCGCATCGCCCAGGGTGAGAGCAATGCACAAGTACCACTTCGTTGCAAAGGCCGTGGAACCCAAGAGGAGGCGGGGTCTTGCAGGGTGAAGTGATGCTCCTATCCAAATGCCGTGACAGGATGTTGGCGGATGCGGAAGCCAGCCTGGAGGCCGGTGCCCATCAATCCCCCTTTTTCAAGAGTCCGTGCAGCTAGCAAGCGGGTTTTGCTGCGTGATATTCATTTTCAGCGGACATGGATCGAATTTCGCAGGCCCAATTTAAGACAGTTTCCTTTAGTGGAGTGATGTGTAAGGGAGACATACTCGACTGGATATGTTTTAAGCCGATGCTTCGCTAGATCACCATGACGAAGCTGCGGAACGCGCAAGCCGAGCTCAAGGCAAGGCACTGGTTCCAAAGGTTCCATTCGGGGCAACCAGGGTAGACGCTACCCGGAGGTTCTATTTCCCTTTTGGTTGGAGATCAACCACCTCTGGGGGGGGGAGTTTTCCTTGGGACTCGCACAGGGGAGCCTTCATGGTGGCCTGTATCTTGGAGTAAGCGAGCCCCAAGGTCGCTTTTGTTGGCGCTTTGACCATTCCCTGTCTCTCGGGGATGGCTTCCAAGGTGGGGGGTTTTCGACATACCGTGAGTGCCACTTTGGGTGTACCAATTGAGCACCAGGTTTGATGATGGCAATGGTTGTGCAGAGCTTGACTCAGCGCTGGAGGGGTCCTTCGCAGGCCGTGGAAGACAAGCTGGCGCAGCTGGAGGCAGACTACAACGATGCTGTGGCGAAGCAGGACGGAGCTCTGCCCCTTTGATAGGCCAGGTCTTTAGTTAGACAAAAATTGTCTCAGCACTCAGCCCCTGCCCGAAGGGGGTTGTTTAAACAATAGTAATTCAAAGTATTTCCAAACCAGGGCTTGGCCCCCCAGCCGTGTACTCAGAGGAGCAACTGGCGCACGAAATGGAGATGTGTGTGATCAAGTGTCTAGGCGGCATTGATGGCGACAACCTGTGTTGCGAGCTTCCAGTTGTGTCATCGCTTCCAGTTTGTCTTCGGAATGACTCCTTGGCGGGACAGGGGAGAGATCAATCGAACGTCGCGCCGCATTTTGCATCGGCGCCCAGCAAAGAGCGTCATCGCTTCCTAGACATGCTGTGGATTTTTTTTGGGCACCAACAAGAAATCACCCAAAATGCTGTAAGGAAAGCTGTCCCGGGAACCTCCAACTAGCCCTTCCATTATCCATAAAACGGCACCGCATCTCGCGTAAAATATTTTGGGGTTGGGCTTTCCCTGAATACGGCATGGTTTTGGGGTGGGGGGAGCGAAGTGACTAATCCTCCCAGGTTGCCATGACACGTAGAATGCATATTGCATGCCCAAACCCACCCTAAACCCAGTACCCTAAATTGAGTGGTTGCAAAAGAGACCCCAATGGATTCCTATTGCAGGAGGTCCACAGAGTCTATTTTGCAACCTTGCTCTTCAGGGTCGTAGTGTTTTAGGGTGGCTGCAAAACTACGCTCTCAGTGGCAAGTGACAAAACTAGTGCAACCTTGCAAATAACTTCAGTTTTTCTTATTTTTGGTCTCCCTTTAAACCAACCCACACAGGCGGCCACTTGGCGCGCACACTCGTTTAGGTTGGGCAACGCCAACAAGCTCATCGACGGCCTGGGCGGCGAGAAGGAGCGGTGGGCCGCCACGGTGCGGGCGCCAGAAGGGCTCGAGGCTTCGAGGAATCGAAGCGGGGTGATGGAAACCCCGAATTCGACTAGAGCCTAGGGCGGGCTTTTGCAGGGGACTTTTTGGTGCCCGTACAAAGAATCGAATGTGGGTTGATACTTTGCAAATAGGCACGTCTCAAAATAGGGGAAGCCTGAAATGGCTGGTTTCCTTCGATTCCCCTTTAACCTGTCCAAAAGGGGGTCCACCTTTTGAGAACCCCCCAAACGGAACTTTGGAAGCAAAACACCACCCTTCCTATGGAGAGAGACTCCTAAAGAAAAGTCTCCGAATGGTGTATGTTTTCCGTGGTTCTCCATGGACACAAACCCAACATGGGGTCAAATCTCACAACCGGGAAAGCAGCTTGGTGCACCGAGGTGGACAACTTGGCGGTGGAGTACGACCTCCTTCCGGGGGATTCTCTCATTGCCGCAGGCAACTGCTGGCGCCAGCGGCCAAAAGGGGGAAAGCTTTTGACACCCTCCTGGAGTTTTTTTTTTTGGAATGGGGACAACCTTTCCGGTTGGTTGCTTAGGGAAGCCACAAGGAAGCCAACCACGTTGAAATTCTGAAAGTACCCTACTTTTGAGACACCGCCACCTGCAGTCAAGGGTCTTCAAAATCTTGAGATTCCTCTTCCCGACCCTTTGCGTCGTTATAGATGTTCCATGCTAATCGTTGACAAAGAGTAGTTTCCAATATACATGTGAGCGATAGTCAAACTCGGGAAGATCATGGATAGTAAGGGGCAGCCCATGAGTTGGTCCAGGCACCCTCTCAACTCTTGACTCTTTGCCTTGGGTAGACTCCTTAAGCAAGCCAGGTTTTGACTGTGACTCATGTGCAGGTTTTGTTGCTTTTCTTGGCGGGGCGAGGGCTGTGTGTGTGTGTGTGCGTGTGTGTGAGTGTCTCCCAAAGTGGTGGTTTTCTTTTGGCTTTCCTTTAAACCAAGCCCTGATGGGTGAAGCTTGCAGGCATGGTGGGCTACGCCGGCGCTTTCGCCGGGGAGTTCCGCAGTGATTTCGAGAAGCTCTGGCTGGCCACGGAGGACTGGCGCACGGCAGCGGAAGATTCGAAGCCCTTCACCAGTCAATCCCTTTTGTGCGTTTCTCAAAAATCCCTCCCCTACAGTGGTTAGTTTCCTTCTGGTTTCGCTTTAAATGCCAACCAAGACAAACCCCACCATTGTGAGAACTCTCTTTTGGGAACACGAGTTCAGTGGAGGTTGGTCGAAGTGCACATGGGCGAATTTGGGGACAGGACTGTCCCCTCAACTGAACTTTGGCCTCAAAATGGGGAATGCCCTCCCAAACAGCTTCCTTATCAAGATTCACATCCAGCTGAACTTGTGCCATCTTGCGACGACTGCTCAGCTCCGAAAAAGCGAATGACTGCAAAGGGCGTAGTCCAGGCGAAGCCGAGGCGAAGCCACCCTCAAATTTCAGGTGAACCTCACTTGACTCATTCTGGAAAGTGACATCCTCAAGTTTTACCCTCTATATAGGTGGCTTCCACTAGAAGCAATTTTGAGAACAGGTCCCTCAAAAATGTTGACAGTGCGTCCCCCAAAGAAGATTCCGATCCCAAGACCTGCCCCTTTCTTAGGGTTCCACGTTCATCTGGGAAGTCTTTGGGGCAGTCATCATCTTTTTGGGTCCCGGTCGACAGGACCAAGAGAACATCACGCACAAAGCGGGGGCCAGCTTGGTGACCGTGCTGGGCCAACCTGTGAGGGACCTCAGCTCCGTCCGTTGCCCTTGGGTGGTAGGCCTTGTGGTTTTCCCTTGAGATACCAATCACAAGAGAGTCCACCATTTTGAGAAGCACCCCGTTTGGTCTATTGTTAGTTCGAGGAAGAGAAGGGGGGGTACCAACATTTCCCACAACCAAGACAGGAGCAAGATAATGTGTTTGGCAGTGTAGTGTCGGTTTGGGGGGACAGAAATTTGGGCCCTCCCACGCCACACAAAAAACAAGGGAGCCCAGAAGTTTCCAATGTTCTCTGGAACAATCAGTTTTGGCAGAAACGCACGTGAGAAGGCCTGGAACACACTCATCAAGTTGACACGAGCAAATGTGACTCACGGATGTGCCATGCTGCGGAAGCACTCAAGTGACCTTGGCTCGTAATACGAAAACACCAAGTTTGTTGAGGGTCTGCATCGTGAACCAAGGTGGTTATCCAACAGTGGGCCGTATGTGGTCTTCCGAATGACAACCTGTCCGTGGAAAACGGCATCATCATTGCCACTGCGAGGCGGGAGCCGCGTTGTTGGGCTCGGCTATCCAAGCCGTTCATCCCCAATGTTCCATCAATTGGCTGGTTGGCTTGCACAATCCAAGAACGTTGGACAGGTTGGCGTTTTTGCCTTTTGGAAAATATGAAAGATCTGGAAAATGACGCCGAAAAAAAGCAACCTTTTTTTGGGTACCACTATTTTAGGCACATACTGGTCCATTCGATTTTTTGGCGTTGACTGGGCACCGAAGCTGACGCAGGCGTTGGCCCTTGATGATCGACCCCCAGCGCCAGGTTGGGCTGTGGGTGGTGTCTAAAGAGGGCAAGGCATTGCCACGAGCCGACACCAACTTACATTTGGTGACGGGAAATATAAAGCCTGGGCCAAAAACACAGGTGTGTCTTTTTGTTGGGGCACTCTTTTCGGTGTTGCTTCAAAGGAACCAAGGCTTAAAAAGTAGCACCATAGGTTTGTTTCTGACCTGTAGCTTCAGCCAGGCGAACAAGTACATCAAGCTGTATGGCAAGGTTGCCAGCGAGCAGGGAATGGGCCGGGGCCCAAACGGCACGCCAAAATCGAAGTACACTGTTGCATAGTGCTTTGCATTCAGTATCCTAGCAACATGGATGGGCTGGAATTTGACCGTGGTTGTGGCAAATTGGGGTTTGTGATGCCAGCAGATGCCTTGTAAGCTGTTGAAGGTGCTAAAGTAGTCGAGGAGTGGCCCGATTTGGAAACAGAACCCTGGAGCAACAACTCAGGGGCCCTTGCATTCCCTTTGTGTGATTTGAGCATCACCTTTTGGACCGGCTTGAAAATGAGTTTCCTTTGGCACGGTGATGTTTAAACGCAGCATGCAAGCCACTGACAAAACACGGAAGACATGGGGCGCCCTTTGAACTTTCCCGCAAAAACCAGGGATCCCAAAGATCCCAAAGGAGATGCGTTCGACATGTGGTGCGGGCCCCTCAAAGGATACATTTGAGCCAATCAGCAAATTACCTTTGCCCGAAACGATCCCAGCCATTTTAGGGGACCAATTCCAGTTTTGAGTCCTTCCCATCTGGCGGTCAAGAGTGTCAAAATCTGATGCTTCCCGGCCGACTGAGGCACCTGCAAGCTGTCTGACCCGAATCTCCTGCAGACAGTGGAGCCGTGCGCTGAGTGCGACAGAATTGGGCCGAAGGCCCCGAAAATACCTGGGCTTCAAGATGGGGACCTCCCATTTGGTTGGTCTTCAAGTGGAAACAAAGAGAAAGCCAAGTCTACCCTTTTTGCAACAATCATGGACGTGGGCAGGATAACGTTTTCATAATTGTAGTCTTCCAACTTTGTTGTCCACTTGTTTCAATGTTGGAAACAGGATAAATGGGATTGTCCCAACATGCGGGACCCCCTTTTCGGGTGACTTCAAATGGAAACCAAATGAACCATTTGAGGCTCCATCATTACCCAGGAAATTGGATGGATAAGGGACAATCCCAGCCATAAATTGGTGCGGCTGCCTTTTGACTTCTTTACATGGTTCTGGGTAGACCATTTCAATGCCAGATTTTGGTTGTGACTCATTTGATATTTCAGAGGACACCCAGATGTCACGGGGGCCTTCTAGGTGTTTGGTTGCGTGAATACCCGGGTTCTGGGGAAGAAACAAGTATTTCCTTCAGCTGCGGTTCACGCTTTTTCCCGAAAGCATTGCCAAGAGCTCTTCAGGAAAGACCCGGAGCGGATTACGCCAGCAAGTGTCACTAGTATGTAACAGTAGCAAATAGCATCAGTAAGTTGCATTAGTGTAGCACTTGCGAGTTGCACTAGCAAGTTGCATTAGTAAGTAGCACTAGCGAGTTGCACGATCAAGTTACATAAGAAGTTGCTAACGCGGGCTTGAAAGTGCACTGTTGCAGCTCCGGCTGGAAAATAGCAACTTTCAAGCTCGAAAGTAGTTCGCAAAGTACGCTTTCGTAGCAGAAGTAGTACGGGAAGTGCATATTGGAGCTCCAGCTGCAAGGTTGCAACTTGTCAGCGCGAAAGTAGAATGCGAAGTGCTCTTTCAGAAGGCTCCTGCTGGAAGATCGCAACTTTTAGCTACAAACATATTGCGGGAAGTGCAACGCTTGTACTCGCGAGCTGCCGCCGTGCGCTCCTAATGCTTTCGGGCCACCCATCTTCTAGTTCGTGTTTACCCGGCAGCGCCCCCTTTTGGTCAACAGCTCCTGCAGAGCTGCTTGTGAGCAAGGCTTGCGTCTGTCTATGCATCAAGCCCGTAGCCGTGAAAGATTTGAAGACCATCATACCATTTTTGATTCCCCTCCATTCCTGAACCCCATCATGCCCACGGCTCCTGCCGCAAATCCGGCTTTGTTCCCCCAGGCTGGGCATCCAGTTTGGCAAGTGGATCTTGCTGGAGAACATCGGCGAGCAGCTGGACCCTGCATTGGAGCCCGCCAGGGGCCCAAGGAGGTCAAGAGAGCCCTGCGTGGTTGTTTTGCAGGTTCGTGTGGGGCAAATTGTTTGTAGGTTGAGAGCGAGTTTTTGCGCTCTTGCAGAGGTGACCTCAGGTGCAATCACACATCATCTAGAACCGGGGCGGTGCTCAAAAATGCGGGTGCGGTTTGGCAGGTGCTGCAGCAGCAGAAGATCCGAGATGGCACCTCCTTTGCCATCAAGCTGGGTGATAAGAATGCAGCTGGGCAACAAATGTTTGCTGAATGTTTGGGAGTTTCTCGTATTTTTAGATTCTTTTGGTTGGAGTTTCAAGGGACACTGAAAGGAGGGTGCCCTTTTGACGAAACAAAACACCAACCTGGGGGTCGGCAGGTGGCCTACGATGACAAGCCCGGGCCCGACGCACCAATGTGGAGAGTCACCCAATGTTGACACATGCCTGCACAAGCTTTCACTGCATTCTTGCTGAGATTCCGCTTCTTCATAACCACGACCCTGTCAAACCCTCACTACTCGCCAGAGACTTCGGTGAAGGCGGGGGACTCTTTTCTCGGAGACGTCAATTAAGTAAGACGACCCTTTCGCTTCGCGCCTGGCCTCTGGCAGGTGACTTTGCTGAACTTCGCCATCACTCCAGAGGGCCTGCAGGTGGGTCCATTGGAATCCAAGAAGATGAGAGCTCTGCTGGAGAGAGAAAGAGAGAGAGAAAGAGAGAGAGAGAGAGAGAGAAAGAGAGAGAGAGTGCCTCTTTCAAGAAACATGTGCAAATTTGCAGGGTCTATTATTATGTTCATGTAAGATCAATCAGGCCTATTGTTTACAGCTTCAATTTCCCAATGGACCATACCATGAGTTTGATGTGGGCGCACATCATTTGCACCCAGCGGGTTGATTCGTCCTGTTATGCAAGAAGCGCGGCGTGTTTTTGTTGTCGTAGGGAAGAGGGACACACTCTTGGGCCGCAGGACCAGATGTTGGGCATCGTGGTTGCGAAGGAGCAGCCTGAGATGGAAGAGAAGAAGCAGGAGCTGCATGTTTGGCTTTACAGCTAGCTTTGAATTTGTGCTTGCATCAGGAGCTTGTTAAAAACAGTGCAGCCATGAACAAGCAGCTCAAGGACATGCGAGAGAGCGAGAGAGTGAGTTTGAGTTTGAGTTTGAGCTAGTGTTGTCACTGAGCTACTCTCGAGTCATCGTCAGGACATTGAAGATGAGATCTTGCGATTACTATCCGCAGACGGCGACATCCTGGAAAGCAAGGCATTTGTGCATGCGCCTGTGCGTCTGTTTTGTGTGTGTGTGTGTGTGTGTCATTCATGTGTGTTCCTTGCTGACTCGCTCTCTTTGCGCATGCAAGAAATCAGCAATGCGCCAAGATGCATCCAGCTGTGCTGCCAGGAGTTGATCGACACTTTGGAGTACTCGAAGAAAACGTCCGCCGTGATCAACAAGGCACCCATCCCCGGGAGGGTTTCATTGGGTCCCTTAATGTGATCATTTTGAGGGGTTCTCAAACATGCTTTTGAGGGGTCCCTTTGAACCACCATCTTAGGGGTAAATTGAGGATGTCACTTTAATAGTCCCAGGTGCGTGGAAGTAATTCCCCTCGCCTGAGAACCAAGGCAATGGAGGAAGCCAAGGTCACGGAATTGGAGATCGACGAAGTTCGCAGGTGCGCTTGAAGTGGCAGGAATGCCGGTATGTGGCAGGGGGACAGCAGACAGTAGATACTGGCGAGACTGTTCTTTGCAAATATTTGCCAAACCTGTGGGCAGGTCTTACAAGGACTACGTCATGCTGCCACGTTTTTGCCTTATCCAAAGCACTCCCCCCTTCGCCATTGTTTTTTCGACCTCTTCGTGGCTTTGGGCTTGTGTGTGAAGCCATCATCCTAGCTGTGGTTTGACCCGGACCGGACAACGAAACATATTGTACGTCCAGGGGACCCTAAATGACAATGGTTTTACTTGTGGCTTCCCTTGAAAAGCCCAAGCTGAAACGGGTACCAACTCAAAGTATGCCCAGCATCTCCAACAGCAACCCCTAGATTGGGCATCATCTCAGCGACCCTTTCAGCTTTCAGCTGTTGGAGTATTCTATCAATGGCGCTTCCGCAAGTTTCTCGTTTTTACGTCATTACCTGCTCCTTTTTTTGCCTCGTTGGTACTGGAAACCTTTGGATTCTGCAGCGGGAGTAGCGCGGGGAGCGAATGGCGCCAAGCCTTGTTTCTTCTCAAGCCGCCTGTGCAGCTGACTGACTATGGGGTCGTGGCCAATGTCTGGCTCGGCTACAAGCAAAAAGGGCCCTTCAGCTGCGGAAGGGTCAAGACTGATGTCTGGACAATCTACATGCATGGCATCAACTGATGAGCCTCTAAATGCCGTGTTGCATGGGCACAAAATCCTTCTCAGTTGATGACGTGGTTGGCTTACTTCGGGATCGGGCCGTTGAGGTAGACGAGGGATTCTGCAGAGTCTGCAGCGCTGACTTGCCCGCCTTGGCATTCTTGCGAGCACTCCTGAAGCTGGGGTCGAAGGTTATAGACCACACTGAGGTCTTCAGAAACTGAAGTAACCCGGCCCTGCATGATGGTGCCTTCTTGGTCAAGGCATCGCCCAAGTCATAGTCCGAAGCAGTCCAGCGAAGCTCTGTGAGGGTGCGTTCCAAACTTTCTCTCACTTGAAAGGCTTGAAGAGCGGCTCTCATATTGGAGAGCCCAAGCATCGGGGACTCATGGCGAGTCACAGCATCGTATCCGCCTCGGGAGTCTGTAGTGACCACGCCCTTGACAAGCTTTACCACCTCTTCGCCGGCAGAGACCTTGTCGGTGTCGCGGTGCTGGTGGATGGACTGGCCATGAAGTTCGCACCAAAGAAGTCGCATCCGGAAACTGTTGTCCTCGGATTCGACCATGGCTTGTACCTCGGCGTCGTTCGAGCTGATGGCCTTGCGTTTGAGTTTCCAGCATCGCCAGGTCAAAAGACACATCTTAGTGGGAGCGCCAGTGATTGCTCGTGGGCCTGAAGCAACGGTGATCATGCCGCCAGTGCTATCTCCTTGAGGTCGGTTGGCATGAGCTTGGTCACCCATGGTGATGAACACTACGTCGGTCCAAAATTGGACTCCAGGCAGCTTGAAGAATTCCAGCTTGACGGGGTTCCTGCGGACCTCACACACCATTTGTTGAATTTCTCGTGCAACAGAGGTCGAAGGGTTCACGGTCACCTCGGTGAGCAAGAGATTGCATCTCGCACTGAGCTGTGGTTGAGTTTGCGCCGCAACCCACTGCAGGGCTCCCAGGGTAGCTCGGCAGTGTCCAACTTCGCTGGAATCCAGAACGGAGTCCACTTGACGAAGACGTTCGGGAGGTATGTTCACGTCCTGGAGAGACTCGATGTAGTACTGTTGGTCGACAGTGATCGTGGTGTCACCGTTTTCATCCTTGCCGATGACGAGGTCGGTGCCAGCGTGGCGATATTCTCCACGCTTGATGGTACCCCAGACGTAGGCACGGTCAACCTGCTGGCAGACCTCATTCCATTCAGGGTTGGACTTGTCTCCGGTCCGGTGGAAATCATCTACATGACCACCCATGGCACCAATGACGAGAGGTCGGCCTTGTTGGTCTTTCTGATGTTGCGAAAGCCATACCCACATGCATCTCTCTGAAGTCCGGGATATGCCACCAAGACGTTTGAAGGTTGCATGGAGATCTTGCCAAAGTTCACGGGGTGCCGTGGTGGAGCCGTACACGTTCTTCAGGATGCGAAGAATGCCTTCGGAACCAACGCCTAGGGCTTCTCGAAGCTCTTCAGTTCCGTAGGTCCAGAGTTTCTTATCCTCCTCGGTCTTCTGGGTCTGCAAGAATGCCGTGGCAAGGTCAAGACCTTCAAGTTCCCAACCATGCTGGCAGGTCATGAGGTACAGGAGGTTCCTTCCGAGGTTGGTTTGAACCGGACTCGATGTGCGGAAGGAAGGGTCCAGTAGATCGGGGTGTTCAAATCCGAGCACCGCGATGCGGGCCTTTGCTTTCTTGCGACCGTCAGGTGTGACCATGGTCTGCGCGTTAAACATGGCATCTCGGAGGGCTTCTGGATGTTCCTCATCTGGAACCAGTTTCCACGTGAGGACCCAGCGAGCACGCATGATGCGCCCAGAGTTGTAGGCCTCCTGGATCTCCTTGTTATCCAGGCACTTGCGAACTGCTTCATTTTTGAGGAAGCTGCTGACTTCCTTGGCCTTGGCACGGTGGAGCAACTCGCGGAGTTGTGGTGTGAGCTTCTTGAGGTTGACTTCGCTGCTCCGCATTTGCTTGACGAGGAACAGGTGAGGATCGCGAATGAAGTTCTTCTTCTCACGATTACTGGTAAACTCCAGGTTGAACTCCTTCACCATCACTTGCTCGGTGTCCATGAGAGCTGTGTGAAGGTCGATGGTATCCTCCTGCAAGGATTGAAGCCATAGAGCATCATCTGGATTGATGCGGGCTTTCTTGAGTTCCCGACGGAGATCAGGATCCTCTTCGTATTCATTGACCTCTCCGGCGGGTGACGCTGACTGTGTGGGCATTGCTGTGGAAGTAGATCTCGGAGCACTTGAAGAAGGCTCAGGTTCTCCAGTGCGAGCGACCTTGGTCTTGGGCATAGGTACAGGTCGGATGTCCAAGGCACCCTTGGTCTTCATGCGATGAGTGGGCTTGATGATCGTGGATTTGTCGGGTTCGGGTGGTAAGTCAGGAAGTTCAAGCTCATCCGATTTGGGAGCTTGGTCGATCATGTCCACGAACTCACGTTTTGGTAGTACATCAGCGAGGGATCGCCATCGAGAGGGATCCTCTGCGCCACCAATCTCGAAGACCAGGCGCTCCTTGTCGGTGACCAATCGCACACTATGTGGGGAGCATCGCATCAGCTGAGTGCCAATGAGAACCCAGACCACATGACGACGGTCATCATCTGCTTGCTGATGAGGTAGGACCTCATGGAAGATCACACGCCCAGGGCCGATCCAATGGGGCTTGCCAGACTTCTTGAGGCCTTGACGTGCTCCTCGATGAAGTTCAGCAGGCCAGACTCTTCTCCAAACCTTGACCAGGTCCATGGGTTGGAAGGTGCGTAGAGGTTGTCGCACTGTTGTGTTGACCAGCTTGGAGAGAACGCGCTTTGCACGTGTTGACCGGGCAATATCCTCCGCCTTTTGACGAGCTTGCACGAGCTGCTCGAATTCGCGGTGCCGCTGATCTTGAGGAAGATGTTCGAAGGTGCGAATGTCCTCCTCCGTGATGTTGTAGGCCTTGCCGTAGCACCACTGGAAAGAGCTGAAACCGCGTGTGTACTCGGTGGAGTTGAGTGCTGCCGCAGCCAAGTAGAGCGTGACCTCTGGGTTCTGCTCTGGACTGGACGTCTGGATGGCTGTGGCCGTCATCTTGACATCTTGGATTGCGGCCTCGACAATGCCATGTGCCCAGCTTTCCTTTTCCGGGGGAAAGGCTAGCTGTACACCAACCGAGTTGCAGAAGTCGTGCGTGGACTTGGCCGTCATGGTTTTGCCGCAATCAGGAATCAGCATCTCAGGTCGAGGTTTGTCAGAGAGCCAACGTTCGGAGAAGGCCTTGATGAGCATCTCGGCATTCTCCGCCTTCATCTCGAGGAAGTTGTACTGCATGAGCGGGCAGACTACTCGCAGCTTTGTGGCCAGGTCGATGAACAAGGCGAACTTTACCTTGCGAGGTGCTCCCGGAACATCCCACTCGCTGACATCCAGACCGACCGCCTGCCCAGCTTGGTATAGAGGATACGTTGCCGCTGGAGGGACTTGTCCACTACTAAGTCCGCCAGGCCGAAGTGCTTCACACGCACTGCATTTGAACTCCTTAGCCTTGTCGATGCGCCATCGTGGGTGTCCGGCTTCTTGAAGAAGTCGAACCAGGTTGGAGTTCGTAGGGTGTCCAGCAGCCTTGTGGAAGTGAGCTAGCTTGGCTTCCCACCGTTGCACTTCTTCAGGACTGGGTGCATCCGGTGGATGGGGTGGATTAGCTGGAGGATCTGGCTGTGGCTCATCAGGTGGAAGTGCATCAGGTTCAGGTCTTGCTGGTGCTTGGCCAGGATCGGATGGTGGGTGCGCTGGTAGAGCATGAGGATCACCATCCTCTTGAGCTGCAAGTTCCAAGGCCAGGTGAGCACCATGGTTCTTGGTTTTGGAGTGAGCCCAGCGATGAAAGCGGGGAGGTAGGAGCTGATCGCGCCAGCATCTTGCTATGGCCAAAACCATAGTAGGCTGACCTTGAGGTTTCGATTCCTTGGATGTAGGTGTGCTGGTGGTTCTTGGGGCATACCTTGGCGTGAAAGTGGCGGTGGAAGTCGCAATCGGTGGTGCGAATGGACCATTTCTTTGCCAGGAAGTTTTCCTCGAGGTGGTCCTTCATGCCGTAGGCGCAACCATCGATTCTACAGTGGAGCCACTCGATATCCCGACCTCCAAGTTCTGCTGAAAGATCTTGAAGAGGTCGTTGTTCCCACCCGTAGCAAGGATGAGGCCACTCCCAGTAGATGTCGATGTCGCGAATCTCATCGACGGATTCCAGGATGAAGTCCCTCGCAAAACGGAGCCTTTTCCGTTCGCGACGGCGGTCCTTTTCGAGCTTCTCCTTGCCCTCGGGTGTGGAGTAGTTGAGACTGGTCCATCGGCACCACTTCGTACAGGGAAGTGAGAACCACAGTTTTCGAGGTTTACGTGCACGACGAAGTTGCCGAAGACGGACCCAGGTTTCCTCCTTGTAGAGGTCGAAGCCGTTGTTGAGGTTGATGCGTTGGGCATCCATGCCGTGGTCCTGCACCGCTTGAGAGAGCCAGCTTTGTGGGGCACATGCGAATTCCCACATCACATCGCGGTCGCCATAGTTGAGGTTGAGGAGCTCGGTGGTCATGAGGGCTTGTACGCCGATCACCATTTGCATGACCTTCGCACCGACGCTGACCGGCAGGGGGTGGATCATGCTACTTCTTGAAGTTCCTCCTCCTCCTCGGAGAATTGATCCGCGACTGCTTGCTGACGTTCGGTGACCACTTCCATGAGTTTGGTCTGCTCCTCCGTGGAGAGGTACCGGAAGATGTCCATCGTGTCCATCTGAGGTTTCTCCCAACTGTGACTGCTCGCCATTGACGGGCTCGGAGAAGTGTACCCTGCGGCTGTCTTTGGAGATTCCTTGTGGTTGGTGCGCTTGGGAGGAGCTGGACTTGTCTTGCTCGTGGAGGAGACCGGCTGATCCTTGACCTTGTGGATCATCACCAGGAGTTTCTCCTCGGCTACCAGCTTGTCCAACATGGCCTTGCAGATCTGGGCAGTGGGCATGCGGCCAGGTAGAAGTTGTTGTAGTTCCACCATGGCCCGGTTGACCATCACGTGGTTGGGCACCATGGTAGACATACTCGGGGATCCTTGTCTTGGGATGTACTGCAGCCTGAGATCGCAAATTTGACAGTGGAGCCAGCGCCCGTGGGGGTTGCTTGCCCAGTTCCCTGGTTGGTGGCGGTTGAAGCACGGCCAGGTGTTCTTTGCGCGGATGTCCCGGGGGTCCATCTCCATGCTCCTCTCCGGATCGAAGGGCATGGGGACCTTGGAGGTCTTCTTCTTCGAGGTGAGGTTCTCGGGCAGCTCCGCCGTGGTCGGAGTGACGTCCAAAGGGTTGGTCAGTTTCTTGGACATGGCTCGGAGGTGCCGGAGTCGAATTGGGAGAGAGCGCACTACCCATGGACTCAGATGAGTCCAGTGCTGATATCAGCGAGGCCGGCACGGTTCGATGTTCTTTCATGAGCTTCCATGCATACAGCTCGCAAACTCGGGATGGACCATGAGGTGCAAAGGTGTTCACAGGAGGGTCCACCCGAGAACAAGTGCCAACCTTGACATTCATGTCGTACATCTCGCAAGGGAAAAGGGTGTGCATGTCCCAGGGTTTGCCGGTAGTTGATGTCGGGGTCCAGGAGGTAACCTTCACAACCGGGTGATCATCCGCGCTGGTGTTTTGATTGCCTCCAGTGAGAAAGTGGACCAAATCAACCATGAAGTGACCCTTGTGGTTCTTATCCAGCTGGTAGGGACGCGGATCAGGTAAAAGGGCATCTATGGCAAAACCCGTGGCCAAATCGACTACCATACCAACACCATCAGAACCTGCGTGACTCATGCCTACCAGAATCGGGACCAGCATGTCGGTGGTGAACCATTGCTCGAAGAACTCGGGGGGGTTCGGAAGAGCATACACATGAAAGACTCGAGGGTGACCAGAGAGTTCTGATTGGAGGGTCACCCGGTACTGTGCTCGACCCCACCGACCGCTCCCGTAGCGAAAGTATGGACGCTGATTGGGGTCCACAGTCACCGTGGCGGACTTGTCCTGCCGCAAAACTGCCTCAATGAGACGCTGTACTGAGGCTTCAGGGCCAGCGCTTGCGGTGGCGCCACAATCCAGCATGCCTTGATGTGGAGCTACCTTTCCAGGGCTAACTGATGACAACTCCAAGGGATTGTGTGGTCCCTCATGCATTTCCAAGCCATTGATGCCGTACATGTCCTGGACGTAGGCGTTGACAGTCGGGCGGTGATCACTCTTGCCCTTGCCCTTGGAGATCCAGGAGATATCATGTTCGGCCCACGCGGCTGACTTGGAGCGCCCCGTCCAGCCCTTGCCTTTCTTGCCAGATTTGCCGGTGAAGAAGTGCTCGTTGTAGGGATCCGCAAGCATGAAGGCATGTTTGCCCTTACCCTTGGAAGGATGTCGGCGATCTGGGCAATCTCGAGCATAGTGACGGCCACCACACAGGAAGCAGCCGCTGCCCTTGCCGCCGGAACTGTTGCCTTTGCCAGAGTTGCTGAACGATGCGCCGAAACCGCGGTCCTTGCGAACCAGTTGAGTTGCACGTTGAGCTTCGGTCCAGGTGCGTTGAGCATCCATGGCCATTTGTTCGGCTGCGCGTTCGGCTTGCGTGGCATCCCGGAGTTTATCTTGCTCCTCGGCTGAAAGGGCTTCATCAGGTAGTTCTGGAACTGCGGGAGAAGACCATGACTCAGGATCTTCTTCCCAACCAGACTGGGTCCAGTCATTATCAAACCAACCCTCATCAGAAGGGTCCCAGGGTTCCCAATCTTGATCCCACGCGTCCTGGTAATTGAGGTCGGCCTTGTGGTAGTTCAGGTGCTGAGGAGGCCGTTGACGATTTCCAAGAAGTTGTTCATCCCAAAGCATCTGAAGAGCTTGGCTGATGGCCTCGTACTCCAGGGAGTTACGGGTTGTGCTTAGGATGTCGCGCTTGTCCTCCGGACTGCGGGAAGCTGAAGAAGACGCCAGCCACGAAGAACACCCATGATGAAGCTGTCCGCCATGGAGAGCTCCGTGATGGTTCCCGGTGTGCCAGTGGTATCTGTCACACGCTGTGCTGGAGGGGAACCCACTTGTGCATCGGGGCTAGGCTCCTGGCTGGGAGCAGATCCAGGTGCGGCAGTTCCTGAGAGACCGGACACGTCTCCAGGTGCTTCGGGAGCTTGTTCTCCTTCGGAAGGGGGGATCTCTTTGGTGACGGGCTGATAGTCCCAATCTGACCAGGACTCAGGCCAAAGTCCTTGCGGCTTTGGTCAACACCGGAAGACTCTTCGTGAAGGCGAAGAAGAGCCTCCACAAACTCCTCATAGCCGAGAGTCTCCCTCACCAGGAAGTTGCCGATGCCCTCGCCGGGATTCCTCTTGAAGGAGAAGTACTGCTGCATGATCGCCGCGGCATTCGGTAACGACTTCCTGACGAGGGGCGAGGCCGCCAGTCGTTGAAGCAGTTGAAGTACTCCATCGGCATGATCAAAGTCAGCCCTTGACCATGACATGGCTAGGAGCCTTGCGGGGCCCCGAAGTCGGCCTATGAGCTTTGCCGCCAGGTACCTGCGCTTGTGGGCTGGTGTTGACTGTGCGCACCAGGCCACTTCCTTGTAGTACCTGCGCCATGATCGCGCCTGACCATCCCAGGATGGAAGATGGTCAGACCTGAATTCATTGTCCATGACTACTTCGCCGTCCGGGAACGTGCCAATCTTGAAGTCCTGAGCGATGATCTTTTCCTGGGTCGTACCAAAGGGCTCGACGCAGTCAAAGATCAGAGTCTCTTAGTGATTTAGGCTCGAGGCGGTCAAGTAGCTGTGCACACGTTCCTGAACGTTCTTGGTGCACTTGATCGGGCTCAGCAGGAAGCACTGAATCGTTGCCTCCTGCTCCGCTACCAATGCAGCGGGAGTAGCGCGGGGAGCGATTGGCGCCAAGCCTTGTTTCTTCTCAAGCCGCCTGTGCAGCTGACTGACTATGGGGTCGTGGCCAATGTCTGGCTCGGCTACAAGCAAAAAGGGCCCTTCAGCTGCGGAAGGGTCAAGACTGATGTCTGGACAATCTACATGCATGGCATCAACTGATGAGCCTCTAAATGCCCGTGTTGCAGATTCCCAAATCTTGTGGGTTCCTCTTTTGGGCCGAGCTCGGACGACGACGCACGACTCACCGACTCACCCAGCGATGTGCGGATAGATTGCCAGGCCTTCAGGTCGCAGCTGCTCTTCTTCGCGGTGAGTGAGATGAGCATCATCGACCCCATGTGCGCTCGTTTCCCGAACGGCGGGATCCATTTGAAGTGGGAATGTGTTTTCTGGGGGGCCGGGGGGAAAATTGGGAACCCGTTTTGGGTTGAAGGGAAACTCCGGGAAATCCCTCTTTGGCCAAAAGGGGGAACCCATTTTTTCGGAAGGCCAAAGGCAATCAACCATCTTCATGGTCTCCCCCCCGTTTTGTTGTTACACCCGAGAGATTGGATCCGAGCCAGAGCCGCTCGAAGGGATTCTCCCCAAAGCTGTGACTCAACAGCCCAGTCGGACCAGTCGCATTTGAAGCTTGGTGTTGTGGCCAAGAATGGTGTGGCAAGTCCTGTGGCGGAGGTATCAGTTCAGCCTGCAGTGGTTCCAGCAATTGGCCGGCTTGGGCATTGACAATGCGCCCTCCGGCGACACACCGCCCCTCGGCTTGAAAGTAGCGAATCTTTTGGAGTGCTCCTGGCGAGCAAAGTGCAGTCTGTCAGGTCTCAGCGGCTCGAGAGTGGCCGCCTCAGAGTGATGTCCCGGATGTATGCATTTTTTGTGCTTTTTCGATTTCGAGGCTATTGGAAGCCAAAAGGGGACCCAGCCGTTTAGGGGTCCCATGATGACCAACCCATATTGAAAAGGGATGCAGGGTGCACAGACTGCGCTCGTCGTGTCGATTCGAAGTAGCTGAGATCTCATCAGCTACTTCACCTACTCTATCTATCAGAGTGTTTGCCGTGGACTCTTCGAGAAACACAAGCCTGAAGCCCAGAGCTTCAGGGAGACGAGGCCGTAAACATGGGCCCCTAGGGTTATTTGATCAATCTACTCCTGATTTCCATTTCCAGGGACCAGTGGCCGGCTCCGTTGGTTCAGACAAGCTCTGCCCAACTCCGTTTGCAGTTCTTTCATCCACGTGCAGACTTGCATGACTCGGATGCGCCGAATGCGAATGCGAAGGCTGCTCTTCTCCTTCTCGCTCTGCATGAAGATCATGAACGGCGAGGGCCGGCTGAATGCCAGCGAGGCGTGCCGGCGTGCCGGCGTGCCGGCAAGCCCCGCATGGCAGCGGCAACCAGTGGGCTGACCGCCCATATTTGTCGTGGGAAGAATAGGGATGTGGACCCCAACATGACGGCCTTCCTGAAAAAGCTCGCAAAACACACTTGTGCGTTGTCCAACTTGCAGGCGCGCTTCCTGATGGCTGGGCCGACTGGCGAGGTCAAGGCTCGGTGCAAAAACTGCCGTTTCATTGAACCAGCCCCTGACCAAAGGGATGTCGTTTCAATAGCAGCACTTGAAACATTTTTTCACACACACACAGCGTCCCCCTACATTTTCTTTGTGGTTTGCTGCAGCATCAGCTTCTTCGAGGACATTTTAGAGTGAGTTTCCCTTTTGGTTGGGGGGTGTTTAACGGGGGAATCTGGGCAGCCCGCTTGAGGGGCCATTTGTCATCCTCTTTGTTTCCTTTGGTTCCCTGTTCTTTGTCTTCCATCACGCACGCCTTAGCCCGCTTCAACTGTCCGAACTGCCTTGCTGCGGTGAGTCTGCATTGCTCTCTGCCCTTTGCTTCTTTCTCTCCTTTGGACATGTTTCCATCCTTGGCATTTGGTTTGTGTTATTCATTTGCAGTTCGCTATTGTGAAAAAGGTAGATGTGCCTTGAGGGTCGGCCACTGTTTGTTGCTCAGCCCCAAGGGGTGCCAAGGGCAATGTGTAAAATCATAGCTTGTTGTGGGCTCCGCCTGGATGGTTTTACGTGCGAACCAAGACATCAATTCGGAGGCGTGCCCTGATTTCCAGCAAGCAAAGCTGATGCCGAGATTTGGACGTGTGCCACGAACCTGCTTGGTCCCCCAATTTCGGCAAAACAAGTAGGAGAAAGCCAGTGCCTCGCCCCAGTATTCTTGTTTCTTTCGCCATGCTCCTGCGGTGGTTGGGGGGTTGAATCCCTGGTTCTTGTAGAGAGTTAAGGGGAAGCCACCCGACCTCCAAAGCATCACTGTGCACCACCAGTTGGGTTTGTCTCAAAATGGGAGACTCCCACTTTGCACAGGTGGTTTCCTTTGGTTTCCCGCTACCCAAAGCCAAGTAGTAAAAAGCTGAAAAGCCTCATGCCCCACCCTCACCCCGCAAGCTGGAGCTATGCCCCTGGCTCTCGCCAGGGCGGTCCGACGAACCCGGGGGAGCAGTGGCTGAGCGGGAAGAGCTGGAACGAGGCGCACAGCGGCGGTGGGGGCGGTGGAGAGTTGGAATTTTTGGAGCTGATGGACATCAAGACTGCACGCAAAGTGGGTCGTTGTGGGCTCCCTTCAAACCTGGGACCCCAAAAAGGGTGCGAGGTTGAATGGTTGCAATACCCGTTCGCAACGGGTGGTTCTCCTTTGAATTAAAACCCCTCAACAAGACAATAATGCCCCCAAAACAGGATTTGCTTATTGAGAGGTGTGCTTCCCTTTGAAACAACTCCAAAAAGGGGTACCATCCAGAAAAGCCCTGTTTTGAGCATTGGTGGATATTTCCCAGTTGAGAGGCGCTTGTGTCGCGAGAACCGCGAGGTTCTGACGCTGGCACAAATGCCAGCCTTCAAGGGCTTCGATGCCTTCTTCGCATCGAATGCCGATGCCCAAAGTGCGATGCTCGCGGTGCCGCTGTTTTTTTGGCAGCTGTGAGGTGCTGTCAGGGTTCAGGTGGAGCATTGTGATAAGTCCAAGTGGGGGGTTGACTTGAGGATCCAAGCCACACTTTCTGCGCCTAGCATCTGATTTTCCGCGGATCGTAAGGTCAAGGGCTTCCAGCGGATCTATGACGCGCCAGAGGCCGACAAGGACGGCTCCCTTTTTTGCCACGCGACGAGCGGCGCAAGCGGTGCTTCCGCGCCCAAGTGCACCTGGGCAGGAGCCTGTGCCTGGCGAATGGGAGACCAAGATGACTCCGTTCCAAAGGTTGTGCTTCCTGCGAACCATCAGGCGGATTGGCGGATTTGCGGATTTGCGTGCAGCTAGTGCATGCTTGCTGCAGAAACAGCACGAGGAAGGGAAGGAATGGCAACAAGCGGTGCGCAGGCCTGACAGGATCCAGACCTCGGTGCTTGACTTCGTGACTCTGGAAATGGGCCGCGTGACCAAGGAGTGTTCTTCCGCGTACCCTCCAAAGGGCAGCCCCTTCTGTCTCCGTCGTGTTTGTAACTCATGGTTGATTCATCTGCCTGCGAGAGGGTATGGTCTTCTGGAAAAGTGGGAATTGAAGTAGAGGCTTAGGGACCTGTACCCAGGGTACAGCCTTGAAAGCCCCACACTTGAGGTGCCAAGTTTGTGGAGCCGCCGGTTTTCGACATTGCGGTGTCCTACGAGGTGGGCTCTGCTTGCACCGAAATGGGGGGACAGGGCAAGAGGGGCGTTCTGTTTGCTTTTTGCCTTATCTTTTTCCTTTGTTTCTTTCTTTCGTTTCCTTTTTCTTCTCTCTCTCTCTCTCTATCTTCTCTCTTGCCTCCCGAATGGTTTTCTTATGTAAAACACCAGTGCCGGGCTCTTACTTCCCCTCTGCTCTGGTCTGCTCGATACGTACCTCGTCCTTCTGCCCCAACCACCAACGTACCACCAACTAGCAACTTACCACTAACCACCAAAGGATGTAGTGAACTACTCGCCAACCTACTGTCCACTTACTTCCAGGTAGGAGCCCTTTTTCCCCCTGTGCTCTTTGCCACCCGCGTTGCTGTTTCATCCTTTAGTTTTTTGGTTCCAAGGGGAGTCGAAGAAGAACGCCATTTCTTCCCCCCCACCCCCTCCCCCTTCTTCGGGTCGCGCTTGGGTCGCGCTTGGAGCGGGCCGCCGGCCGGGCGTGCGCGTCAGAGGACTCCACGAAGATGTCCCCGCTGATCTTCGTGCTGAGCGCGGGCAGCGACCCGGTGGCGGACATGTTGGCCTTCGCGGAGGCCAGCGGCATGGGCGCCAAGCTGGAGAGCATCTCCCTGGGCCAGGGCCAAGGACGGAGCCCGCCCGCCCGCCCAGTCAGACGGGGTTTAGGTTTAGGCTTTACGAGCTACCTGGGGTCAAAAAGGGGGCTTGTAAGTAGGCAGGCCCGCAAAAGCGCACCATGGGTGGGGTAGAACCAAGAGTCAATGGGTTTTAAGTCAAGTTTCCATTCTTATCATCTTGGGATTTCTCTTTAATTAGAGTTAATATTCTTGGATTAGAAATCTTGGTTATTGGATGAGAAGAGAAGACTCTATTTCCTCACCTTAAGGTCGTTCCTGCCGCTGGCTATCACTTCCAGGAATTAGACAGGAGATAGAAATATAATAAAATAAGATGATAATAATGGAAAAGAAAAGGATAAAAAAGAGAAATAAAAGCAAAAAGGATTAACAAAGGAAAATATAATGAAAAGAGATCATGTATCCGCTCTCTCCTTTCGCTTCCTCAGCTCCATTCATTCCCATCTCTTGGTTTGGGAATCAATAAGAATGGAGATGGAGGAAGAGGCGAGAAGCCGCGGGAATTACATTGTGTCCCAGATTCTCTGGAATGCACGGCATGGAGGAATAGACCGTGAGCGGCTTTCATGTTAGGGCTCTTTCATATTGCATCCGTTCATTCCTTGGCATTTCCAGGATTTATAATTGGAGCGAAACGAACGGGAAGGAGAATAGATATAGTGCCTGATGACCCGGAGGTACGAAGGAAGGGTTAATCCTCAATCCATCACCTTCATCTCTATTTCTCTTTTATTACTATTTTACGTTTAAAAAGTTGATTCATAAGTTGTAGATTGAGAGCTTTTGGTGTACATCTTGGACTGAGGAAGTGATGTAGGATCCAGATAAAGCAAAATACATATTAAAATAATAAAAAATAAGATAAGATAGAAATATTATAGATTGTAAACCTAATAAAAGCCAATTCTCTTAATCTCTAACACCAATAATAAAAACAAAATAAAGAGAAAGATATATGAAAGAAATATTAAAAAGAAAACCAAATAAGATGTAAATAGGAAAAAAACAATAAGATAATAATTAATGTGTGATGGCGTGAATGAGATTATACCAGCCACAAAGCGTTTCTCTCGGTCATCTATTATCGTTTATTGCAGCGGCTTTATAAAGCTAGCAAAAGGTCGTGAACTTACCTAAGAACATGAAATCCAAATAAAAATAATAGGACAATAAAAATAATAAAGACGATTCAGAATTAATAGTAAAGATATATAGATAATAAAAGAAGAACAAAAAATAATTAAAAAGTAACCAAAAGTCATTACAGAAAGGGCTTGAAGGAACTGTATCTCTTCTATCATTATTTTCACTCGCTGTTAATCCCCACCACCTATCACCTGTTGAAGAGAACAGATGGGAAAAGCCGTGAGTCCACTCATCCAAATCTCTATCTCATGGACTGGTCTTCCGGAGTCTCTACATGAATCCGAAAGGAGAATGAATGCATGGAGAGACACGTAACAGCTATCCAAATCCCATTATCTGGATTCCTCTTTTCCTTCCCTTTCACTCCGTCCTCCCACTCGCTTTAATCGTGGGTAATGGACGGTGAAAGGAGGAAGGAATCCTATCTCTCTATCACTTCCCCAATTAACCCGCTATCTCTTGTCTAATTCTCTTTCTCGCGGGTTAGGGAAGTGAATGACACAGATAAGTTCCTGAGGCAACGGTGAGAGAGACAAAGAACGAGAACGGAGTTGATGGACGTACGAAGTGATTCCTCTCTCTCCCCTGTCTCTTTATCCCTTTCCTTTGTCTCTTTCCTTATCCCTCTTCATCTCTTGGGCAACTGACCAGTGATGAGGAAGGGATGGGAAGGGATGGGTTGGGGTTTGACAGTTTGACAATGGAAAAGACCGGTAAGGGGGGGGGGGGAACATGGGGGTCAGGACTGGCGGAACACAGGGGGGAACATGGGGGAACACAGGGGGAACCATGGGGAACAGAGGGGGGGACACTCATGGAAGGACCCAAGGCGGCCAAGATGATCGAGAAGGCCCGGGAGAGCGGGGGCTGGGTGCTCCTTTGCAACTGCCACCTCTCCATCTCCTGGCTCCCCGAGCTCGAGCGGATCTGTGAGCAGATGAACCCGGAAGACACGGACAACAACTACCGACTTTGGCTGACCTCCATGCCCACCCAGCAGTTCCCGGCCTTGCTGCTGCAGAACGGGGTGACTGAGCTGAGGGCCTTGCAACTCTTGTTTTTCCAAGATGGTTTTCCTTTTGCCCCGATAAGACATTAGAAAACAAGCACCCCGAAAAAGTACCCTTGCAAAACACGCACGAACCCAAGGTGAAGATGACCAACGAGCCCCCAAAGGGCTTGCGCGCCAACGTGCTGGGGTCCATGATGAAGTGCGACGACCGGATGCTCTCGGACTGCGAGAAGCCGGAGGCCTACGCGCGCCTGGTCTTTGGCTTCTGCTTCTTCCACGCGGTGTGCCAGGACTCGATTTGGGGTTCTTCGAAAGTTCCACTGTGAATCCTTTTGGTGTCAAAGGGAGAACCAAGGGCAAGCCCATCATTTTGGGGGTGTCCCTAATTTTGTAAGAAGCCCTCTTTTGTTCCCCTTGTAAGATTTGTTGCAAGACTGTGTAAGCGGCTTTATTGAGAGACCCTGCCAGGACCGGCGGAAGTTTGGGCCCATTGGATGGAACATCCCGTGGGCAGCTCAGGGCTAGATGAGCCGCAAAGAATACCTGGTAGGTCAAGGTTGGTAGGGGGTGCGGCCCCTTTTTTTGCAACATCAGCGCTTTGACGTGGCAAACTGCCAGGTACAATTTCACGCCCGAAGATCTGACTACAAACCGACGGCAGCTAAAGTACTTCCTGGATAAGTTTGATAGCATTCCGTACACAGTCCAGACCTCAAGGGAAGATCGCGTGAGCGAAGGGCAGTGACCAAAGCATTTCAGGGACTCAGTGCCAACCAAGATTGTCAGGGCTTGCTTGAGCTCCGGGTGCGCACAGCCTGCAGTGGCGAAACAAAAGGTTTCCTTGTCCTCATAACCTGGTGCAGCGTGGGTTCCGAACCGGCCCCTTCGTTTGCGGCATTGCATGAGAGTCGAGTGGTCAAGTGGTGCTCGAGCGGTCCAGGTGCTCCAATTCCTTGGCTCGCGCATCAACTACGGCGGCCGAGTGACCGACAAGAAGGACAAGGCCTCGCGTGCGTTATGGGTCGCATTCCTGCGGCCACAGAGCGGCTCGATTTTCGTCATGGATCGACGTAGCTGTGTGAGTGAATGGGGTTCCATTCACCTACAAGACTCCAGTCAATTTCTTCTTGATTGTGAGATATGGTCCTATGGTTGAAAAATCTATCTACATTGGCTTCCGAGACAGTTATTGAGCCCGGATGAAGCGGCTTTACTAGATGCACATGATGAGGGTTCATCTTGTTCTGTACTTGAAACGGTGGGGTGCTGTGTTGGGTTTTTGGTTCTCTTAAAAAAAAGCCAGGAACTCAAACACTGTCCCACCAGAGCCCTATTTTTTTAATTTTTTATTTTTGGCGTTGGTTGGGGTTCGCCTGAAGTTTAACAAGTTTCAAGCTTGGCTTGGTTGTTCCCCAAGTCTATTTTTGCCACCGTGGCTACACTGTATGTTAATCATCGACTGTCGTGGGGGGAGTTGCAATCCCCAACTTGCAGTCGGCCATGCTCCGCAGGTCTTGATTGACTGCCTCATCAAGATTTTCGTCTGTGAAGAAGTGGTGGCGAAAGGCAGGATCGCATGCCCATAGCAATCAGAAGAATTCAATGGCATGAAGAGGTTTGCTTCGCGATTCAAGCAACTGAGAATCACTGTCCTTTGTGGGAGGTCCTGACTACAAGTTCTCTGCCGGAGGGCTGTTTTACTGCCCTGCAGCATCATCTCAGGAGCTGCACTTAAACATTCATGCTCTCAGGATTCATATAAATCCCAGTTTGTCCGATTTGTCCACTAAACAAGCAACCCGAGACTGATATGAGTGTCTCTATTGTTGAGGGAACCTTGTCTGGAGCGGTTTCAAGAGGAAGCTGGGAAGCTCATTCGGAAGCTTTGGATGCGGAACTGCGTTGCAGGACGAGTTCTTGGCGTACTTGCGTGGTCTCCCCATCATGACGCCTCCAGAGGCCTCATTCGGCTTGCATTCAACATTGGTCCCCTTTCGTTTAGCGGCAAAACCGGGTTCCATGTTTTGACTCCTGCGCAGGTCTTTGGCTTGCATGAGAACTGCGAGATCACTTGTGCAGAGTCGCTGGCTCGGCGTGAGAGCTGTTCGAGGGTTGCGGCATTGATAGAGATGGGTTGCTTTAGGGTGTCCGGTGTAAGGTATAAAAGGTATCCTTCCAAAAACAAGCATGACACCTAAAGGAATTGGTCTCTGGACCATTCCTCTAACAGTGTCCCTCTTTCAGGTTCATGTTGTTCTTTTGGCAGGGTAACAGCTAAGATCCCAACACACAACTTTTGCTGGGTGATTTCTGACATGCATGTTTGGAGGCTCTTCCCTCCGGGAGGGTTGAACGGAGTTCAACAAGCGTCCTTTGCCCTTTGAAAGATAGGCCGTTTGTTTCGACAGGGCAGAGTCGATGGCCATGCTGGGAGACGTCATGGCGCTGAATGCAGGGGGGTCATCCAGTCCGGGCCTTGGCCAAACGGATTCTTTCTGGAGGGTACCCTTCTCAGGCCGGTCCAAAAGGAACACCATCCTTTTCATTTTCAGGATTCCCCTAGTTTGGACGCACATACCCACATGTGTGGCGGTCCTTAGGACCCCTTGGAGTTGTTGGGGTTTACTGGAGATTGGGAGGGTCTTTTATCAATTTTCTAGGTGCAGGACTTGTGGGTCATCCAGCTTGGCAAGAGCAGATTGCCTTTCCCGCACTCCAACCAAAAGATCCGCATCGCCGTTGCCACGCGAGAGGCTCCGGCGGCGGCAAGTCTGCGGATGAGGTGATGGATGCAGAGCCCCCAGTGGGATCTTGGGAAGCGGCTTGGGGAGTGGCTCTTGTGTGTGTGTGTCACAACCACTAGTTGGTGGCTGGAAGGGAGGGAAGTTGGGAGTATCCAAATTCCTGATTTTTCAAGAGGGAGCGAAGGGGCTACCAGAAGTTTTGCAAGGACATGGTAGAGCGGCCAAGCTTTGGTGCATTCCAACAGACCAGAACGGCGGGCCATCATTGACATAGGTATTGTCCGGCAACCATGTTTGAGGGTCCAACAAGTCAAGCACGTTGCCGTTTTTTTTAGATGTCAGTTGCCATTTCTGTTTCGGTTGCTTGGTTGATGGAACACCACCCAACGCCCCGAGACCTTTTGGACCACCACAGCGAACATAAGCACATTAATGTCTCTGCAAGCAACCCCCCCCAAGCCCAACTGGCGACTGCCAGGAGCTGGCGGCGGAACTGGAGAAGCAAACGCCAGATCCATGGGACCTGGATCTGTGGGAGGAGTCCTGGGTTTTGATAGGGGGCCGGGGCCTGGGGACCTGACCTGTTTTTTTGGGAGGAACCTGGGAGCAAGGGAAGAGTGGTTTGATTTCAGAAACCGAGATTGCGAAGGTTAGAGGGGCCAACTAGAGTTATACAGATGTCAAAAATGCGCTTTGTTCTTGAACTGCTGGTTCTAATGGGAGTCACGGCAGGAGCGGTTCCCAACAAAGTACGAAGAGCCCGGAGCTCGGCGCAAGCGCGGTCAATGGCCTTCAATGGTGCCCACAGGCCTAATGTTGGTTGGGAAACAGGCCACTTTTGTCCGGGGCTCATTGTATCTGTTGGCCACAACAAAGACTTAATCCCCGGGGTGATGGGCGAATTGGATCTGGAGACTTCTGGGGTCAAGTGGGTGTATGAATGTTGTTTGGGGCACCATTTTTTGAAGGCCATTCTCAAGGGAAGCCAAAGGGACACCGCCCAGTTGAAGGGTTCTCCTGTTTTGAGGCGTGCCCAAGCTTTGGGATAACGACAGTGGGGCCCGAGGTCCCGCAACACCGTGGTGAAGCAGGAGGCTGCGAAGTACAACAAGCTGCTGCACCTGTTGCCCGGCCGACCTGCTTGAACGAAGGCTGCCAAGGGGGTTCCAAGTCTGACAGATTCCACACTCACTGGATGCAAGTAGGGTAACGGACACTCCCAGCCAGAAATGGGGTCTTCTATTTTTAAGGGGAACCTTTTGCACTGTTAGAAAGGCGGGAAGCAGACGGCAAACGGCCTATCGGGGTTCCGATAGACCAAGCCATGCTGACTGCCAGGAAGGTTCAGCTGCCGCTCTTCCGGCGTGCGGTCAAGGGCTTCGTGGCCGGGCCCTTTGGGGCCGCCCTTCGAAGTTGGGATTTGGGTTGCAATTGGAAGACCACCCGTTTGGTGGGCCATGTTTTTTTTTGTTCTTGGAGTGTTGCAGTTTTGTTAACCTTCAAACAATATATGATTGTTTTGGGGGGTCACTCGTTTTGACACCTACGCAAGCGGTTGGTTGGCTTGAGGGGTGCTGTTCTGTTGTTGAGACGAGACGGCGTCATACGTCTCTACTCACTTATCAGCTTCTGTGATTGCCGGAAAGAGGATGTTAATAAGGAACTTTCTCGAAAGTGGTTCCAAAACGAAGCCCATCACAAGGGTCCCCATCTGAGATTCATCGCGCAGTTGATTCCTCACAAGGTCATGACGGATGAGCTGGAGTCCATCGGGAAGGGCCTCTTCATGAACACCGTCCCTGAAGGCCAAATGTTGCAACGCGCACCCAATGCGCTCGATTGGTCGCCTGTGCGGTGGTGGGTTCCCTTGAATTTTCTTTAAAGCCACTACAGATACCCAGTCGGCCCGATTTGGGTTTCCAAAGCCCAGTTTGGAGGGCCCCAGCTAGTTGTTGGGGGTCATGCTGGGCTGTCCCATCCAGAGCGGACGTGTCAAAGGCATGTTTGTATGCACGCGAAAGAGTGAATCTGGCAATGGTCGCAAAGAGTTTCACATCGCATGCCCTGAGAACTTGCAACCAACAGTATGTTTCCTATGCGGCCTTGCTTCTGTGTATCTCACGCCAGCACACGCTGCTTGTGGCAATGCAGAGCGTCAGGTGTGCAAGGGTCAGCAATCATTTGAAAAGGTTTTCTCGCCAAATAGCGAGACGGCGGCATTTTGCTGCTTTTGCGCAGGCTTTCCACCCGTACATGGGGAAGAGTATGCGAATATGTTTGCCATGCAGCACTTCTTGTCGTTGTATGGGGCTTCTTGCAGTGCTGCGGCGTTCATTTTCTGCGCTTTCCAGGAAGCGGCTTCCACATCCCACAAAAGGAGCACCTTGCAAACAGGAAACTACGCTGATTGCAGCATCCGAAAAAAAACTCACACAGGAAATCAAACGCGAATAGCTACACTCACCCTCGCCTGAAGCCAATTGGGTTTGGATTTGTGAGGCTGGGCTGGGGTTGGCTTCCTGTCGCTCAAGCCGCTCACATCCTGGTACAAGGACGGGACAATATCTCAAGAGCGTGGCCGTGCGAATAGGCCATGAATGTCAGGGGAAGCACCGACATGGCCCATTTGCTCACCTTACTCCTTCCAAGTCAGATGTAGTGTAATGGCCGGTGGTAGGGGATTCGTGAAGCATTGTGTGGCATGTCAGGGGCATGTACTCAAATCAGTGACACTGACTGGGGGTACGAGAATACGTACATGACTTTAGCCGCGGACCTGGCAAGGAAGGCAAGCAGAACCGTTGTTTTCTTGTTTTCCCCAAACATCTCACAGCACTGTTTCAATTACAAAGGCAGCCCAATGCAGATTCTGTTGGACACTTGTTTGAACAAGTTTTCAGATGCCAAACAAACAGCTCTTGTGTTTTGAGCCAAGGAGTTGTGGGGTGCTATTCAGGGCGGCTGTTTTGCCTCAGGACTTGAACGACCGCATCGACTTCTTTAACAAGTGGTACAATGCAGGTGGGAGCCCTGACTTGAAGGGTTGTCAGCAGCCCTAAGACATGACGAACCTGAACCGACTGGGAAACCCTGCCTTGAGGGAGTCTGCACAATGTCCTGTCGGTAAGTGTGGAGCCTTCGTGCATGTTGAAGGGGACTTGACAACTCGCCTAAGGATTGCTTTGCCCATACTATCCCCATTCTGTTCGAGGGACGTGAGTGGTTTCTGAAACGAACGAGGGGTGAACAGAATTCCGGATCGATGTATCATTCGAATTGAGCGAAATAGGTCTGAACAGCCATAGACCGTAGACCCCTGTAAGGAGCCGCGGATTGAAAATACGGATTGAAACAGCTGCGGATTGCGCCGGAGGTGAAGTTGTCAAGCGCGTTGCCTGAGGCCACCCCATCTCCTTCTGGCTCCCAGGCCTGTTCTTCCCGCAGGCGGGCGAATTGGAGGTCGGACAGGGGAAGATCAGAACTCTTTTTCTCCTGAGTTGTACCAGAAGTCTTGGTCTATTCGGAGTGTTGAGGCGTTTTGCAGCTCCAGGGACTAGAGCAATGGCAAGCTCGCAGCGCGAATGCGCAAATGAGGCCTTCCTCACTGCTGTGATGCAGAACTTTGCCACGCGCCCAGAGATGCAGCCAGGGTTTAATGACTAGGCAACGATTCACCTCAGGCGCGGGCACACAAGTACCCCATCGATCGCATCGATTTCGACATCGAGGTGGGGCCCCAGGTTGTTTGTAGAGAAGCTCCGGCGAGATCGGCGAGATCGGTGTCGGCAGGTGCGAGACGACTGCAAGATCGATGGAAGTGATCTGGCGGAGCATCCGGAGGCGCCTGCCGCGGATGCATTTTGATAAGGATGCCTTGATGTGAGCAACGCTCAACCATCATCACCACCACTACTACCACTACCTCCATCATCATCATCATCATAATCATCCCTCTCTCCCTCTCTCCCTCTCTCCCTTTCTTCCTCTTTTCCTCTTTTCCTCTTTTCCTCTTTTCCTCTTTTCCTCTTTTCCTCTTTTCCTCTTTTCCTCTTTTCCTCTTTTCCTCTTTTCCTCTTTTCCTCTTTTCCTCTTTTCCTCTTTTCCTCTTTTCCTCTTTTCCTCTTTTCCTCTTTTGCTCTTGTACTCTTTTCCTCTTTTCCTCTTTTCCCCTTTTCCCCTTTTCCTCTTTTCCTCCTTTCCTCTTTTCCTCTTTTCCTCTTTTCCTCTTTTCCTCTTTTCCTCTTTTCCTCTTTTCCTCTTTTCCTCTTTTCCTCTTTTCCTCTTTCCTCTTTTCCTCTTGTCCTCTTGTCCTCTCTTCCTCTTCTCCTCTTTTCCTCTTCTCCTCTTTTCCTCTTTTCCTCTTGTCCTCTTTTCCTCTTTGCTCTTTTCCTCTTGTCCTCTTTTCCTCTTTTCCTCTTTTCCTCTTGTCCTCTTTTCCTCTTTTCCCCTTTTTTCTTTTTTTCTTCTTTTCCTCCTTTCCTTCTTTCCTCTTTTCCTTTTTTCCTCTTTTCCTCTTTTGCTCTTTTCCTCTTTTCCTCTTTTCCTCTTTCCCCTTTTCCTCTTTTCCTCATCCTCATCCTCCTCCTCCTTCTCCTTATCATCATCATCCTCCTCCTCCTGTAATTCTAGGTTTGAGTACCATGTAAACGGCTTTCATGGGGGCACACTCATCCAATGACCACACATTAGCTGATGATGACTCACCAGTCATGCTATGTCAGCAGGATTCACGATCTATTCTGGCGATGACCCATGTGTCGTCCTGAATTGTCAGGCCGGATCTTACATGCGCGCCCGGCTGGATTTGAAGCGACACCAAGCGGCACACTACTGAAGTGGCGGTGAAGCCTGCGAATACTGATGTACGAAGGGAGTGCATGCAAACAAAAAAAAAAATCATCTTAGCCAAACTGTGACCTTCCCCAGGTCGCCTTCGCGCGTTGGCCAGGTATGGCTTGTTCCTGGAGGGCTGCAGATGGGATGCCAAGATCCACGCCTTGGGCCCCTCGCTGCCCAAGGTGCTCTTTACTCAGGCGACTGGGCTATGACATGGACCTGACCCAACATGTCCCTCTCTAAATCTTTCGTGGTTCTCATCATCTTTCTAGAGCATGTTCAGATGAGTTTCCCTTGAAATGATGTTAGGTAGGGAATATAGGAAGCCTTGCACCCGCTTCCGGCGTGCCTTTGACAGAAAATGGGCTTAGGGCCTGTGAGGGGGAAGTCGTCAAGAGGTTGGGTGTGCATCATGTTTGTTTGCTTTTTTCTTCTTCTATTTTTTCTCGTTTGTTTGTTGGGGGAGGGTGTCGGAATCCAATGGCTATCCACTTCTTCTAGAAATGGTCTTTAACAAATCTCTTCCCGATGACCCGGCAAGCACTTCTGATTCTACTTCAAAGGGGTCAAAGGCCAACCCAGGGTTGGGGTTTGGAGGAAGCTGCGGCCAGCTGCTGCGCGAATCCCCCCTTGTGGGGAGTTCGAGTTTTTTCATTGCACCCTGGGACTACACCTGGGAAATTGCTCTCTTTGGTTTTTGCCAGATACAACCTCACCCTTTCGGACCAGTTGTGTGGTAATTTCCCAGGGAGCCCTTTACTTTTCCCGGCATTCCGAATGAGTGTCCAACACTAGTTTGTGATGGTTTTTCTAGCCCCTAAATCACTACCCCCCATGGGCAACCGTGGCTGGGATATCCATTTTCCAACCCTGGGAGGTTTAGGGGCAGCGGACACCATAAGATTAGAGTTGGCATGCGCTGTGTTGTGAAGCTTTTTGTCAGGTTCCGGTGGTGCACTTTATCCCCACGCTGGACTTCAAGGGCAAGCCTGGGGTGTATCCTTGCCCGGTGTACAAGGCCCCCGCACTCTTTGTTTCTCCGGAATCTCGAGCTCAAGAAGATGTAGAATAGCAGTCGCAGTTTGTCCCCCTTTGCACAGCAAGTCCTCGATTCGGAACCCAGGTAGTTGGGGACAAATATGGCTGTGACTTTATCGCTACCACCCAGAAATGGTTGGTGGACACAACTCCAAACCATCTTTGCATGCCACAAATGGGTACCAAAGAGCAATTCCCGTGCTTGAAGACAGGTCCTCAGCAGGAAGGGCACGCTGTCCACCACGGGCCACAGTACCAACTTCGTGCGCGACATGATCTTGCCGACCGTGAACAATCCAGATGCAAGAGACTCAGAGGCTCAGAGCTGGCAAATGCTACCGGTGGATAAATCGGGGTGGGGGAGAGCTTCTCTCTCCTTTCGGCGGGGCTCCTGTTTTTTGGTTGTTGGGGGGGGGGGACACCTAGTACTGCCAAAGGGAGCAGGAGCTGCTAAAGCACCCAAGCCGCTGAACAGAATCACTTGAGCGCTTGAGGTCTGGATCCGTGCTGGGGTGGCCGCCTTCCTGACCCTGAAGTACTGATCCTGTTCCGTCAGAGCGATTCAGTGGCCTTGCTTCAGCAGCCAACATGCAACCGACCCCAAAAGCTGAGAAGTGGCCAAATGCAAGGCCGGAGCTCAAAGGCAAGCCCGCGATCGCGGCCTTGTCAGAATGTGAGTGCATGGTTTCAGCCCCTCCTGGCACCAGGAGGTAGAACATGCTGGTGCCGACAGATGTCAGAGGCCATAGGTGCACGAATCATTTTCTCGCGCTTCGTTTAAGCTGCCCTGCGTTGCATCGACACCAGTGGAAGCCCCCCAAGAAAATGTGAACAAGTCTCACAGCTTCCATCAAAGAATGGCCTCGTCTCACTCAGATCGAAAGATGCCGCTGGGGTGCGCATGAGCTGACGCTCCAGCAGCGGGCGCTTCCAGGGCCCATGATTTTTGGTATTTTTTTTTCAAGCGGCATGTGCTGCCCAGGTTCAAACTTTAGAAGGCAGATTGCAGTCAATGGTGCATGCAGCAACGCACACACACACACACACAGACCAAAAATGCAAGCACGGGCAAACACACAGAAGCAAACACACACACAAACACACACACACACACACACAAAACACACACACACACCAACACACCAACACACCAACACACCAACACACTACCATACACACACACACACACAAAGTTCAGACACAAACACACCTGCACCTCACGCACCAGATACGCACACACACACACACCCACAAACTGAACACGCACACACACACACACCTACTCCCTTTTGGATCTAGTCTAGGCCTAGGTGAATGTTGTGGAGTGTGGTCACTCGTGCAACATTTCTCACAACCCTCTTGATCCCTTTGCTCATCATTTCTCGGGACTTGATGACGTAGACCTGCGCACAGGCCGGCAAGTTCCGTGCGCAAAAAGAAGTTTTCGCCCCTGCAAGATCTGTGAAGGTGCAAGCAGCTTGAAATGAAGTTGATCAACCCCCCACTTGGATGTTTCAGCCAAGGCAGGATGCGGCCTTTTCACGAGTCACGAGTGATTATGCATGTAATTTTGGCCGCGACTGTGGCCAAAAGGTTTTCTTCCACAAGATGCATGATGACCAACATTGCCAAACCGACTGCACAGCAACAAACATTGGTCTTCAAATGGCTGAAGAGCTTCCCAGATTTCTAGAAGGCGTGCGCCGTCAACGCCCCGAAAGGCCGGAAGAGGTGAACACGGAATGGTGGAGGCCAGCGCTGGGTTGGACTCGTTGGCATTTGTGCCACGAGGAACTCTTTTGCTGGGCCGCAACAAGTGCACATCTTGAGGTGTTCTTCACAGCAATGGCAATGCGCCTCTTGAAACTCACGGGTGCTGACTCTCCAAGACACGACATCTTGTCTTTGCCACAAGTCCTTGCAGGCGACAACCTCTAACTAACCATGCATTTTGAGGCAAATACCCCCAATAGTATTTGGACATAAATATATATATATATATATATACATATATATATATATATATATTTATCCGAGCGTGTTTGTACGGTGTGCGCCTCATTAGAGTTCATCTCAACTGGACCTCACGCACTTTCGTATGTTGGTACCAATCGCGGCGCTGTTTTTGCAGGAGGGGCTGGACGCAGGCGCGCCTTGTGACAGAGAGAGAGAGAGAGAGAGTGAGTGAGTGAGTGAGTGAGTGAGTGAGTGAGTGAGTGAGTGAGTGAGTGAGTGAGTGAGCTGACTCTTTTGAGCAATATGTGTGTGTGTGTGTGTGTTCAGGGCACCCCCGAAATGGTGGTTTTCCTTTCGGTTTTACCTTGAAAGCCACCCCAAAAGGGAGTACTCAACAGAAGCACAACTCCATCCTCATCTTGAAAGCTGGTTCCACGGTTCCACGCATTTTTCTTTCGGTTTCCAATCCTGTTGCTGTAAGGCCCGCCTATGTAATCCACAATCAGAATCTGGGTAAGTGAAGGTCAGCAAGGGCCAGTCCCAGGCATAGGCGCGGAGATCCCGACTTCTGATTCTTCACATGATTTTGCGTAGACCCGTTTAATACCAGGTTCGGATTGTTCCTCAGCTGACAGAGCGACTGAATTTTGTGTTCCCTAAATGCACCTATTTGGTTGGTTGGGAGTTCCTTATGGGTGATATATCCGTAGGCTTTCTGCCTTGATCGAGCTTTCAGGGACGTTGACCTCACCTTGTCCTTGCCAGGGTACGGGATACCCGATTCTCTTGAAGCGGCCAGGGACAGAAGTTCCAATCTTCGCACTTGGGAGACGGTTTGAGCACCTTCGTGTTTTAGGCCAAAGCCGGCGGTGAGATCCCAGCTTTCCTGCACCATCGGTTGAGTGCGGACGTTGAATTCCGCTACAATGAGCCGGAACTGAGCTCTACAAGGGCCAAGCATCAAGTCCATAAGTCCATGGTCCACGGGCGTAAGCAAAATGGGTGCCCTTGTACCTTGGTTTCAGGGAACATGAAAAGACACCAATGGCACCATGGGTCCATTTTGCCTTGATGGCCAGGCGCAGCTGAGAGGCCGAAAGTGTCGGATTGCGACTGTCGAAAGCTGGACCCTGGGCGGCTTCCGGTTTTCTTTCGGAATCTCACTTGCCCCCTGGGGAGTTGGGGAACAGATGATATCGTTTGTGGCTTGTACCCTAGGTGGGGAGGGAATAGTCTGCGCTCTTCCAATGCCTGGCCCAGGGACGATGAGGCCAGGGACGAGCTTCGCAGCTTTTGGCGATACGCAATGATCACATGTTTGCTCTGAGTCAGATGTAACACACTGCGAAAGTTGTGAGTCTGGCAGAAAATTAAACACATTGCTGAGTCCTGCCTGCATCCTGTGCCTGATGTTGGGTCCCAGTGATGCCCTTGTTGGAGGATTGCAATGAACTTCAAAGGACAATGCTCATTTTGGCTCTTGCCGGGCATATGATTGAACTGCACATCACTTGGATTTTGTTGACTAGACATTTCAATGCAGTGTGCGTCAACGTCAAACGGATAGGAAGACAAATCAGTTCAGATGGCAGCCGCCTGGTAGGCTTCGGGAATGGAGGCGCTTGAAGCTCTCATCAAGACGGACGAGGAGATGCTAGAGGCGGAGGAAGCGGAGGCAGAAGTTGACGTAGAAGAAGAGTTGGAGGTAGAAGCAGAGGCAGAAGAGGGAGCAGAAGCAGACGAGGGGTCGGAGAAAGCAGAAGCCGAGGCAGAAGTGGAAGCGGAAGCCGAGGAGGAGGCTGAGGTGGAGGCAGAAGTCGAGGTGGAGGCGGAAGTGGAGGCAAAGGAGGCGGAAGTGGAGGAAAAGGAGGCGGAAGTTGAAGAAAAGGAGGCGGAAGTGGAGGCGGAAGTGGAGGCGGAAGTGGAGGCGGAAGTGGAGGAGGAAGTGGAGGCGGAAGTGGAGGCGGAAGTGGAGGCGGAAGTGGAGGCGGAAGTGGAGGCGGAAGAGGCAGAAGTCGAGGTGGAGGCGGAAGTGGAGGCGGAAGTGGAGGCGGAAGTGGAGGCGGAAGCGGAGGCGGAAGCTGAAGCGGAGGCAGACGTGGAGACGGAAGTGGAGGAACAGGCAGAGGTGGAGGCGGAGAAGGAAGAGGCCGAGGCGCAAGTGGCGGCGGAAGCACAGGCAGAGGTAGCAGGGACGGAGGTGGGCGCGCAGGAGGCTGAGCCAGCAAAGCCCGATGGGGTAGACACTGTTGCAGATGGTGCAGAGACGAACGGCGCCTTAGACGGAGCCTTAGACGCAGATGCGGAAGCCGCTGCGGAGATGCACGTAGAGGCTAGAGACACGGCAGATTTGGCGAAGCTGCAGGAAGCGGATAGGGCAGCGGAAGCAGATACGGACATGCCGGAGGCCAGTGAGGCTATGGACTCTGACACAGAGGTGCGATGCATCATGCCGGGACTCTGTTCTTCCAACCCCAAACCTGTTCCTTGCTCACCGCTCTCGCCACTTGGCCAGGCCGTTGCCGTCACCGACGCGTACGGTGCTGGTGAGGCCGAGACGGAGTGTGTTGAGAGTGAGATTGCTTGGTTGGACCCTTTGGCGGGCATGAGACATGGTTGGAGTATGTCGGAGCTATGTCCACCATTTGTTGAGGGTATTCTCCATTGAATATCATAGCCGCTCCTGTCTTTCAGGGCTGGCATGTGCCTTGAGGTCGATGAGCCTGAGGACATGGAAGTGGAAGCTTGGCTGATCAAAAGATAGAAACCCTTCAACTGGACCTGCTTTGTCAATGCCTCCAGCCAAAAAGAGAGGGCTGGTCGATCTTTGGGAAGCCTCTTGATACAGCCGCCCCCTGCGCGGGTTCAGAAGTTGAGGCTGTGGCAGATGCTTATGCACTCTACGACGACTACATGGCAGCTCAGCTTGCAACCATGAATCGACACGTGAAACGTCCCCCCCTGTGGGCCAAGTTTGGGAGGACATGGGCCATGCGCATGTGTCAAATGTGTCAAAATACAGGGACCTGTTTTTTTGTTCCCAGCAAATCAAGGTGGAAGAGTACCCTCGAAAAAAATACACCAGCATAGACCCCAGGTAGCATGGGAGTGGCCTAAATGGCTCATGTTTCTATAGTGATCAACTCAGCCAGTTAGAAAGCATGAAGATACTGCAACCAAACGACCCTAATGGACTCAGCAGCATTATGACAATTGTAGCAGCAACATGATGACACCACGGCCACAAACCATAATGTGCTAATCCAACAAATTCTGTGCAATTTACATACCGACAGACAGCCTCTTCATGCGTTCAAAAGCGCCTTGATATTGTTTTGCAGCGTCGTCATGACACGAACCATTGCGCGCGGCATATGAGCACATACCGCGCGTGACCTGCTATGGGCCTCCCCATTGCGCGCATTGCAGGCACTCACTATGGGCCCAGCACCGCATGCTGCGACCCGGGTCACATTGTGCCCCAAAGCCCGCAGCGCACATTAGCGCATTTGCCCGGCTGTCATGCGCCGCCCAGAAATTCACAAAGGTTGAGAGCGTGTTAAATGTTCGAAGTAGCATGTTGACCACAAAAATCAATGGCCAACACCCACATCGGCACCCTGACTAGTACTACCGACATGGTGGCAGCACCCCCAAACATCTCCTGCACCAGCACCCTAAACTGCATACTGTCCTGCACGCTGCCGTCAAGCTCGTCAATGTCCAAGAATCTGCACCCACAGCATCACCAGCACCTCAAAAAGCACCCGCTCCAGCACCCAAACTACATGCTCCATAGCACCCGGCCATCATTCTCGCAAAAATGCGCCCACGCCATCACCAGCACCTCAAACAGCATCCCCCCGTTACCAGCACCTCCAACAGCACCCTAAACGGCGCCCCAAACGGACCCCGAAAGCAGCAGCGGCACCCCAAACTGCCTCTAGCACATTGCTGTCAAACTTGACAAAATGCGCCCGCACCGTCACCAGCCCCTCAAACAGCACCCCAAACAGCACCCCAAACAGCACCTCAACGCCCCTTGCACCAGCACCCGAAACTGCATCCCCCCGAGCACCCTGCCGTCGATCTTGCCAAAATGTGCCGGCACCTCCAGCACCTCAAACAATTAGAAGTTAGAACCCATATCTTTCAGCTGTCTGGGGAAATAGCACCCACCCCTACATCAAATGACTCGCATCCCTTGCTTTGCCCAGGAGAGCGTCTTTGATGCGGTGCCTCGGATGTGATTTGTTTTTGGCTTTTGGTCAGCTTCTGTGCCCCGACCGCGTCACCCGCTGTTGGAGGTTTGGATTGGTTTGGCCGAATGGGAACCCCAAGCTTCCAGCGGTCTCACGTGCTGAGAAGGGAGTCTCAGAGGGGCCAACACACAGGGAAAATGGGTGGCTTCCAAATAGAAGAAGGGCTGAACAGAATGGAACATGAATCAACCCCGAAGCTGTAGCCAATCGAAGCCATCAAAGGGCGACAATCGCCAGAATTTCGTAGGAAGCTGCCGCGGCATGGGCCAGAGAGGACGGGGTGGGGGGGAGGGCCTGAGAATGACGCGATGAATTGGCGGCTCAGAAATGGTGGTTTCCTTTGTTTTCAACTTTTGTTAGTGGTTGGAACACCCTCAACGGCGGTGGTTGCAAAAGTCCAGCCATGTATTTCTGATGTCCACCAAAGGGTCCATTTCCAATTTCAGAGTTCATACCCAGGTACACCACAAGCTACGTTTTTTTTCTTCTTTTTTTTCTCAATCTCTACGTCTATGTCTAATTCCATCCCGTCCCATCCTTATGCTTATCCTTATCCTTTATCCTCATCCTATCTACCATAGGGTTTGCAACTGGACTATACTTATCAGGTGCTGAGGATACTTCCTTTCTTTTGTTCGCAGGATGCAGAAGTGGAGGTCGAAGAGCCGAGGCCGAAGGACCCCCGCCGACTGCTGCACCACTTGAAATGCGTGGACGTGTTTTTTCTTGGGATGGTGTTGGGCCGGGATGAAGTAGGTGTGTGGCTGTGGCTGTGGCTGTGGCTCTGGCTGTGGCTGTGGCTCTGGCTGTGTCTGTGTCTGGTTTCCTTTTGCGGTTTTTCTAGATCAGGTTCCCTGAGTCTAGTTCAGCCCAGCTGTTTGCGGGCTAGTAAACATCCGGGGCTGGAAAAACCAAACTCAACCAGTGAAAAGGAGCAGGGTCCCCCAGTCCCCCTGGTATCCTGTGTTCTGGGTCAGGAGATTGAGGCTTCGGAAGCGGCCGCGAAGGATTTCTCTCCGCAAGATCCCAAGGCCAAGGATTCCGAGTCGAAAGATCCGCCGGCGGATGCGGCGGATCCGGCGGATCCCAAGGGCGCGGCGCGCAACCCGAAGAAAGCCAAGCCCGCCTCGAAGGGCTCGCAGTCGAGGCCGAAGAAGCCAAATTCTGAGGCCGGCACGGTCGTGTCGAGTCGAGTCGAACGGGTTCGTTTGGGGGGGGGGGGTAAGGGGGAACTTCGGGCGGCCCATGTTTCCTGTCCAGGGGAAACTGGTAACTTTGAGAATGGCTCATGCGCTGGGATTCTTGTGAAGGGCGCTGTGGCGGCCTCTGATTATTCATAGAAGGCGTTTGGCTGTGGAGCATCAGGGGTTTGGTTCCAGACCTCAGGATGACGGAAACGTGAAGCCAGCGAAGCCCGCGGCCACGTCCAATCGCAAGGCGGCTGCCAAGAAGGACTGCGCTGAGCTTTGAGAGACTCCAGCAGCATTTCTTCTGCTCATTTTTACATTGAGCTCATGATGAAGGTCCTTTACTTTACTTGCCGATCCCTTGTTTGTGCATATTTCTTGCCAGGTCTTGGAGAGTGCCGGGAACAATCCTTATGCCTATGGCTGGAAGATCCATTCCCAGATTTCCCACGACAAAAAGAACACGCAAAGCAAGCCATATTTCTTTCCGCAGGCGGCCGCCAATGCAGAAGCTGTTGCAAACACCAGCGCGCCGACGAGTGCAACTCCGAGTGCTGCTCCGAGTGCCGCCACGCCAGCTCCAAGTGCGACTCCAAGTGCGACTGCTGCACTGGAGCTGGATGTGCAGTACTACGCGCTGGGCAGGAGAGACAAGGGGTGAAGCTCCCAGGTGAAGACTTACGAAATTATATTCACCAGCTGCTTTGAAGGATTTCGTGCCGAACAAACCACTGCACCACATGTTGGATGTTTCCTGCCAGGAAGCTCGACTGTGCGCCAGAGAGGCTCACCCTGAACCTCTCCAAAGAAGGTGCTAAGAGCTCCCAGATGGTGGCTGAGGGCCATATCGCTTTTCTTCCGGACCTGAGCCTAGAGCCGCACCAAACCGGGCTGAACAGCAAGCTTACACGCCAAATCGTCTAAAGCTTTGCTGTATGGGGGAGGGGAGGCCCTCCAAGCTGGTTGGCCCCCTTCTTGTTTTCCACTTAAAATCAACCAACCCGGGACCAATTGTGTGTGTGTGTGTTGTGTGTGTGTGTGTTGTGTGTGTGTGTTGTGTGTGTGTGTGGTGTGTGTGTGTTGTGTGTGTGTGTGTGCGTTGTGTGTGTGTGTTGTGTGTGTGGGTGTGTGTTGTGTGTGTGTGTGTGTGGGTGTGTGTTGTGTGTGTGTGTGTGTGTGTTGTGTGTGTGTGTGTGTGTGTGTGTGTGTGTGTGTGTGTGTGTGTGTGTGTGTGTGGGGACCCCTTTGCGAAGTTGACTACAGGGGCCGGGGGGTTTTGGTAGTTTCCGGCCAAATCCATGGGGAGGGGCGTGAACGAGACGGGCATTTGCTGGAAGTATGGACCATCGCCCAGGAAACAAGGCAAGACTGTCTTCTTCCAGGACGGGAGAGCAGACCCGCCAGCTGTAGCTTTCGGCTCAACTGGTCTTCTGAGGCTCCATGGGTTCGGTCAAAAATACCAGACTTGCCTGTGGTGCATTTGGGAGGTAACATGGGGGAACTAAAGTCCCCACAAAATGTAAACACGAGCCTGACATATCCCATTGTCAGGTAATTTCCGTGAAGCCGTGGAGTGCATACCTGGAGCTGCGCACGTGTGCGGCTCCCAGGGCAAAATGAGACCATGATGCTGTGCGCATGTGTGTGTGTGTGTGTTGGTGTGTTGTGTCCAGTTTTTCTTGTTGGGGAGTGCTCACGGCGACGGCTAAGTTTTAGACTGCTAGCATCAACCTCTGAGCCTCTTAGATTAAGACAAGGTCAGGGCTTTGGAAGGGGCCACTGCCACGGCAAAATGCCTTGTCATCAGGGTTACATTTCTGAACATTACAACGCCCACAGGAAACTTTGATTTACAGTATATCTGTCTTAGACATCGCAAAGGTTTGAAACTGCTGGCCTTAAAGGGAAACCAATCGGACACTACAATTTGCTTGGATCCCCTATTAGAAAAGTCATATAGGTGGGTTGTCTCCTCTATGTGGGGCCGGTTCCTATGGCTCCAACTTGCACCGCCCTTCAGAAGTGATGTCTACCCCTTGGTCCATCCAACTAAAATGGCTCATCTTTGGTGTTCATTTTTCCCGACCAACTACATACTTCAACCAATTCATGACCCATCTCTGGAGTTTCGAGCAGCTTGCAATCGAGGCAGCGGCAAACCTCACGGCCTTGTCATCCAGGAGTTGCCTCATCCCAAAACGGAAGGTGCTTTGTAACACGGGGAGCGTTCAAAATTAGGGGCCATATCCCGCTTAGCAGGTGGCGCTAGGTGGGAGAACAGGAGGCGAAAGCTATTCCTGCCATGTAGAAGTGTTCAGAGGATGTTGGCACATTTTGTTTTGCTCGGAGATTTGAAAGAGCTTGCTGGGGCTTGAAGGCAACTGAACTCGAGATGGATGGACGGCTGTTTAAAATAATGTCTTGCACGCCTGGTCTCAGTAGATCAATCTTGCTCAGGGTGGTTGCTTGATTGGTCGGGTTTGTTCGTTGCTGGGTTGGTTGTCTGGCTAGCTGGTTGGCTGTCTGGTTGATTGAATGGTTGGTTGGGCTAGGTGGCTAGGTGGCTGGTTGGCTGGCTGAGAGGTTGGTTGATTGGCTGGTTGCTTGGTTTCTAGGTTGGTCGGTTGGCTGGCTTGCGGTTGGTTGGTGGGTTGGTTCGTTCCTTGACTGGCATCACTTGCGGGAATGTGTTGACATCATCGCCTGGTTGGCTTGCGGAATGCATCAAATTTCTCATGTATACCCAACAAAAACCCTGTAACCAGATAGCTGTGCACAAAACCAAACACAGCCTTGGCAAAGCTGCGCCATACTGAGTATCAGTACGGTTCCTGAACTGAATGGAGACTGAGTGTACGGCCAACATACGTCTGCCTATTTTATGGCGATCTCCCCGATTGTGGGCAAACCGAGCTCACTATGTTGGACCTTTACCTGGGGATCCAACTCGTTCTTCAGGTCTGTAGATTTTGTGGATTTCTTGGATTTCTTGCCAGGTCTTGGGGAGTGTGGGGAGTGATTTGACGCTTTGACCATGGCTCCGCCAGGATTTGAAGAGCAGTGGCCGCGTGCGGGTCCGCGTTGGCGCCAGCCCCCTGGAGGAGCTCGCCATGGTGGTGTGGCGCAACAGGCGTGCGGGGTTTGGGCACGAGGGGGAGGGGGGGGATCCCCAAGTGGAAGGGTTTGTAGTTAGCAAATTATTGCGGTGAAAAGGACAAGGTGGTCAAACATGTTTGGCCGGGGCGAGGTGGCTACCTATGGCTTGGGATTTTACATCTCCTTTCAGGGAACACAGGATCAACAGAGTCACGGCACGTTGCCGAGCACCGGCATTCACGCGAGGCTGCCCAAAGGTGGCATCAAGCTAGCGGACTTCATGTCGCCCGTCAAGGCCCGGCATAAAAAGATGCGATGACAAAGGGGCACTCTCACCAAAATACCCATGAGGAAGTGGGGGTTCACACTACGTGATGGGTCAAATACCACCCCGAAAAGGGGCACCAACTCCCGAAGCGCACGCACCCGCATAGGGTTTGGCTCAAACCAGGCGACCCTTCAAAAACAAAGTGAAGACCAGCCAAAGAGAAGCCCGAATATCGACTGGCTCACCCTTCGGAGTCTTAGATCTGTGCAGGACTTGGCCGGCGATGCCTTCGAGCAGTTCTGCCTCATGACCCGCCCGCCGCGGTGGCTGGAGCGGTCCGAGTACTTCGTGCGGCACCCTGCGAGTTTCGATCCGTGAGAGGGGCTTCCCATACGGCCATAAGGCTTTAGTGAGAGAACATGGCCGTATGGGGCGCCAAAAACATGGTGCTTCATGTTTACAATTGTGGGTGCATGCGGAGGGGTTATTCAGAGATATGTTTGTGAACGAGGATATTCGTCAGCCATGAAGAAGGAACCCTGCAATGCGACCCCAGTTTGAGAGAGGTAGGTAGGCTTGTTCTTTGCTGAGACTGTGATCATGTTGGCACATCCTCCAAGCTTTCCCGGAACAAGGTCTGCCGCTACAACGATGCGCGCAGCGAGCACATGATCAGACCCGGCAAGGAGGCAGCTGAAGAAACGGCCGATGCAAAGCCAAACAACACATGGGCAAGCTTCTTTTTGAAGGTGCACTTTTCAGGTTGGTCAAACGGGAAGCCAAAGCCGCCATTGTAATTATTGCCCCCTATTTTGACGCACACCAAGAGTTTTGACATGTCAGATTATTGGCCGACCGAAAACCTCACCCAATCACAGCCACCACTCGGTTGCAGGCCTTCCCTTCCGCGCCGCTCCGAACTCCGCGCGAGGCTGAGCGAACGCCCCTGGAGAACACCCTGCGTGTTCTCCTGGCGCCGATGACGCGCAAGGGGGTGCCACAGGCCTTCAAGGAAGAGGCGAGGGATGAGGAGTGGGGGGGGCTTGTCCTTTTTGAAACCGTGACGCCAAAATTTTGACACCCGCCCTACCAAACGTCAATGCTCAGGTGGATTAGAACATCCAATGGGCTCGGGAAGAACCCAACGAGCAGGACTTTGGAGGAGTTTGTTGCCCAACTCCACAAAGAGCCAGGCAACTGGGCAACTAGTTTTTCCCAATGCTGTTAAGCGAAGCACTTGCGGCGATGAGATTCGCTTTTGGGCAACCACCAAATCTCCTTGATCATTTCAATCCAGTCATGATCAGTTTCTTTGTTCGCAGTGGTGGAATATTATGCCAGCGCTCCAATAGGAACAAGAACTGATTCCGCTCGATTGCCACACGGAGTTCCCAACCAACATTGGATTTTGGCGGGGGGAGCCCCATGATCGAATATTTTGGGTTGGCCCCGTGTCAACCATTCCACCGAAGCCGTAGACGGTAAATATTGACCGTTGCTCATACGGGTTTGTCTCAAAACGTGGGAACCCACAAAATGGGTTGTTTCCCTTTGATGTCCCTTACCTCAAAACAACAACACGCCCGCATGTGGCTGTGGTCGCTTGTCACGTGAGGCTTTGTCATCGCTGCAGCAGAGACTCCACGTGGTGATGCAGGGGGCGCGGGGCTTACCTGCCTGCGGTTGTGAAACACCTGTGGGGGTTATCCTTTAAACACAGGCTTGCAAAAAATGGACGACACCCTTTTTTAAGATTCCCTTGGAACAGCTTCCAAAAGGTGTCCCCAAATTCACAAACGACTTGAGTTCAACCCATGGCTCGGATTTGCTGTAGCGACGGTGGTACAGCGAATAGACCGCAAGCGAAGTCGGGAGCATCCATGGGAATTTTCGGTCATCTGCCGGAGTGTTGGGAATGAAATGGGGCTCACTGTGACACTCCCCAAATTTCATCAGGAAATGGTGGCGGGGCACAGTGCACATTGACTGCGGCTCACATTGACTTGCTCGGGGATGGTACGTGGTCGGTTTGGCTGATTGGGTATTGGTTCTTTTGCGGCTTTGCTGATTGGGTATCAACTGGTTGATCGCTTCCTGTTGGCGCGGACATATTCGCAGGGCTTCAAACGTGTTGGCATCTTCTCTCGTGGGTTTCTTGCGTTGATATTGCCCAACCAAAAGCGTTTCTTCTTTACCATCTCGACGATTCTGAGACGAAAACGCTGGGTGCTCAAAATAGTAGATTGGCCAATCTGATTCCGCGACCCTTTGGACACCACTTCAAAAGGGGGCCGGGGCCTTGCGGATTGCACCTCCCCTACCTTGTGGCTGGGCCCAGAAAAAGACTCTGGCATATATATATATATAAGCTTTATTATTTGTTTTGAGGGGGGCATGCTCAGGGCCTTCATTTTACTTCTAGGCGCCCCAAGAAACCGGCGATGTTGAAAAGAACACGCACGCGGCTTTCGGATGGGTCAGGCCGCGCTGCCGGTGCTTGCCGACGACGGCCTCCGGAGCTGGCTGGTGAAGTCCCCGGCATTTGAGCTCCGGGAGAAGGAGCCGAGCGAATCTCGCACGGGCGGGGCATTGGGGTTGGAGTGGGTGCCGAGTTTGTTGGTTCGAAAGGGAAGCCAAAGGAAACATACACCCCGTTGTTCACACAAACCTATTCTATGTGTGTGTGTGTGCGCGCGCGCGCGTTGATTTGCCGCCCTGCCAGACTATCATGCAACCCGAAAGGCAGCCCTCGGTCTTGGAATCTGATTTTGTGGCACCCCTTTTTTCGGGTTCCACGTTCGTTTGCAGCGGAGTCCTGTTGGCTGTTCCTTGGCTGTGTTAGGGGTTTTGGGTTGGACCATTCTGAACCCAGATATGAGGTCCCAGGATTCGCTTGTGGAGTTTTCGCCGAGTTTCGATGGTCCTGCGCGAGCGCCTGTCATAGTGAGTGAGTTCTTGCGTGAAATTCAGCGAGGTTCCCCTGTCCCGAACCAAAAGCCATCATGAAACCTAATTGGACCAACACAACTAAACCCGGTTGGAAGTGTTCACTGTACCTTGGACCAACATTAGATTCTTAAACATCTTCTTCCAAATGAGCGGCGAAACGCAGAGGCTTGGGTAACTGTTTCCCCGTGGCCCATGAGACCTTCCTCACTTTATGGAGTTCCCTCTCTCCCCGGGCGGATGTGAAGGATGTGGCCGGCAAGAAGGTGGAGGTGGTGATGCTGCGGGACGGGAGTAGCGCAGCCTTTGAGACAAAGCCGCCTTTGGGTGTCAGCATGTTTCCTCCGCGGCCAACCTGAGCTTGGCGGGCGTTTCGTGTTTTTGCAGGTGTTCAGCTTTTGTCTTTTCGTTTTTTTTTTTGGGGGGGGGATAAATGACCTGGATTCTTTTCAAGCCGGAAACAAGGTGTCAATGGCCCGCACCTTGGCCTGCAGCGTTTGGGCACCCAAGCGTCCATGCCAGGGGGCCTCAGTTTCGGGAGCCAAACCCAGGAAACCTCCAGAACCCCCCGATCCCCCATCATCCCTCCCCCATCCCCCTATTTCATCCCCCAGGAAAAGCGTGGCAGTGCCCTAGGTCCGTAGTTTCCGGCGACTGCGCGGGCTGTTTTGCTCCTGTTCTCTTATTCCAGGAGGGCGAGAAGGAGAGGATTAGGCCTGCAGCAGGCGCTTTCAGAGAGTCGCAATTTTGCGAAAGCGCCCGCGTTGATCGTGGCACATGGATTGCTCAACCATCTGGCTATTTTACAGGGGCGGCACCCGTGCATAGCGAAAATCATGGTCAGTTGCCCTGAAAACCTGGTTCCGTGCCACCGCATGCCCGTCAAGAATGAGCTATTCAGGCAACACACACACACACAAACACATACCTTTCCCAAGGTCTTGGGTTCTCAGGCTGATGGCATTGGGGTGTTTTGAAGGGTGAAGACATTGAATCTCTGACACTTGTCATGGTTCCAGGCTCAAATCTCTTCACTTGTGTCGTGGTCATGGTTTCCGTTTAAGGTCGGTGGATCATCCTATCAGCCCCGGGCCTGGTGACCAGGACACAAATGAGGTGTATTGAACCCCTAGCTATGGAAGAAAGACCACAAATACAAGGGTGTCCCACTTTCGGTCTGCTGTCATGGCCTCAAGAGGCCACTGCTTCATTGCCTCAAGTGAAGGTGCACTTTCCACCACAGAACTGAGTTTCATTGAAAGATACCTACAGAAATTGGGTCTGTTGATGGGTTTTGCCAGGCGACCCGAAGCCCAAGCTGGAAAAGCTGGCCGAGAAGCCCAAGGAGATGCCCAGGAGCGAGCTGTCAGAGCCTTTGGAAATGTGGGGTGGGGAGGGGGGGCAGGGGTGGGTGTGGTGAGGGGGGGTGAGGTGGGGTGGTGGGGCTTTAAACAGCCTGTACCTCACATGTTTTTTTGGGGGAGTTGACCGCTCATCTACGAAGGGAACAGTGTTGGCTTTCTTTACAGTCATAAAGTGGAAAGGTCGCATGGTCCTTCGGCAATGGAAAACATGCGGCCTGCCTGGCAAGGGGCCAGTGGTAGCCCCCACCCTTGCGCTGAGGCCCGCAAATGAGACGGAGGGCGGCCGGCACCGCCGCTGCGGCCGAGCTGTAAAGGCAAGGACCGAATTCTGGGAGTAGCCGGCGCGGAGTGGAAGGAACGCGTCAACAACTTGGGCTGGCGGTTGGTGGTTGGTTGCTTTTGGCTGTTTGGTGGTTGATTAGGGACTCCTTTGGTGGTAACCCAAAATGCCGCGCTCGCTCTTTGCCAACAAAAGCGGAAAAGGGATTGAGTGCCCCAAAAACGAGTAAGGAATTGACCCCTCCACAGAAGTTTTGGGTACCTTTGTTGTCAAAGGGAAGCCAACCAAAAATACATTTGAGGGATAGGATCCCCATGACAGAGCCATGGAGTCTTGGCAATGGCTGCGGGTTTGTCTTATGAGGGCTCCTACTGGCTTCCCCGGATCTCCAATTGCATTTGCTTCAGAAGATTTGCTGTTTGCCCTTGGTTTGCTTTAGGCAATGTTTGTATTTCATTTGGTTTGAAAGTGGAAATGGCAATCACTGGTAGATACACTTGACTTTATTTTGGGTGCCTTAGGCAAATGGAAGCAGGACAAACCTCCAACGCTGTCTGAGGGGGGGGGTTCAGGTTTGATATGTCCGGCCTATGATTTTCCCCCTTTTTGGTGGCTTGTTAAACATTTGGACAGTTTAGACTGGGTTTCCTTTCTTTTCGGAAAGTTGTCCACACAGAGGTCGGCCCCTATTTTGATACATAGCTGTAAGCCGGTATTTACACGCTGACGCGACACAGCCGGCCACCGGGCACCTTGCCCTGCTCGTTCTGTCACTTCCCTTTCCTGTAAGTCCGATTAGTAGATGTTAAGATTTTCAGATTCTAAAAACTTTGAGATTCTAAGGGTCTCAGATTTGAAGACTGTCGGAATTTGAGGTTTCAATGGTTTAAGAATTAAGGTTTTAAGATTCAAAGATTTAAAGTTTTTGAAGGTTATAACAGCCAGGCCATTGCCCAGCCATTTTCCATCTATTATCAGATTTCGAAGGCTTTAAGATATTATTTTTCGGAGATTTTCAGATTTGGCGACTTTCGGAATTTAAGATTTTAAGATCTCAAGATTTCAAGGCTTCAAAGTTTCAAGATTAAGAGTTTAAGGAATTTAAAATATAGCCCGGATTGAAGGAATTTTATTATATTTTACTTGTTTATGAAGTTAAGATTTTCAGATTGCAATAGTTCGAGATTTAAAGAATTTAAGTTTTGAAAGCTTTTCAGATTCTGAGATTTTAAGACTTTGAGAATTTAGGAAGTTCATATTTTTAGATTTTAACATCTGAAGCTTCAAAGATATTCGGGTTTTAAGAAGTCAAGATTCGAAGACTTTAGGATGTTTATATTTTCAGATTGTAAGATTCGATCTTCTAAGGTTGTAAGTTTAAGATCTTGAGGTTTCAAGATTTCCAAATTTCAAGAGTAAGAGTTTAAGACTGTAGGAATTTCATATTTTAAGAGTTTAAGATCGCAAGATTCTAAGACATAAGGGTTTTAAGATTTCAAGATTCGAAGACTTTAGGATGTCTTTATATTTTCAGATTTTAAGATTCTAAGTTCGAAGATTTTAAGATCTCGAGATTCTAAGATTGATTGTTAGATTTTAATTTAAGATTTTAAGAATCTAAGACTTTAGGATTTTGAGATTTCAATCCAGGCCATTTTCCATCCATTTTCCATCCACTTTAAGATTTTAAGATTTTCAGGTTGCACGTTTTCGGCAAAGTTGGCCCGACTTAGGGGACAACATCCCCAGCATCCCCCGAGACTTTAGGATGTTTTTATATTTTCAGATTTTAAGATTCTAAGTTCAAAGATTTTAAGATCTCGAGATTCTAAGATTGATTGTTAGATTTTAATTTAAGATTTTAAGAATCTAAGACTTAGGATTTTGAGATTTCAATCCAGGCCATTTTCCATCCATTTTCCAGCCACTTTAAGATTTTAAGATTTTCAGGTTGCACGTTTTCGGCAAAGTTGGTCCGACTTCGGGGACAACATCCCCAGCATCCCCCGCATCACCGGCATCATCCGCATCAATGTCCGCCAAGGATGCGGATGATGCAGGTGATGCCGGGGATGTTGTCCACTATGGGCACCCCCCAAAAAACACTCGTTTTTTGACTCCGCGGGGAGATGCTCAAAAAGCCGCCAAAAATCGCCTGAACAAATCCGCAAATCCTTCGCCCCTTATAAGGGTGGGCCCAGCTTGGCGCAGCGCAAAAGTATAGCGCATGGTCGGCGGTGGTCGGCGGCACAGGGCGGCCGGCCCTGTACCTGAAGGTAGGCCCTCCGGGCCTAGGCCTTCGGCCGTATCACGGACCACGGGGTCTGAAGCCCCCGGTGGCCGGATTTACACGCTGACGCGACACAGCCGGCCACCGGGCACCTTGCCCTGCCCGTTCTGTCACTTCCCTTTCCTGTAAGTCCGATTAGTAGATGTTAAGATTTTACAATTCTAAAAACTTTGAGATTCTAAGGGTCTCAGATTTGAAGACTTTCGGAATTTAAGGTTTCAATGGTTTAAGAATTAAGGTTTTAAGATTCAAAGATTTAAGGTTTTTGAAGGTTATAACAGCCAGGCCATTGCCCAGCCATTTTCCATCCAGTATCAGATTTCGAAGGCTTTAAGATGTTATTTTTGTGAGATTTTCAGATTTGGTGACTTTCGTAATTTAGGATTTTAAGATCTTAAGATGTCAAGACTTCAAAAGTTCAAGATTAAGAGTTTAAGGAATTCAAAATATAGCCCGGATTGAAGGTTTTTTTCTTCATATATTTTACTTGTTTATGAATTTAAGATTTTCAGATTGCAATAGTTCGAGATTGAAAGAATTTAAGTTTTTGAACTTTTAAGATTCTGAGATTTTAAGATTTTGAGAATTTAGGAATTTCATATTTTAAGATTTGAACATCTGAAGATTCAAAGACATGAGGGTTTTAAGAAGTCAAGATTCGACGACTTCAGGATGTTTATATTTTCAGGTTGTAAGATTCTAACTTCTAAGGTTGTAATTTTAAGATCTTAAGGTTTCAAGATTTCAAAATTTCAAGATTAAGAGTTAAAGGAATTTAAAATATAGCCCGGATTGAAGGAATGTAATATTTTAACAATTTAAGATTTTCAGATTTCAATTGTTCGAGGCTTAAAGAATTTAAGTTTTAAAGCTTTTTAAGATTCTGAGATTTTAAGAGTGTAAGTCTTTAGGAATTTCATATTTTAAGAGTTTAAGATCTCAAGATTCTAAGACATAAGGTTTTTAAGATTTCAAGATTCGAAGCCTTTAGGATGTTTTTATATTTTCAGATTTTAAGATTCTAAGTTCTAAGATTTTAAGAATCTAAGACTTTAGGATTTTGAGATTTCAGTCCAGGCCATTTTCCATCCACTTTAAGATTTTCAGGTTGCACGTTTTCGGCAAAGTTGGCCCGACTTAGGGGACAACATCCCCAGCATCACCCGCATCGCCAGCATGCATAACATCATCCGCATCATCCGGGATGATGCTGGCAATGCTGGGGGTGTTGTCCAGTATTAGGCACCCCCTAAAAATGCTCGTTTTTGGGTCACGGACCACGGGGTCTGAAGCCCCCGGTGGCCGGATTTAAGGGCTGCCGCCCAGTGCCGCCGACCCCTGGATTTAGTTGTGGTTTTCGAGCAAAAGAAGCCAGTGCCCTTGGTTTTGGTTTCTTTGGTTTCTTTTGGGTGAAATGTTAAATTTTCGCCCTGGTCAAATTTTGATCTGGTTTTTGGTTTCACTGTAAACTTGAACCCCAGTAGCCGAGCCACAACCCTGCGTACTTGAGTCATGATCTGGATGATGCTGGACGATGACGTCGATTACAAATCGGCTGATAATCATCATGACGCACCCTCAGCATCACCAGCAGTCATCATGATAATCATGTCCACGCATCTTTTGCATCTCAAGTCGCATGATAATCATGATGACGCATCCTCAGCACCACCAGCACTCATCATGATAATCATGACGACGCATTCTCTGCATCACCAATGCTATCTATCGTCCCTTCTGAAATGTATACAAGAAGTAAGAAGTAATACGAAACCATAATGACCCTCATGCTGATCATGATGAAGATGATGACTAGGATGATACCTATCATCATAGTACCAAGGGTGCCTAAAGCCACATTTGAAATGTATAGAAGAAAGAGATGAGGTGATGACAAACAATGATGAAGGTGATGACTATGATGACAATCATCATGAAGATGATAAGGATGATGACTCTTATGATAGCTATCATCGTAGCATCCTCTGCGTTACCAAAGCTGCGGATGACTGTCATGATAACTATCATCGTAGCATCCTCTGCATTACCAAGGGTGCCTAACGCCACATTTGAAATGTATATAGAAGAAAGATAGAAGAAAGAGATGATGATGATGATGACAATCATGATGACGATGATGAAGGTGATGACTATGATGACAATCACCACGAAGATGATAAGGATGATGACTCTTATGATAACCATCATCGTAGCATCCTCTGCATTACCAAAGCTGCGGATGACTGTCATGATAACTACCATCGTAGCATCCGCTGCAGTACCAAGGGTGCCTAACGCCACGTTAGAAACGTATAGAAGAAAGAGATGATGATGACAATCATGATGACGATGATGAAGGTAGTGACTATGATGACAATCATCATGAAGATGATAAGGATGATGACTCTTATGATACCCATCAATGTAGCATCCTCTGCATTAGCAAAGCTGCGGATGACTGTCATGATAACTATCATCGTAGCATAACGCCACATTTGAAATATGAAGTTACGTGACAGAGCTTCAGCGCTGAAAGCTGTGCCCAGCAGGTAGTTGAGCACTCTCGGCCTCCTCAGCTCAGGGGCAGTTGGTGTAGTGGCATCACAAATATCAGTTGCGTGAGGGGCCTTCAGCAATGAAAGCTGTGCCCAGCAGGTAGTTGAGCACTCTCGGCCTCCTCAGCTCAGGGGCAGTTGGTGTAGTGGCATCACACCCGCTCAGCATGCAAGAGGGGCCGGGTTCAATCCCTGGCCTGTCCATGCCCATGTGCGCCTGCGTCTGTCCCAGTTTGCCTATCCCTGGTCTTTCTCCCTTTGGGTTTGCTGTGCGTCTTGCCAAGGGCGGCTGCTCCGCCGCGGCCGGGTGCCGAACGTCACTTTTGAATCCTATATAGAAAGTAGAAAGCTATCGGTCCCCAGGGCGCAACCAGCAAGAACAGCTTCGCGTCCAGCGCGCTTGGAGGCCGCACTCGCTTCGCCGCAGCGAGCACGAACCAAAGGAGTGCGCCGGCAGCCTGCTCCGCCGCGGCCGGGTGCCTAACGTCGCGTTTGAGTCCAATATGCAGTAAGGCTATCGGTCCAGAGGGAGCGGCCAGCCACAAAAGCTTCGCTTCCCGCGCTTTTCCAGGCCGCACTCGTTTGTCCACAGCGAGCACCAACCAAAGGAGTGCGCCGGCAGCAGAAAGGAAAAGGAAAGAAACCAAAGGAGTGCGCCGGCAGCAGAAAGGAAGAAAAGAGGCCGAACGGGCGGGCCCGCACTCGTTTGCCCACAGCGAGCACCAACCAAAGGAGTGCGCCGGCAGCAGAAAGGAAGAAAAGAGGCCGAACGGGCGGGCCCGCACTCGTTTGCCCGCAGCGAGCACCAACCAAAGAGTGCGCCGGCAGCAGATAGGAAGAAAACAGGCCGAACGGGCTGGCCGTGACAGAGCTTCAGCGCTGAAAGCGCTGCCCAGCAGGTAGTTGAGCACTCTCGGCCTCCTCAGCTCAGGGGCAGTTGCTGTAGTGGCCGCTCAGCATGCAAGAGGGGCCGGGTTCAATCCCCGGCCTGTCCATGCCCATGTGCGCCTGCGTCTGTCCCAGTTTGCCTATCCCTGGTCTTTCTCCCTTTGGGTTTGCTGTGCGTCTTGCCAAGGGCGGCTGCTGCGCCGCGGCCGGGTGCCGAACGTCACTTTTGAATCCTATATAGAAAGTAGAAAGCTATCGGTCCCCAGGGCGCAACCAGCAAGAACAGCTTCGCGTCCAGCGCGCTTGGAGGCCGCACTCGCTTTGCCGCAGCGAGCACGAACCAAAGGAGTGCGCCGGCAGCCTGCTCCGCCGCGGCCGGGTGCCTAACGTCGCGTTTGAGTCCAATATGCAGTAAGGCTATCGGTCCAGAGGGAGCGGCCAGCCACAAAAGCTTCGCTTCCCGCGCTTTTCCAGGCCGCGCTCGTTTGTCCACAGCGAGCACCAACCAAAGGAGTGCGCCGGCGGCAGAAAGGAAAAGGAAAGAAACCAAAGGAGTGCGCCGGCAGCAGAAAGGAAGAAAAGAGGCCGAACGGGCGGGCCCGCACGCGTTTTGCCCACACCAACCAAAGGAGTGCGCCGGCAGCAGAAAGGAAGAAAAAAGGCCGGACGGGCGGGCCGTGGACAGGCTTCAGCGCTGAAAACTGTGCCCTGCAGGTGCTTGAGCGCTTTTCCAGGCCGCACTCGTTTGCCCACAGCGAGCACCAACCAAAGGAGTGCGCCGGCAGCAGATAGGAAGAAAACAGGCCGAACGGGCTGGCCGTGACAGAGCTTCAGCGCTGAAAGCGCTGCCCAGCAGGTAGTTGAGCACGCTCAGGGGCAGTTGGTGTAGTGGCAGCACACCCGCTCAGCATGCGAGAGGGGCCGGGTTCAATCCCCGGCCTGTCCATGCCCATGTGCGCCTGCGTCTGTCCCAGTTTGCCTATCCCTGGTCTTTCTCCCTTTTGCTGTGCGTCTTGCCAAGGGCGGCTGCTCCGCCGCGGCCGGGTGCCGAACGTCACTATTGAATCCTTTCTAGAAAGTAGAAAGCTATCGGTCAGCAAGAACAGCTTCGCGTCCAGCGCGCTTGGAGGCCGCACTCGCTTCGCCGCAGCGAGCACGAACCAAAGGAGTGCGCCGGCAGCCTGCTCCGCCGCGGCCGGGTGCCTAACGTCGCGTTTGAGTCCAATATGCAGTAAGGCTATCGGTCCAGAGGGAGCGGCCAGCCACAAAAGCTTCGCTTCCCGCGCTTTTCCAGGCCGCACTCGTTTGTCCACAGCGAGCACCAACCAAAGGAGTGCGCCGGCAGCAGAAAGGAAAAGGAAAGAAAAGAAACGAAGAAGAACAAGAAAAAAGGGAAAGAAAGAAGGCTGGTAAGGTACAGGGCGAAAGGGAAGGGAGAAGGCTGCCACAGTCACGCTCCAACGCTAAACGAACACTCCCCCAGCGCCTTCCCCTTGCAGGCAGGGGGGTCGGCGGATTATTGGATGTTTGCCCGCAAGGTCCAAAAGAGGGGCTGATGATCGAAGCGCAAATCTAAACGCCAGATGAGTGCCCAATCGAGTGCTTCCCTGCCCAAAGCAAAGCTCTCGGACGGGAGCCCGCCCAAGAAACCATGAACAGCACAAGCGCAGTTTTGGGTGTTGAAGTCATGGGTCAAACCGGTGTGTTTATAAATGTGTATTTTGTGTCCCTTTTGGGACTTTGGACATCACCTTGGAGCTGTAGATGATGTGTTCTTTGGGGTGATGTTTGGGGACATGTGTGGATCTTAGGGGCCCAAGGCGTCGCTGAGCGCCAGGCCTTGGATGCCGCCAGGAAACTGCATGCCGCCACTCGGACGAAAGCGACGTTTGGACCTTCTGGTTTTCCAGTGTTTGTTCATCTGGGTATGTGTCAAAATAGGGATTTGGACGATACAATCTCTGTTTTCGTTTTGGTTTCCTTTGACCTTTTTTTTGTATTTCTTTGGGCAGGTTGGAGTTGTTCATGTACACTGCGCGAGCTTGCGTCTCCTGACAGCGGAGTGAAAGCATGTGGACATTCATTGCTCTTGTTAGAACAAGCCGGAGCATTTGCAAATCCTTCTTACGAATCGGGGGCCCAAAGCACATTGACACATGGATACATATGAATGCAGCCCTCGCCTGATCTACAATGCAAACGAACATGCACGTGCAAATGCTGCCTGGATCATCGCATCAAGTACTTAACAAACCGCAATCTTCATTTAAGCTGAGTTGGTTTCAACTGGTCAGCAAGAGCAAAGTCATTTGCATTGGGCATGAAGGGCAAGGTGCCCCGCACGCCCCAAGACCATGACTCATCCCACGCCAATCTGCAATGAATTGTTCTGCAGGCATGTCACGAGATTCCTGGGACAACTGTCTCAAAAGGGGCAACCCACCTATGGTTTGAAAAGGGAGACCTATTCTGGGAGCCCGTTCCTAGACTACACGCTGGAGGATGACGCGCCACGTTCGGAACGTGTGTTGCCATGCGAGGATGCTTTGCGGCTCTCGCGCAACAAGCAGCAGACTGCCAAGTTCTGTGCTGGGGAGCGTGCCTTGAACTGCAATGAAATTGGACACGTTTTCGAACAGGTCTTGGGGATGATGCATTCCACCGAAGGGTTGGAGGGGCATGGGTACACGCCGCATAGAATGTGCACGGTACGCCAGTTTGATGTTTTTGGCTATGTTTGCTTGATTGCTGCACTGCCTAATGCAGCCTAATTATTTCCTTTTTGGCTTGCCCCGGCATGGCCACTGGCATAAGTGTGGGCAACGCATCTTACAAGCCTGTGTGACTATAGCCAATTGGCTAACGCTCACCTCCAACCTCCGCACTTGGGCTCTTTGTGCAGCTGTATGTGGATGTTTCCCGTAAGTGAAAATTAGTCTCCTTCTTGGCTCCCCATTGAAAGCTACGTCGCTTTGATAGGTGGCCAAGAATCTGAAAGCGTGGTCATGCTCCTGGACGTGCTCTCAGGCCAGGTCATGCTTGCGCCCAATCAAAGTATGGTGGGAGTGTATCCTTGTTAAAGTGTTTTACCACGTGTTTCGCAGGCAAATGTGGTTTTGTTTGAGTGGGGGGAGTGTGCCACTTAGTAAAGTTGCGAGGGGGAAGGAGTACTGTAGCGACTTCTTTGGGTGTCAACACACCTCATGGAGCTTTCCTGAGATGAATGGATTGATCTTGGAGTGCTAGTGCTGTTCTGGTTCCCCTTGTGGTATCACGGTGTCGTCAGCCAAATCTCGAGGGTTGGTACATTGATGGTCAATATCTATTATCATCGTGCGTTTTCTCCATTTGGGTCTCGGTGGTTTGGGGGTACCTCGTATCTCTATCCAAATCGCTTCGGCCGGCTTCACGCTTTGCAGGACTGCCGGAGGCAGTGCAGATCCTGCACGACGAGCTGGCGGAGGTGAAGAAGGCATGCCGTCCAATCGTGAGTGGGAAGGTCTTTGTTGAAGGGGTCCCCTTTTGGGCGGCAAAGGACGACCAAAAGGAAACTGTGGCCATGTTTGGATGTGTTCCCCTGTTTCGAGACAAATCCGCCCATAGTCTAAAATGTTTCCAAAAGGAAATCAAAAAGGAAAGGCAATGTTTGCGAACAAATAAATATCCAGACCTGCCACTCACCACCCAGTAGTCCGGACAGGGCCATCCGGCGAGCACGCGTCGGGGCTCTTCACAATCACACATTGCTCTCTCAGTTTTATTGTAAACGCTTCCCGCCCACCTCGGCCAGGGTTATTTGATTGAAAGGCGTTCTTTGACCTCTAATTCTTGGCGAAGCTGGGCAGCTGGCAAAAAACGAGGTTGATGCCTGGCCATGCGTGAAAGTATCAGTTGCGCGAAGCCGCGTGGCGCTGAAGAACAGCCGCAGCCGTAGTCCAGCGCACTAGGTGACTTTCCAAGGGCCAATGCTACAGCCACATTCTGGGCACAAGAAGCTAGCAGCTGGCGGTAAGTTGGAGCATTGATGGGCCATGCGACAGGGTCGTCAAGGGGGGGCGAGGGTTGCTCGTGCAAAATGCGCCAAGGCGAAGTTTGCGAGCAGGGCTTTCCCGTGGTCAACTGCCAGCCCAGGTTCCAAAAGGTTTTGTGGCCTGCTGTTCCCAGGTGCTTTGGGCAAGCTGTCGCGCCACAATGCAAGTTAGTTTGCAAGTGGAGCGTTCTTGGTGTTCGCTTCACCTCTTTAAGGCCATTTTGCTGACGGATGTTGGTGCCACGAATTTTTGCGCAAAGAAGCTCAAGAAGGTGGCTGAGCTGAAGTTGTGAAGACCGCCACTTGGCCTTCAGGGCCGTTGCGTGATGAGCATCATGGCAGGCCTTGAGACATAGTGGCACGCGCAAGCAAAAAAGACAGAGCCAGTTGAGTTGGCCACTCTACATCGCGGACTCCAAGGAGGAGACTTTTGACTTCAAGCACGGCGATGACCGAAGAGGGGGCAGAAGACCTACGCAGGCTTTCCGACTCTGCGTTTGATGCCAGCGCGCCAGCCTGAAACAGGTCACCTGGTGGCTGAGCAGCATCGACCTGAAGAGGACCGCGAACTTCAACCTGGCTGCTCGCTTTGCTCTGCAGGCAACGAGGGGCGGCAAAGCTCAGAGCTTTGAATTTTCTCCGGACGAAGTGGAGTCCAAGAGAGACGGCGACCCGAACAACACAGAGGAAGAGATTGTGCTGACGGAGGCGTGGGACGACGTGATCGGCCGGACAGTGACGGACCGGAAGCCAAGGGAGAAGTACATGCTTGCGCGCGCGGAGAGCGCGAGTCGAAAGCTGCGGGCTTCGCCTTGCGGTTTAGGACCCTGATAGCGGAGATGCGGAACGAGGGCGTCAGCGTTGACGATGCCGAGACAGGATGGTTCTTCAAGCAGAAGTTGCAGCTCGCTGAGATGCTGGAGACCGCGCTAAGAACTCAGCCGGACTACGCCACGTGTGAGAAGGAGGCGATCCGACGAAGAAGTTTGGGCCCAGCCGGCGTTGCAAGACATTTCGGAGATCGACCGTTCCGCTGAGCTCCCTCCCATCGACGGACTTCATGCGCGGCATCAAGAACCAGCTCGGCTCGTTCTACGGCAGGCGAGGATGACCCAGAGACCACGGAGACGGTGCAGGAGGACGCGGGCAACTCCTACGGGCGGGAGACTGACGAATTACCCGGATGTGGAGTTGGCGTCGGGCCACCGGCGCGACACTTGCTCTTCGCCATTGCGGAAAAGAACCGGATGTGGTATCTGATGAGTGCAGATGTACGAGTGGCCTTCCTGAAAGGGATATGTGTGTGAGTTGGGAGCTCTTCTATAAGCGTGTTCGGACTGGCTGACGTGCGTGTGAGGGGGAGTGGACTATCAGGCATCATGGTGGAGACAGATGACTTTGTGACTGAGAAGGGCGACAGAGCGGCAATGCCGCTCACCGTAGACGGCCAACCATCCAAGGCCACAAAAGATTCAGGATGTGTGAAAAGCACCACTTGAGGGTTGTTGCATGACGAACAGCAGGCCATGTGCGTATTGCAACACCCAGGCCTTGAGACATTTTTGCGCGAACAAGCAGAAAAGACAGGCAGCCCTCGCTTGCGTGTTTACGACCCCTGACTTTCACAAGAGTTGTTACTGGCATATGAACAGTTGACAGAACTATTGGTTGGGGGCTTAGCCAGCTTCCCCGCTTTGGGAGCATGAATTATGTTTAGGGGTCAGAGGTTGGATCGGGGGCTGTTTCGTGCATGGTTGGGCTATATTTTACTGCCATTCTGCCATGCGACTTTTCAGAAACCAGCCGTTCTTGGTGCCTTGATTTGACGGCGCTGGCTTGGGGTTGACGATTGTCTCCACTTTGCCTTCAGGCATCAGAAAATCCACAATTCGCCCGTATTCACCAATGAACTTTGGGTCGCCAAAGAAGCGTTCAGCGGGTTTCTCAGGACTTCTGAACCCTTTGGCCTTTGCTGGTAGGCCGAGCTGGGTGAGTGGGGCCCTCTGCTACAGGCGCGCGTTTGCGCCATGATTTTGGCAGAGGCTGTGGGATGGTCAAGCGCCCTAGGGTCATTGGTTTGAGATTAGTTTAGGGTTGGTTGGATGGGTTTAGGATGGGTTTAGGGTGGGTTAAGGTTGCCTTAGAGGGTGGTTTTGGTTGGTTCAGTTGGCTTGAGGCAGGTTTATTGTTGGTTTGGGATTGGGTCAAGGGCGGTTTAGGGTTCGTTTGGGTTGGGGTTGGCTTGTGGGTGTGGGGTGCCAGACGGGTTTGCCGAGCTGAGGGGGGCTTGCAATGCTGCGAGGCGCACAAGAAGCGAATGGAAGAGCTGCCGCAGTTGCCGTGTCCCTGGCCGGGGCTGGAGTTTAGAGTGTAAAGGACTCAAACTCGGTGCTTCATGCATTTCAATCGGAGAATCCTTGGGGTGTTCTTGTAGTGTGCGACCAACAAACGGGAGCCCTGGTTCTGATTGCTTTTTGCAGTTGGGCGAGAGAGAGAGAGAGAGACTTACAAACATCCTGGGTGAATCTGGCCGACCACGAAAAAGGGGTATGCTGCACAAAACGGAAATGGTCCCCTCAATATCAAGATGTGCGTTGTGGGGGGGGGGGGGAAGCCATGCTGTAAGGCGCCATCTTCCATTGCAGATCCGAATTCCCGGGCCAGATGCGAGAAACATTTCATAGTTCCGACAATGCCACAGTCTCGAAGAAACCTATCGCCGCCCAAGGCTTCGCAGCCCTGATGCTGTCGCTGGAGAAGAGGACCAGACGACTGAGAGGGCAGACTACTCTAAGTTCGAAGGATGTTGAAAGGTGGTTCTTAACACAGCTTGCCCTTTGGTTCCTGCATTTGGGCGTGGCTTGCAAACAGGGAACCTGGAGTGTTTTTTTGCTGCCATTCCGCCTGGTTTCACGCGCCCAGCTAGGTGGTTTTTGCTTCCGCTCGCGGAGGAGATTACGAAGACCCTGACTCGCGCACGGCATGGCATTCGCGACTTGCAGCAGGAGGCCGTGATGGTTCGGTCACGGCGGTATCAGTGGGGCTGGTTTGGCCCTCATGTGGCATTTGAGGTTTGGCCATTTTCTGTAGGGAGATGTTTGGACCCCCCTCCTTCTGGCACCCACACAAATTCCACCACAGGCAACAAGTGTCCCTGTTTCCTACAATCATGGGAGGCCCGCCTGTCAGCTGTCGGTGTTCAACAATCATCCACAAGGAATCCCAAATTCAGTTGTCTTGAACGGACGATGCAGTCCCAGTAGAACGAGCCTGTTCTGGCAAACCAAAATCCACAGCCCGAAATGATTCAGTGCTTGGGTGAGATTGTGCAGACAAAGATCTGCTACTTTGCTTGGGACGATTGCTTGAGGTGCTGGATCCTGCCCTTGCGTCGCTCACTGGCGCCATGCTGCCTGCAGCAAGAGGACAGGGCACCGGGAATCGATCCGCAGAGGAGTCGTTAACCAAACGATGTCCTGCGCCAAAGGACAATCACGTGTTTAGCATACAGGACCCCATTGGTTAGAACCCATTCAACGGGTCACCTAACCCAAGCCCTGGAAATTCACCAGAAACGTCTGAGTGGCCTGGCCGTTTGCGGGGCAAGCGCTTGCGGTGTCGTGGCTGGATGGCCGGATGCGTCAGTCTTTCCGTCAGGACGCAGCTACGCCTCTCCGGCGAGGGAGAGTTCTCCTCCCAAAGGGAAGGGCGCGAAAGGTGGGGCGGAAAGGGTCTAGACGGGCAGACTGACCACAATCAGAACCAGCAGTGAAGGTGAATAAGGGACAGTCCCAGCCATAAACAGGCGCGGACCGCTGTGCTTTTGAGTCGTTTTTTGGTTTGTTTCGACTTGTTGAACACTTGGGGTATTCGTTCGTACTGCGCCCTGGATGGAATTTGGGAGGCTCGGGAAGTCGACCTGGAATGGTCCAACGCGCATTTGTCTTGCCAGTTCCTATCTCAACCCCTGGGCCTGCTTGGAAACAGCCATCATGGAGTTGGCTGCCTGTCTGGTTCCGCGGGTCAGCATGTTCACGCGGACAACTTTTGGCTGAAAAGGCAGTACCCCTGCAGGCACGGGCAAGGACAAGGGGAAGGACAAAGGGAAGGACAGAGCTTCGAAGCATGTCGCAGCTTGGGCTGCAACTAAACGTATCTCACCGAATTTCAGTTGGAACAGGATGCCAGGCTCTGTGCAGCAGAGCTGATTTCTTTCAGATGACACCCTTGACCCTGACATGTCCTTTTGAGTGAGCGGGGACAAGGGGCGGAAGTTTCAAACATGTGAGAACTATAGTTGGAGTTGGAGCGTTTCCTTGCCCCTTCTCTGTCTCTCTGTCTCTCTTTCTCTCTTTCTCTCTTTCTTTCTTTCTCTCTTTCTCTCTTTCTCTCTTTCTCTCTTTCTCTCTTTCTCTCTTTCTCTCTTTCTCTCTTTCTCTCTTTTTCTCTTTCTCTCTTTCTCTCTTTCTCTCTTTCTCTCTTTCTCTCTTTCTCTCTTTCTCTCTTTCTCTCTTTCTCTCTTTCTCTCTTTCTCTCTCTCTTTCTCTCTTTCTCTCTTTCTCTCTTTCTCTCTTTCTCTCTTTCTCTCTTTCTCTCTTTTCTCTCTTTCTCTCTTTTCTCTTTTCTCTTTTCTCTTTTCTCTCTTTCTCTCTTTCTCTCTTTCTCTCTTTTCTCTTTCTCTCTTCTCTCTTTCTCTCTTTCTCTCTTTCTCTCTTTCTCTCTTTCTCTCTTTCTCTCTTTCTCTCTTTCTCTCTTTCTCTCTTTCTCTCTTTTCTCTCTTTGCCATCTTTTCCCTCTTTTGCTCTTTTCTCTTTTTTTCCCGTTTTCTTTCTGACTTTTCTCTTTTTTCTGACTTTTCTCTTTTTTCTGTCTTTTCTCTTTTTTCTGTCTTTCCTCCGTTTTCTCTCTTTTTTCTTTTCCTTCTTTTTTCTCTTTTCTCTATTTTCTCTCTTTTCTCTCTTTTCTCTCTTTTCTCTCTTTTCTCTCTTTTCTCTCTTTTCTCTCTTTTTTCTCTTTTCTCCCTTTTCTCTCTGATCTCTCTTTTCTCTCTTTTCTCCTTTTTCTCTCTCTTTTCTCATTTTTCTCTCTCTTATCTCTCTTTTCTCTCTTTTCTCTCTTTTCTCTCTTTTCTCTCTTTTCTGTCCTTTTCTCTCTTTTCTCTCTTTTCTCTCTTTTCTCTCCTTTCTTCCCTTTCTCCCTTTCTCCCTTTCTCCCCATCTCCCTTTCTCCTTTTCTCCCTTTCTCCTTTTCTCCCTTTCTCTGTTTCTCTGTTTCTCTGTTTCTCTCTTTCTTTCTAACTTTCTTTCTTTCTTTCTTTCTTGCTTGCTTGCTTTCTTTCTTTCTTTCTTTCTTTCTTTCTTTCTTTCTTTCTTTCTTTCTTTCTTTCTTTCTCTCTTTCTCTCTTTCTCTCTTTCTCTCTTTCTCTCTTTCTCTCTTTCTCTCTTTATCTCTTTCTCTCTTTCTCTCTTTCTCTCTCTCTCTCTCTCTCTCTTTCTTTTCTCTGTCTCTCTCGCTTTCTCTCTTTTTCTCTCTCTCTCTCTCTCTCTTTCTCTCTTTCTTTTCTCTGTCTCTCTCGCTTTCTCTCGTTTTTTTTCTTTTCTTTCTGTTTCTCCTTCTCTCTGTCTTTCTTTCTCTTTTCTCTTTTTCTCTCTTTTTTATCGTTTCTCTCTTTCTCTCTGTTCTGTCTTTTCGCTCTTTTCTCTCTTTTCCCTCTTTTTTCTCTTTTCTCTCTTTTCTCTCTTTTCTCTCTGATCTCTCTTTTCTGTTTTTTCTCTCTTTTCCTTCTTTTCTCTCTTTTCTCTCTTTTCTCTCTTTTCTTTCTTTTCTCTCTTTTCTCTCTTTCCTATCTTTTTTCATTTTTCGCCTTTTTCTCTTTTCTCTCATGTCTCTCTTTCTCTCGTTCTCGCTCTCTTGCTCTCTTTCTCTGTTCTTATTCTTTCTCCTTCTCCGTTTCTTTCTCTTGTTCCTCTGCGTCTCTTTGCTTTCTGTTCCTTTTTCTGTTTCTCTTTCTTTGTCTCTTTGTCTCTTTCTCTTTGTCTGTGTCTCATTCTATTTCTCTCCCACTTTCACTTCCTCTTTCTCATTCCCTTTCTTTTTCCATGTTTCTTTTTCGTGTCATCTTTTTCCCTTTCTCTCTCTCTCTCTCTTTCTGTACTTCTCTCTCTCTCTCTCTGTTTTTTCCTTTTTGCAGTCTTCCTCTCTTTATCGTTTCTTGTTATTTCTTGTTCTTGTCTTTCTCTTTCTCCTTCTCTTCCTCTTTGTCTTTATCTGTCTCTTTCTCTTCCTTTTTGCCTTTATCTTATCTTCTTTCTCTTCCTCTTTGTCTCTTCATCTTTCTTTTTGTCTCTCTCTCTTCCTCTTTCTCTTTGTCACGTTTTTCTCTTTGTCTCTTTCTCCGTCTTTCTCCTCCCCTTCTTTCTTTCTCTTTCTCTTTCTCTTTCTCTTTCTCTATTTATTTCTCTGTTTCTTTTGCTTTCCTTTTCTCCTTTTCTCCTTGACTTTCTTTTTCTATTTCCCAGCCCATGAAAGTGAACAACTGCAAGAACCACAGAGCACTTTTCCCGAGACCGACCCCTCGAAAGTCTGCAGAGGGCGCCGCAAGCCAAGTGAACAACGCCAAAGGCAAACACGAATCTCTGACAGTCAACCCACCGAAAGTCACCTTTTGATAGCTGTGCGAGCTGAACAACGCACGGCAAAGCACGCATTTTTGAGGTCCCCCCGCTCGAAAGTTTGCACGGGCGAGCAATATGAAAAACACGCAAAGAAAACAAATTGTTGATGCTTGACTCACCCAAAGTCGTGAGGGTTGTGCGAGCGAGTTGAAGATCGTTACACCGATTAAGGGCTCCGAGGCAGTGCGCTTGGCCGTGCCAACGGTCCCGTCTCTGAACTCGCTGCTCAAGAACCACGAGTTTTTGAAACCAAGAGTCCGCACGAACGAAGTAAAAATCCCAAAGTGCGCAGAGGTTCACCGATTGAGGGCTGCGAAGCAGCACGCGCGCTCCGTCTCCGCACCTGTTGCGAACCTGCTCCGAGACGTCGTGGCCGAGGCGGATTGCGCCATACGGAAGAGCCAAATTCATTCACAGGGCCTTTTCTGCCTCTTGCTATTTCCCGGTTCTAGTTCTTGCCTTTCTTTTTTGCGCGTAATGTATGCATGTCTGAGAGAGAGAGAGAGGGAAGGCATGCTTTAGCGTCAAGTTGCGACATTGGACGTTAAGCATGCTCGCTCCACAAATTCCGTGTGTTGCAGCATTGGGTTGATGCTTTTTGCCAGTCGGCCTTTTTGGTGCAATTGCAGCTAACTAGATCAGGCTTGTGCAGGTTATTCGGGCGTCCCAGTCCTACATGTGGTGACAATCGCAGTGTTCCTGGTAGTGCAAAAATTTAATTTGCGTAAGGCATCCGGTTGCAGATTCAACGACAGATGCTGAGCATGTTCGGCGTGATCATTGCACTGTTGCACTGTTGGTGTGAAAAGCTTGGCCCAATCGTGGTGATAGAGGCCAGTTGGGTATCCCACTGAGGGTTGTTTTAAGTTCTAGATTCTAGGTCAGCGCTTTGGATTCCCGTCCTAAGGAGAGGCGCTTCGGTGAGGATCGCCGTGACTCGGCTGCACAAATGGCGAAGACGTCATGACTGTTCTTGGTTCATGGTTTGGGTTCTTTGCTTCCCTGTTTCTGTTCATGTCAGCAAATAATCGCAATCATGTTTTTCATGAAACTGCCACTTGGTGGGTGGCTTTGGGTCAGCAGAATGATCTACTTTTGAGATAACGGAGGTTGATGCCAAGCACTTGCTCAGCGACCCAAAGGCCAAACTGACTTGACCGACTACTGGGGCTATGCTGCAGTCTCTTTGAGGTGCCCATCAAATCCACGCGATGTTTTTCAAGTCAGCTATGCGATTTAATGGCTGGAAATTCATCATAGTTGATCCAAGTTGATCCAGCTGAGCTGTTCTTCTGGAATGCCTACCAAAGGATCTATGTCCACTCTCAATTTCATACTGAGGCGACAGCAGGGCAGCTTCACGTGCACGGCAGTGCACTTAGCTCTTGGACGGAGCAGGCTCGCGGGTCTCGAATGAGGTCCCTTGAAGGACACATTTGGGCCAGTCCCCTGGCAAATCAGGTGGACTCTGCATGTATCCTTAGAAGAACTATCAAATTTGGGGTCAAGGGGTCAAAAGAGTGTCCATGTTTTTACCTTTGAAAGGGCAAACAGCAGAAGGCTCCCCCCCCAAAAATGGTCACATAGAGATGCTTCAGAGGGCGACCCTGAAATCAAACAAACAACTGCGAACATATGTTCGAGAGAAGATTGCATGGGCCGTTCACTCCCCTTTGGTATAAACCCTTTCTACATGCCTGGCCAGCCATTTTTACAGGGATGCCTTTTCCACCTGCTTTATGCCCCACTCCGTTCCAGCAAGCAGGGGAATAAGCGAGCGCGCGAGCAAGCAAGCCAGAGTGCCTCCAACCCTTTTTTCAAATCCTAAACACCCACTCAAAACCAACCCGAAACCCAAGCAATCAGGGGAACAAGCAAGCAAGCAAGCAAGCAAGCCAGCAAGCCAGCCAGCCAGCCAGCCCGCCCGCCCGCCCGCCCGCCCGCCCGCCCGCTTGCCCGCCCCGCTTGCCGCCCGCCGCCCCCCGCCCCGCCCCGCCGCCCCCGCCGCCCCCACCGCCCCCCCCCGCCTCCCCGCCCGGCCCGCCCCGCCGCCCTCGCCCGCCCCCGCCCGCCGCCGCCCCCCCCCCCCCGCCCCCGGTCCCCGCCGCCCGCCCCCGCCGCCCCGCCCGGAACGACCCCCCCCCGCCCCCCTGCCCGGCAGCCCCGCCACGCCCCCCCTCCGACGCCCGCGCCGCCCGGCCCGCCCCGCCCGCCCGCCCCGGCCCGGGCCCGCCCCCCAGCCCCGCCAACGACCCCCCCCCCCCGCCCGCTTTCACAGCCCCAAGCCGAAGCCCCCCCCCGCCGCCCCCCGCGCCCCGCTCGCCCCCCCCGCCCCCCCCCGGGCCTCCCACGACACACCCCGCCACCAAAGCCATCCGACCCGCTCGCCCTCCCGCCCCGCCCGCCCGCCAACTCGCGCGGCAAAATGATCCGTTCTTGTTCTGCTTTCTTTGGCAAGAAGATTGTTTGATTCTTTTTTTTGCTTGATTGCTAGGGTCCCCAATGGAAGTGGCCAAGTCTTCTCTCATAGACTTGTGGCAACTTGCCACTCCGTCTTTGCTTCTAGTCGGTCTCTCATGTGCCAGTTTCAGTTTTTCCCTACCTAGGATTCAGCCCACAGCCCAGACCTTTGGGGGTTTTCCAAGAATATAAAGCACCTAGGGCCCAGGATATTGTGAGCTTTGAATTCGAAGCAAAGCCTTGGGTCCGGAACCGGCAAGGGGGATCAATGGCCACCGGATCTCGAACATACCAGGTTTTTCGTGTGCGCTTCAAGATGGAAGCTGCAACCGCCCAAGCCAAGTTCTTTTGAGGGTTGGAAGAACAGGGACACCGAACGGAACACAACCACTGTGGGGCCTTCAAAAAGAGACTGTCGCCGTGGGTTGGAGATCAAACACGGCCGTATCGCCTGAACGCGAGGTGTAAATGTCTGTGGGTGTGTGGGCGTGTTGCTCTCGGGTCTGGTGAAGTGTTTCTACATGAGATGGCTGCGCCATCTGGAGGCAGTGCTGATGGGGGTCCAGGGGCAGTGTAAGAAAGCTGGATTCAAAGCGGCGTTTGGCCGCCCCGTTGGTACCAAAGATGTTCATGAGCATTGTTCGTCTGAGTACAGAGGTATCAATTCTGGATGTGCAGTTTTTTAAAGGCTCCCTATTCGGCCGTGTTCGATTGACGAGAATTTCAGTTCCTTCATCACTGGGCGTTTGAGTGCATGTATTTGCAGACTCATCATCGCTTGGAGTTTTTGGGTTCTTCCCGAGCCCAGAAGTTGTCAACTTTGAAGCCTTCGGCTGAGGTCAAGGCAAGTGGCATATACTGCCGAGGAACTCCCCCTTGAACCGGGCGGTGCGCATTGATTCCGCCTTGCTTGCAGCTGATCCGTCATCGAGTGTGCAGTCTCAAATCTCTGCATTTCGGCTGATTAGTTTTGGGGTGGTTTGGGTTGCGTGCCAATGTGGGTCAAACAAGTTCCGCACACGTTTGAGACAAGTCCTCACACGCTGCGGATGGCGGATGGCATTTCCAGATCGTCTTTGATGGCTGACTTGTTTTGATTTGGTAGGGGGCTCTGTGTGTTTTTGCGTGTTGTGCGTGTCTTCGTTCTTGTGTTGGCGGCTTTGCGTGCTTTTGTCCGTCTTTGTCTTTTTCCGTGCTTGTTTCTGTCTTTGTTTCCGTCTTTGGTTCTTGTGTCTGCGCCTCGCTGTGTCTGTGTCTCTCTCTCTCTCTATCTGTCTGTCCGTCTGGCTCTCTCTCTCTCTCTCTCTCTGTGTCCGTCTGGCTCTCAGTGTCTGTGTCTTTCTATCTTTCTGTGTTCTTCGCTGTTTCTCCAGGTCTCTTTGTGTCAGTTTATGCATTTGCTTGTTTGTCTGTTTTGACTGTTTGTCTGTTTGTCTGTCTGCCTGTCTGCCTGTCTGCCCTCCTGTTTACCTGTTTGCCCGTCTGCCTGTCTGCCTGTCTGTGCCTGTCTGCCTGTGTGCCTGTTTGTCTGTCTGTCTGTCTGTGTCTGTGTCTGTGTCTGTGTCTGTGTCTGTGTGTCTGCCGCTCGCCCGCCCGCCCACCCCCCCGCCCGCACGCACGCACGCACGCACGCAAGCAAGCAAGCGAGCAAGCAAGCGAGCGAGCGAGCAAGCAAGCGCACAAGCAACCAACCCGAAAGCAAGCCTAGCCCTACCCTCCTAAACCAACCCTAAAGCAACCCTAAGCCGACCCAATTCAAGCCCTTCCAACCCCACAAAACCAAGCCTAAACCAACCCTAGCCCTAAACCGATTCCAAACCAACCCCACGCCATCCGAAACCAACCCTAACCCCGCCCAAAGACTAGGCCAAGACTAAAGCCACCCCAAACCACCCCAAAGCAACCCTAGACCAAACTACGGTGAATTCAAGCCTCCCCGTTGGGATAGAACCGAATTCTTTGGCAAGAGGCACACCTTGGAATTGCCATGTTGGACAGCCTCGATTTTGGGCAGGCTGCATGCAATGTCTCTAAGGTGGGGGCGCAGATGGGAGGAGGATGTTGGCACTAGCCAGGCCGGCCGAGGCGTGGAGGGTCTGATACGGGGCCGGGCTGGTGGACACCTGCAACGCAATCCTTTTTTTTCTATGTTGAAGTGGCTTTGGCGGGGGTGGGGTGGAGGCGGAGAGGTTCTCGGTTTGTTGCCTTATAACATACCCACTCATGTGCAACACTCTCTACATGTACATGCCATCCATGGCTCAAGCCCAATTGCCTTCTCATGGTCAAAAGGTGCGCGCGCAATACTTGCTTGTATTGCTTACAGTCAGCAAATCGTACATTCTGTTGACTTAGCCCGGCCCTTTCAGTGCTCCACATTTCATCTTGATTCATTATTCTGATTTAGATCCAGTGGCACAAGGGGCCTAATCCGGTTCTGTTTGGCCCTGATTGGGAAGCTCCCAGGCCCCGAATAATTCGCACGTCGCTGAGCATTGACGCCACGTTTTTCAGCTGCAAGCACTGACGTAGAAGGCAATAGGGGCAAGCAGGGGTGCGCGCACGCATAGCGTTTTGCAGGCACGTGTGCTGAACAGGTGATAATGCGCGAGTGTACTTATCATGTAGCACGCATGTGCGCAGTGCTGACCAGGTGATCATGCGCGGGCGTGCATAGCAGATAGCAGGGGTGTGCAGTGAGTAGCCGGTCCTCTTGAGCGGGTGTGTTATCACGTCGCAGGCATGTGCAGCTTTTGGCCGGGTGTGTGCGTGTGCGTGCGCGCAGTGTGGCCGGTGCTGGACTGAACGTGATGTTGGTTTTGCAAGCTTCTACAGCCGGACTCCCGGACTGGTGAACGCCGCTTGCTCGAACCCCATGGAATACAGCACCTGCCGCACCATAGAATACTAAAGCGCACTTTTGTTTTCTGCCGGTTTGGTGCGTAGATTGGTGAGGAGATATGGTGAGTGAGTTGCTCATGTTGCGCCACAGTTCTGTTCAGAAGTTTGCACTCTCACAGTAATCAACGGTAAGCAGACCCCAAACAGGTTCTGATTCACGGGTCCGATCGCTTGCGCCAAAGGGCAGGCAGGGCGTAGCATCCGAAAGGAAATCATTTGCTGGAACTGGTTCCCTATTCTGGGTCACGCCGATTGCACCGTCAAAGCCGATTCGCCGGGCACAGCCTGGGGTCGTGTTTTCTCGTCCACCGCCTCCAACGCCTCCAGCGCCTCCAACGCCTCCAACGCCAGGTCGCTGGAGCCGAGAGTTTGAATCAAGGAGGGGTTGCCGAGCATCTTGGGCCGGACCTTTCGGTGCACATCATTACGAGTTCAAAACAAACACATTTTTGGGGGTTTGTTTTTGACTCGATAGGCGACCTTTCTGACGCTGTTTTAAGCTTGGGGTCAGAAAACCAATCTTCAACCAGGTTCCCCGACCAATCCCGCTTCGCTGTTCTTGCCTTGTCATTTGTTTGCTGCACGTGTTTGGTTCATTTGTTCATTTGTTTGGTGCCGTTGCTTGTTTTGTTATGTCATGAAGGAAAGCTGTGGCAACATTGTTGCAGGGATTTTTCCCATGACCCCTTCATCCGGCTCCTTGAAGGCATCGTTTCGTCGACTGCGGGCCAGATTATACCTGAGTGAGCTGCACTGTTGAACTTAGGGAAAGCACGTCCATTTACTCGGGATTTTGCCTAGTGTGGCAACACATCTTCCGCCGGGCTTGTCCCCATGATTCTGCCGCTAGGTCCAGATCTCGCGACAGCCACAAGGCACTGGCTTTCTGTCCGTCTCGTTGGGCGCCTTGGGGATTTGTCACGACACCTTGGCCATTCGTGTGGTTTGGGTGCCAACAATCAGAGGAACCCAGTTTTGCTGTTTGCCTGTGCAAAGGCAAAGGGGGAAAGCAACTTGGGGCTCCCTCATTGTATTGGTTCCTTGAGAGTAAAGCGAAGGATGATTTGCAAAGCAGCAAGCTGCTTTCACGTGTCTGCTGGCCACAGTTCTCAGCAGGTGTCAACAGCGCTGTTTGGCATTGTGGAACTGCTTGCATTGCGCTGCCCGCCTTGCGCCGGTTTGGCACCATACGAAATGAAGCGGCATGCAAACGTTTAACGGCCGCTGAGCGACCCTTTGCAGAGAGCGGGCGGGTTTTGCAACATGCAAAGGAAACTTGTGTTGTTTTCATGTGGTCAAGATGCCCATCAAGGCAACTTTCGCAGGAGCCCTGTTGGCTGGGGGGTGTCCCACATGTTGGGCCAGCCCATTTTGAGTGAGCTTCCTTCCGTGATGTCGGGCTAAAAGTTACGGGGAACTCTGTGGGCTTTTTCTCGGATGGTTCAACTTCAACCGAGCCTTGCATTTTTTTTTGTTCGGGGGGGGGGGGGGTGGAGGGTTTGTGTGTGTGTGTGTGTGGAAAGCTTTTGGACCTGGTAGATATGGCAGGCCTATTTCCATACACAGGAGTGTCCTTTTTTGATGGTACATTCTTCGTGCTTCAGGGCAACCAAAGGGAAACCCATGAGGGTTTTTTCATGGGGCAACCCCACCCTTTGGAGGCGACCAAGATATATCAGGTGCAAATCCCCAAGTCGCCTGCGATCCCCAAGTCGCCGGGCCAGGACTCCCGCTCCAAGCTCCGCAGCGTCTCGCTGCGCCGGAAGGACCGGAGACGGGAGACCTAAAGACCTAAAGACCTAAAGACCTAAAGACATCGAGGGAAATGCTGCAATCTGAAGGCAGAACCCTGATGTTATTGAATTGACATCTTAGATCTTGGTTGCCTTCTGTGGAACGACCCAACAATAGGGACTCATTTTGGTTCCAAACGATTTTCTCCCCACACCATCGTCCAAAAAACACAGTGGCTCGGGTAGCAGGTCAAAGAGCCGCCCATAGATGTTGGTTCCGTTTAATCTGGCTGGAGGTGAGCGAAATGTACTTGGAGAGTGGTTAGTGGTTGGGCACCGGGTTGCTTTGTTTTCTTAGATCAACTTTTTTTTTCCAATGCTTTCTTAGGTCAGCTGCGATTCCCATGTTTTCTCAAGTTTTCCATGATTTCCCATGCTTTCTTTTTGGCTTCTCCATGATGTCCCATGTCTTGCTTTGCTGGCCTATGCTCTCCAATGTTTTCCGTTTCTGAAATCAATGGGTGCGGTAGGGTCTTTTGACTCCGACCCGTGGCTCGGAGGAGCCCCGTGAGTTCTACGTGGATGCCCGACGCCGCCCGGGCCGCGGGCGCTCGCGGTCAGGCGCGGTGAATCTAAGACGTGTCGAGAGTGCGCAAGTTGACACAGCGGTCGTGATCTTGACCGTTTCGGGTTGTCAAAGTCAGCAACCGGGGTCAAGCTGATGGTAACATGATGAGGCCAGCAACATGCTCTCCCTGACACGGCAGTGTTTGTGGAAAGGCCGCTCTCTTTCCAACAATCATGGAAGTGGACGTGGGGGTTCAAAAGGAAGGTCGTTTCCGAACCTTTCTCAGAACCTTTCTCAGCTTCTATTGGAGGGAGGCACTTTGCTCCCTGTTCTGCTCCTTTGCGGGTTCTGGGGTATGGGCTAAGGGTCTGGTGTGGATCCCCCGTTCAACAACCCTTTGTTCCCCAAAAGGATGTTCCGAAGCGAACATAGTTTGGTGTTTGGGGTCCATGTCAATCTGCGGAGATGTACAGCCCGTCTCGACTCGCAGTCTTGTGACAGTGTCAAACCTCCAAGATGGTTTCCACTACCAAACCACTACCAAGGGTTGAATGGTAAGAGTATGTACCCTGTGCTCCCCTGGTGTGCAGTCGAAACCTTTTGGGATGTAAGGCTTGGTTAGTTTGGGGTTCGGAACATATGTGAACAAGCCGAGTTTTCCGAAGAAACCATGGGACTCAACCATTTGCCTACGTCCTTCATTGACACCGCATCTTAATATTCTGTCCATGGCTTGTATTACAGCCACCCTGTAGCCACTGCACAAAGGGCATGCTCCTGGGGATAGTGGTTTGGGCGCAGTGGAAGCTATTGAGAGTTAAGCCGCTTTTGTCGGCTACCGTTGTTTTGATTTTAGCGGGTGCGGTTTTTTGCAGGGCGGGCCCAGTCAAGCAGTTTGCATTTGTTGTCTCTTGAAATTGCTTCCAGGCACAGGTAAGTGCCAATTGGAAGGCTCGGTTTGCTAGTAAAGGGTCAAAGATGTCAAACAGATGCATGCCGTTGCTAACCCTTCAAACAAAAAGCGCGTGGCAGTTCTCATGTTTAAATCTCCTGCGGCAGAAAGCCTCACGGTTTTCTTGCGCCTCGCGTTTGAGCCCTTGGATTTGAGCACACCGAAATCAGAAGCACAAGTTCTCCACGCGCTGCGTGCCTCGGCAACCGCTGGGATTTTCAACCCGACTCGCTCGCGCCTCATGTTTTTCCATGCCTTCAGTAACACGTGTTCTATCATGCGTGAACACACTGCACCACTGCACGGTGCCTCGCGTGTACAAACATGTGGAACTCACCAATACATCCATGGACTCACTTATCGCCGCAGTTGAGCTTGGTGTCCTGTGCCGTTTTTAGGGTAAGGAAACGCAGAAAGCCTGCCACCGAGCGTATGGCCCTGCCAGGTGTTTGAACTCTTGGAGCGCGACCTCCGTTCGAGGTTCGGTCGAACTTTGCAGTTGGCGGATTTGGGGTTCGGGTGGGGGAGAGCTCTAAAATTTCCCACACAGGACCTCCTTTTTCTCTCAACTTCACATGTCCACTTGGGAGAAGTCCTGATTCTGACAGTAAGTCACATCCTGCATGAACTGCACTGCGCGTCAGGGTCGGCCACAGGGGTTCACCAGTCAACTGGGGAATTGTCACATGTGTGGAGACAGAGCGTGTGTGACTTGGAGGGAAAGGTTTACAACTCGGCGCGATGTGCCAGGTTTGGGTGTGGGCCCGCGCGCAGGCAGGGCGGCTGGGTGGCAGATGGGGTCTTAATCGAAATGGGCAGGAAACCAAGCCTTAGGGATTTTGCGTCTCAAATGGCAACGGAGGTTCCTGGCTTGCTGGCTGGCTCATCCGCGCCCAACTCCAACTACTTGCGAGGGTCCAACGGATAGCCAATCGAGCGGCCCCAACCCCTTGATGGTTTGGGGAACCATTCGAAGTTGCCACGCAATTGTGGAACCAACAAATTGGCCCGTTTGGGAGACTCCCCTTCACATCAGAATAAAATCCGACAATATTAGTGAATGAATACAGTTGTCATTGGCTGGTGGCGTGGCTGAGAACAGAATTGCAAAGGCCTGCAAAACGGTCAGCGGCCTGCTCAAGACTGGTATCCCCATTGAGAATCATTGTTTGCGCGTGGTGCCCAGAGTTGCCAGCTTGCAAGGCTCGCCACACAAGCGACTCGTCAAAACAAAAGCAAGAAGCAGCGCCCCAGACAGATACCGCAACAGGTATCCTACAAACTCCCTGCAGACAACTGACCGATACCCAAGGATGTGGCATGTGACAGTGCCCAAAGTTGCATGTTACCTGCCTGGAGGTTTTGATGTGAATGTGGACTCAAAGCAGGTGAAGCCATCTGCTGCTGGTGCTGCGATCACTCACATGTCCTAATAGGGACCTCCCATTTGCTGAATAATTGTTTATAGACCCCTGTTGGTTTTAAAGGGAATTTATCACTGCTGGACACATTTTATGTCCCTGGGCAAATAGAGAGTAAGGCGTTATTAAGATATAGCCCTTCAAAACCCCGTTGAAAGCTTTGGGTCGTTTGCCGCTTTCGTTGCTGGTGATGCGTGGCTCGATCGAGAGCTGCAGGTGTTGGCGTTTGGCGTGCCAGAGTCTGCGCAAGACGGCGGCAGAGGTTGCGTATTGGCAAGACAGCTAACCCATGAGGCTTCTTTTGATATATTGATGTGTGCTTTTGTTTCATTTTGAGCACCTTTTTGGCTCTGTTAACCTGCTGTCCGTCGGTCTTTGCGGCGAGCTGGTCGAGACATTGTACAAATTTCAAAGTGGGTGGCAGTCACCCCTTTTCACTGCGCGCGTACCGCGCGCATGCAGGTGGATATGTCGCACAAAGCAAAGCGGACAATGGTCGAAATGCTGTTTCGCCTTTCTTGTCACATCATGAGAGCGATCTAGCGCTGAAAGCGTTTACCCAGGATGAATAAACCGCTCGAGACGGGATCCTTCAGTTTTTTGGGAAACACCCTGTGAACCCTCCACGTTCACTGATTTGGGGTCGACATTGTGTGCTTGTGCTTGGCCGTTGGTTCGAGAAGCGGAGGAGTAGGCGAGGCGCACTCGGCCAAGTACTCTCCAGTTGGCAATGCCAGTTGGCAATGTCGCTGCAATCTGTGCAGCGCGAAGAGCCCATGGCCATCATCATGCGTATCGGCCAACTCCGGCAACTCAGCTGAAGATTGGGTTTTAGTGCAAGGGCTATCTTTTGGGCCTGCGGCCTCTAGCCGGCTACGCCTCTTTGAAGTTATACCATGTCATGTCATGTTTTTTGTATGAGAAACGCATCCTGTGCTGTGATATGGCTGGTTAGGTTATGCATGTTGCCCACTCCAACCGCAGATGATGCCGGGGATGCCAGCTTTCTGGGCCTCCAACCCAGAACGTTCACATGGGGTCGTGCACGCGCGCGCGCGCCAGAGGCCCCAGCCCGCAAGCCAGCCCGGAAAGGCAAACGCAACAAAACACCGCAAATAGCGGTGTTTTGTGGCTGGGGTCGCGTGCGCGCGCGCGCGCTCGCGCCAGAAGCTTCGAACACCAACGGGGAAAAGGCAAACGGACAGAACAACAGCCCAACGCTCAGCATAGCATTTTTTGACGGTATGTGCGGCGTTTTGTAGAGGGAGGACCCAGCATCGCCGGCATGCGCGGCAGCGCTCGGCACCAAAATGCGCGAAAATGAGCCTCGCTTATATCCCTTCGACGGAAGTCTCGATGATGCAGACCAAGCCCCGCTGAAGCATCACCCAGGCCCAATCCCAGACCCTGATGATGTCGCCTAAGCCCTGCATATACGCGATGTTTTGCAAGGGTTTTCCACAGGCAAGCAAAACCGCAAAACCGAGCTGGTGATGCAGAGATGCCGGATGTAGGCAACGCATCACGATCAAGTGATCAGGGTCGGCGGCGCATGGGTGCAGCGCCTTATAGCTGAAGCTAGCAGGCAAATTGCCTAGCGGCGATAATCCAGGAGGCGTAGCCGCATCTAAGGGCTGCCGCCCTGTGCCGCCGCCCCCGGCTTGCCTATAACAATTATGACTACGTGTTTTTTGTCGGGTTTAACGGCGCACTTAAAGAATATATGAAAAAGAAGAGCACCACGAGAATGATCATGCTTTTGATGATGCAAATTATTACCCAACATTAGGGATGCTGATGCTTACTATTATGCGTTCGCATTATCGCCAGCAGTCATGATGACACCTGTTACTTTGCGTTTTTTGCACCACCAGCAGTTGTTATGAGAACTATGGCGACGCATTCCCTCATCTCAAACAAGCTACTGCAGGATTAATTCGCATGATGCTGTAATGAGCGCCTTGTTGGATGTTACAAGAAGTGCCCCCGGTGTGTGGGAACTTGGGCAGGAAAACCATGTTGGGGGCACTTTTTGTTCACAAGACTTTGTTGTATTGCTGTGGATGCAAAGAGTGGACTTTGTGTTATCGCTTCGTCTTCGCGAGAAGCATCACCGACTACGCATCCCCTGCATTTCCGGTCGGGTCATGCTGGTGATGCTGATGATCCTGATGATAATCATCACTACGCATCCCTAGCATCACCAGCAGTTATCACGGCAATCATGACTACGCATCCTCTGCATTTCCAGTCGGGTCTACTGGCACACTTGAAACGTATATGAAAAAGAAGAGCGTAACGATAATGCTGATGATCATCACTATGCATCCGCAGCATCGCCAGCAGTCATGATGATAATCGTCACTTTGCTTCCCCTGCATGTCAAGCCGGGTCATTCTGATGATGATGATCCTGATAATAATCATCACGACGCATCCCCAGCATGACCAACAGTTATCATGACAATCATCACTACGCATCCTCTGCATTTCTAGTCGGGTCTAACGGCACGCTTGAACGTAGATGAAAAAGAAGAGCGCCACGATAATGATGATGATCATCACTGATAATCATCGTCCGCAGTGTCGCCAGCAGTCATGAAATCCTCACTTTGCGTGGGTTACGATGATGAATGATGATGATGAGAAGGGTCTAACGGCACACTTGAAACAGAAGAATGCTGATGATCCGGATGCTGCGAACCCATCACCCAACATCAGTGGTGATGATAAACATCACGGAGACAAGGGCGAATACAAACCCTTCTCATGCGCCTCCCGTTTGGAGAAAGGGGTCGGCGGGTTTTCCGGATCCATGGGCGGATGATCTCGGTCTCATTCCTTTACCTTTGCTGGCCTACCTTGCTGCAGCTGCACATCGCACCAAGTTGACCGCGGCGGAAGCTCGTCGGAGACAGGCGGCCATAGCAGAATATGAGCGGAAGGCGGGAGCGGCTGAGCCACCTTGGCACATGGGGTTGCTTGGTCAGTGATTGCGCAAGGGCCCACACACGCAGCGTAGGTGAAGCTGAACAAGATCATCAGGCCTCAAGTGCGCTATGGGGGATGTTCAACCAATTTCAGCCCAGATCGCACTAAGAGTGCATACTGAAGAACCTCTGCATTTTGGGTGGAGTGGTTTTTATGTGGCTCGTCGGTAAATTGTTGGCATGCACAAGCGCATTGATTGACAGTACCTACGACACAAACAAGTCCGGCAAGTTGGAGCTCAGCTCTTAGCCTGAGCATCCCATGGGATCTATGCTACGCGGTGCGCTGACAATCAGAGTGCTGCCGGCTTTGCCGGTAAATCATGGCTGATCCGCATGTTTTACGGGATGACAAAAATCCCTGAGAGCCCATGATACTGAGGCGCGAGCAGGTTGTCAAGCTGCTCACAGACACTGATTCATCCACTCCCCCTGGGACACCACCAAGTGGCTTGGCAACAAACGATTTGAGGTACATGAAGATTGTTCTCGGCCAGTCATACCTGGCCAGGTTGGTTGTGAATATGCATACCTTGGTATTCGTGTGCTGCGTTGACGCAACAATTACAGGGACATTCAGGTGATGACCAAGTGGACTTCCTCTTGAAGCTTTATGACAAGGAGTGTGCTTGCAATGATGCCTGGTTTTGTAGGAGCGCTTCTGCAGCTTTTTGTTGGTGGGGAAGGGGAGGAGTGTTCCATGGCAGTTGTTTGATGTTCTTCGGGGTATGTTCCATTGTAGTTGTTTTCTTCGACTTGGAGGGGGTGTTCCATTGACCTCCCAATTTCAACCATGGCTTCAGGCCGGCGACCAGGCGATCGAGATCAAGGAACTGGAGGAGCTTCTGACCTGCCACGTGGCACGGATGGCCTTGGCTGGTGTTCGACGGGTTTTGCAAAGCTGGCGGTTGTTGTCTCCAAGAGGAGTATGGTTTCCCAAGACCCTTCTGTCAGCTTCCATTGGGTTGGATAGGGGGTAGGGTGAAAGTGGATGGCACAACTTCCAGTAGCTGTGGGAAAGTAAAGGGGATGACTAAACCCACGCGGAATTGCCATCTACTCTCGCCCAACTGTAAGCTGGTGGTCGTTCTGCTAAACATCTTCAGTTTTAGATGGTGGTTGTATCATGCTCCTTCTTTAGCTGGTCGTGATTCACATGGTTCGACCTGCTTTTGCTAATGGTTTCCCAGAGTCACAGGGCAATCACTTTCCTTGGTTCCCTGCGGTATTCATTTCCCAATGATAGAAAAACGGGTGTTTCCTTTTGACATCCTACCCCCGCTCCCCATTCAGAGGCTGACGGCCTGACGGCTTAGGCTAGATGAGACCTTGTCAGCATGCAACGTACGTCTTCGCACGGCGGCTGTGCTTGCTTAGCATGTGAGGCTGGCACACCTACACGGATCATCGAAAGTATTTCGAAGAAAAGTTGGAGAAGCCTCTCAGCTTGAGCGTCTTAAGCTTTCCCAACTGCCATGAATCTTGAGCTAGAATTGCCCAGTTTTGATGACGATTTTGTTGACAGCCTCCACTTGGCTAGCCAAGAATTGCAGAAGGCTATACCTTTGGGACAGGATAGGCACATGCATCGAACAAGGTACGATGTCTCAAAGACAGGGCAGCTCTCAAAGGATGAGCTCAAGGTGGGGTGATCGACAGCATTGAGCTGGGCATGGCGATCTTGAGACGTATGTACTTGGACACCCAAGCTCTCTTTGAGATGGCTGCTGTATTTTTCTCCCATATTTGGAGATTCAGAGAAAACGGCAAGGAGAGCCACTGCGATTGGGAGAGTATCGGGAACCTTGGGAGGGCCTTCAAGGACTTGTTCATAGTTGCAAAGCAAGTCATGGATAGAGCAGCGAGCAAGCAAGAGCTTGCTTGCTTCCTCCATGTGAGGCTTGGTCAAATTGACTAGCAGTAGTTGCGGACCACGGTCCATGCTCCATCTCCCGGCTAATCTGCTTTCAGGCGTACTTGACAGAGCTGAACGGTGGTATTGCCGTGGAAGATGCGGAAGTGGATTGGGTCATGAAGGACGTCTCGTGGAGACTTGCTGAAACAGCACATCCCCCCCCCCCCAAACGAGGTATTTCATGAGGCGCACGTTCTCCGAGCTCGGTTGACCAAAACGAAAACCGAGACGTCACGTCGAGCTTTGCGCAGGAGGCGGATGTGATAGGAGATGGCCAACTGAACAAGCTCGAGCTTGCCAGGGCCACTTCGCTCTGGCGACTCGGAAGAGAAGATGGACACATGCGACTTAAATTCAGGAAGGGCACCACAGGTTTTCGACTCGTTTTCCTTTGGCTGACTGGGAAGTGGGGGTGTCCCTTATTTTGAGCCACAGCCATGTTTCTTCCTCGCTCTTTTGTGGTGAATCTGGAGATTGGTTTGGGTCAAACTCACCGCGTCCTTGCCCATCCTTGTAAGTTCTGCCTACCTCAAAACTTGAGCCCCACTTTAACTGAATCACCCCTGTCAAGCCATTGATCTAGTTTTCCGCTGAGGTTCGCGCATGTAGAGAAGAAGAAGTCCAACGACTGCTGCACAGTCCTCTAGTCGGCCATTGAGCCTCATGCAGTGCGTGGGACACCTGAGATTCCATCGCCTGCACAGAGGTTTGGTCTGGTCAACATTTACAGTCTATGGTTCATTTGGCAGGGATATGGGGGCACTCACCAAGATCCACTGGTGTTTTAGATGTCATTTGCAGGAACAAGTGATTTTGACCTTGCCTCATGTTCCAAGCCTCAGCAACAAACGGTTAAAAGATACGCCAAGGGTATGGCAAGCAAGCCCCTGCCAGTCCTGATTCCTTTTGAAGTGGCAATGCAGATGCCCCGGATTTCTGAAATCAGAAACCAAAGGCAGCGATGAAAGGATGCATGCGATCCGCAAAGCCTGTGGGTCAAAAAGCGAAAAAGCGGTGGAAGTGGACGGTTTGGGGCTCCCCCCAAGGAATTTAGTCCTTCAAAGCCTTCCGACTGTCAGCTTCCATGGTTCTTGGGGGCGGGGTGGCAAGTAATTAGTCGGGCTGACACTTCGGAATAGTCGATGTGGCTCTCATGCTCAAAATTTGAGCATGAGAGGTTTGCAAGTCTGACACGCTACAATATGCCGCTGCCACTTTTACCCGAGTCGGCCCAAACTGATCTGGACAAGCGTCGGATGCCCAGTTGGGTCAAACTCGCGATCGCATCGTTTACATCTTCTCCATCCAGGGTCACGTTGTCACGCTATTTGTGCACAGGTGTGCTAGCAATGACGTCCATCCAAGAGAACATTCAGAATGGGCTCCAGCCTTGGGATGACGAAGGAGTATCCTGGACTAATTTGGCCACAGCTCCCATGTGGTGCCACAGTGCAGATGGGTCAGCCAAGGCATGTGACACCGTTGGCATTGTCTTGGTGTCCCTCCTTTGTATCGCGTCCCTAGCTGCTTGGCATGAGAGACCCTTCACAGGTTCAGCGTCTCATTTCGCAAGCGAAGGCCGTCTGCTTCTTCGGGTATCGCATCTACAAGGCGCGACCGAACACAGCGCACAAAGTTGGTTAGAGCCCGGGAAGTGCGTCCATCTTGGGATGGTGATGTAAGTGATGCCAGGCGGCCCCTTTACAACCGATGATGTTGACAAGCAACAAAAAGAGATCCAACCCGTCAACCAATCAACCTACCCACTCACTCAACCCACCCAACCCTCTCAGCCCACCCAACCCACCCAACCCACCCAACCCACCCAACCCACCCAACCCACCCAAGCCACCCAAGCCACCCAAGCCACCCAAGCCACCCAACCCACCCAACCTACCCAATCCACCCAACCCACCCAACCCACCCAACCCACCCAACCCAACCGACCCAACCGACCGACCGACCAACCAACCAACCCACCAACCCACCAAGTCACCACCCATCCAACCAACCCAACCCAACCCAACCCAACCCAGCCCAGCCCAGCCCAACCCAACCCGACCCAACCCAACCCAACCCAACCCAACGAACAACCAACAACCCACAACCAACATCCCCACCAACCCACCAACCCACCCACCCACCCCACACACCCACCCACCCACCCACCCACCCACCCACCCACCCACCCACCCACCCACCCACCCACCCACCCACCGACCCACCGACCCACCCACCCACCCACCCAACCCACCGACCCACCGACCCACCGACCGACCCACCGACCCACCGACCCACCGACCCACCCACCCACCGACCCACCCACCCCACCCACCACCCACCCACCCACCCGCCCGCCCACCCACCACACCCACCCACCGATCCACACCACCCACCGCCACCCACCCACCCACCCACCCCACCCACCCACGCAACAGACCCACCCCACCCAACCACCCACCAACCAACCCACCCACCCACCACCCACCCACCCACCCACCCACCACCACCCACCCACCCACCCACCCACCACAACCCACCAACCCACCAACCCACCAACCCACCAACCCACCAACCCACCAACCCACCAACCCACCAACCCACCAACCCACCAACCCACCAACCCACCAACCCACCAACCCACCAACCCACCCACCAACCAACCCACCAACCCACCAACCCACCAGCCCACCAGCCCACCAGCCCACCAACCCACCAGCCCACCAGCCCACCAGCCCACCAGCCCACCAGCCCACCAGCCCACCCACTCACCCACCCACCAACCCACCAACCCACCAACCCACCAACCCACCAACCCAACCCACCAAGTGACGCTGTTTTAGTGCTGGTGCTGACGTTTGGCAGTCATACCGGATGCTTTGCAGTAGTGGTTGGTTGGTTGGTTGGGTTGGGTTGGGTTGGGTTGGGTTGGGTTGGGTTGGGTTTGGGTTTGGTTTGGTTTGGTTTGGTTTGTTGGTTGGTTGGTTGGTTGGTTGGTTGGTTGGTTGGTTGGTTGGTTGGTTGGTTGGTTGGTTGGTTGGTTGGTTGGTTGGTGAGTCAGTTGGCTAGCTGTTTGTCTTGGTTGGGTTGGATTGTTGGTTGGGTTGCGCTGTTGGTTGGGTTGGATTGGTGGTTGGGTTGCGCTGTTGGGTTGAGTTGTCGGTTGGGTTGCGTGTTGGGTTGCGGTTGGGTTGTTGGTTGGGTTGTGGGTTGGGTTGTTGGCTGGATTGGTTGGTTGGTTGGTGGGTGGGTTGGTGGGCGGGTGGGGTGGGTGGGTTGGTGAGTTGGTGGGTTCGTGGGTTTGTGGGTTGGTGGGTTGGTTGGTTGAATGGGTGGAGGGTTGGTTGGTTGGGTGGGTTGGGTGGATGGGTTGGGTGGGTTGGTGGGTTGGTGGGTTGGTGGGCTGGTGGGTTTGTGGGTTGGTTGGTTGGGGAATTTCTCTCTGTGGAGTTTGATTGGGGAACTCTGTCAAATGTGGTTGGCAACAGAGATCCCCATGTCAATGCTATCCGCCGAGGGGTCCCTTCCCAATCAGAATTCGTGCTCAAATCGAGCCCTGCCATTTGCGCTCTCCGAACAAGGGGTGCCCCCCCTTGTTTTGGTGGTTTCATTTGGTTGCGACAAACCCACATGGCTTCTCCATCTCTGCCCAGGTCCTTCCTTTTTTTTCTGAGCCGTGCTCGCGCGCCAGTTGGCCTTCAACGTCTTCGCCTTTCTCGTGGGATTCGGGATCGAAGCGGCGGTGGGTGCCGCCTGGATAAGCCAGCAGGGCGTCCCCAGCGGCGTCACGGAGCAGGCCCACCATTTAAAGCCTCCAAGCACACCGGGTTCCCTTCAAACACCGTGTTGACATTGAGGACCCCCCCCCCCCCCGGAAATATATAACACTGATAAAATAATGGTGCAGTTTTGGGCTTCCCTTTGGCTCCAATTTTGGGACACTGTTGGCGAGAGAGAGAGAGAGAGAGAGCGCGACCGAGTGGGAGAATCAAGCATCAGCCATCACCTGCAAGCGAGCCTGCGCCCCTGAGATCATCATTTTGGTTTGCTCCATCCTTTGGGGGGTGCTATTCCTCGTGCCTTGGCTTGCAGCATGGGTGCCTTCCATAGATGGGCTGCCCCCGAGCAACCCATAACTGGGGGACATCTGGTTTTAGAATCCTGGGCATGCCCACTTTGGCATCGCAGCAAGGTTGATTTTCCATTTCTTCCCACAACCCTGCAAGGAAGACTCATGCTGGTTGTTGGAAGATGCTGCGCTGCTTTTTGTGAGGCGCTATGCTTCGCATCATTTCAATCAGGTACTGGCGAGCAATTACCGCACCAAATTCGAGCAGTTGCTGGGCTATTTCTTCGGCATTTGCCTGGGGTTGTTCATCACGTTTTCGGTGCTGTACGTCGTTGAGAGGCTGGCTGCCCACACTTGAGCGCCCAAAGCTGATTGATCGGTGCGGCCGATTAGGTTTATAAGCCAACCCCCGTCAAACCCAGGCAATTGAAATGGTCAGAAGGAATCGCCTTTGGGCGCTACTCATTGCAATTCCTCCAGTGGGGAGCTTTGGACAGCACTTGCGGATGTCAAGTCGTGTCACTAGCATTCGGCAGTTGGCAGTTGGTCCGGCTTGATTCTAACCTGGGCTGGTGTTCATCCCTGCGAGGCCCCTGGACGAAGCCGTTGGCCGGAAACACCAGGGCTGGGAGCAGTTTGCAGGCGCGGGGCTTGCAGTGGATTGCAGCTTCCAGGCCACAGACTCATGCGGGGCAGGGATATGTCAACCGCACCTTTCGGAAGGGCGACCCAACGTGTTTTTCACGCGCTCCCACGTGCCAGGCATTACCCTGGGCGTGCCGATTGCGCTGCTCACTGGCTACCTCTTCAGGCGGATACGTCTTTGGTGGGCGTTCGGCGTCCAGGGCTCCAAACAACCCCGCTGTGCTTTTGGGGCGGTGCGTCGGTTTCAGCCATGCGTCGGTTAAATAAGCGTGACACAAGACATCCCTGCCTATGATTGCAATATTTGGGGGGTGTACCGCAGAACCATGGGGTCCGATGCATTCACCGTTGTTGGCAGTTCTGAGCAGGGGGTTATCACTTCTATTTCGCAGTGGCTTAGTGTCTTTGCTAGATATTCTCTCCGAATGATGTGGTTGATTTGGCAGAGTCCATTCCCCATGGTTGTCCGGGAGGAACATGTTGATGAGCCATGCTGCATTTGGACTGTTGAAAAACGGTTGCGAGGAACAGAGTTTATCACGCATATCCATTCAACATTTTGGAATCAACCTGGTTGGAGTCTTCGTCGGGCTAATCAACCCGTGGGACCCTACTTTTAGAATCACCCATTTTTGGGCGCAATCTGCCATTTCCCAGTTTTGTTCCATTCACCCATTTGCCAGGCACCCACTTTTCGGATGGACCTTTGGCTTGCAGTCTTTCTTTTGGGCCATTTCATTCATCAAAACCACCCTCCCCTTCGCAGGAAGCCATGAATCCCCTCGATAGAGTCATGAATCCCCCGTTGCAGCTGGAGCAGTGGCAACCCAACTCTTCAAAGGGCTTCAATTCCCTTTTCGGCGGAAAGACGTTTCAAACTGCTCAAGTTGATGGCTCAAGGTCTGGGGGACTCCAAACCACCACTAAACCCCATCCCCACCCGCAAAGTGCTCCCCAACAAACACCAATCACCAAAAGCATCGGTAGGCCCCCCCCCCCAAACCCCGAATTTCTCCAAACCCATCCCAACAGCGAGAGGAACCACGTGACGCACCTGGTGATGCTGGTCACCGCCTTTGTGGGCGCCGCGGCGGCCTGGCGCTCCGGGTACACCTTGCTGGGGTGCGGCCAGGCCGATCTCCGCAGCTTCGATTCTTCGGGACCACAACATCCGCAACCTTTCTGGGTTTCGGTTTTGACCGTTGGTTTCGGTTTTCTCGGTTTTGACCGTTTTCTGGGGGGAGTCAGATAATCAGCCAACCCTTGCCCCTTGTGAACACCGGCTGGTTCGTTTTGGCGCGATCGCCATAGAGATGGGAATGCTTCTGCATGCCCAGCAGAAACCGGTGCATGAAACAGATTGCGCAACGGGATAAAAAAGAAGAGAACATGTTTGGCTCAGCAGCACGCTTTGAACTTGTTTCAGCATTTAGAAGGCTTTTCACAGCTTCTTGTGCTGTCGCCTTCACAGTTGGAAGCTCAGATCACCAGACACATCCACAAACACAACATGCCCGCCGTCACCGACATCAGCAAGCAATTGTCCTCCATGCGCATGGAGCGTCAGGTGGAGTCAGAAGTCTTGGACAAGCGCTACATTCACCTGATAATCTTCATAGGCCTTGAGTACCTTCGCAGACATGCGGGCCTGTCGGGAAAGTTACGGGCTGAGCCTTCAAATCAAACTTTGCGAACCTTGCCTCAATTGCCTCAACTCGGCTGAGGGATGGCCAGCTTGCGTTTAGCTGTGGCTTAGGTTGGGTTTGTGTGGCCAGTTGCACTGCCCCTACCTCTGCCTTCTGACATAGCCAGATCCTGCATCACTCATGGCCATTGATGGGGGCTCATATGTACCCTGGTCGCAAACCCCCCTTGAACTTGAGGTCAGCAAGAATTGGCATTCCCCCCTGATCGGGAATTTAGACCGCCATTGCAGGTAATATCAACGGAACCAAGACCACGGCCCAAATGAGGTTCGGTTAGAAGATCCAGTAGTCTGTGATGAATTGGAGACGGACATTTGGAGACTCGCATATTTTTTCACCAAGATTGAGAGGACTCATTCATTTTCCCTGTCTATTGAGGGAAGGGCATGCAACATAAGAAGCTTTGCGCATGGAACATATAGTAAGCTTGTTCGCGCCTTTCTCTAAGCTGTTTTGCCCTACCCGCACACCACTACCCCCCAGGGGCAAAAGATAGATACCCTTCATTGAGTCGCTGTGGATGGTTGTAAATCCTTTTTTTTTTTTCTTCTGGGGGGTCGCAGCTTGGGGGCAGCATAAATTACACCCTCTATTATCCTGACTAAATTTGGTGCTTAAAGTCCCCCACACCCCCATTCCACTTGTTCGGCCCTTTGTATGGGTGTGTCTATTTTTCCCAAGACCCGTACCCACGCAAACCCATAGCTGAAGCCTTCGGCCAGGCTTGGGCTTGATGGGCTTCCTGGTACAGTTCTTTTCCCAGCGCCGCCTTGCAAAGTGAGGTTCGCGGGCGCTCGAGAGATCTCGACGGGTGCGATTCGACGGGAACGCCGGGTCAACTCCCCAGACATAATTAAGAGAACAGGTACCTCAAAATGAGACCACTTTAATGAGCTCGGGGTGCTGGCGTGATATTGGTCCGAGCATTTGGCTGCCCAGCGGAATGAGGAACCAAGGGGTTGAGACGAGTGTGCATTTTGAGATCAACCACAGCACCTCAGCTTGGGAAAAGGAGATAGGAGGTCATGCTACCTTCACCGATTTTGAGCCAGCCCACAGTAGTCATAGGGCTGGCCCACTTGGGGGCACATGTAAATCATTTTGAAAGTGATGCAAGGAGGCACTTGCCACCTAAACCTATCCATGCAGTTCCCTGCAACGCCCGTCAAATTCCGCGCTTGAGTTGCGCTTTGAGAATGTGGGACTCCTTTTGCTTCCCTTCGCCCAAACACACCAGTTGGTAGGTTTACCGGTTTACCGCCAGTATTCATAGGTTTCATCCATCCCTTGGACAATAGTTGAGCCTTCAGTCGCATTCTGTGCTTTTCCCAAGCGGCTGCAGGTGTTGGCAAGTGGTGAGCGTGCCAGAATTCGTGCGACACAAACGCAGCAGAACTCCAGTGTTCGCAAGGAGGATGCCCTTGTTCAAGAGGTTTTCATGTTGCGAAATACAAGTGTTCCAGTAAATAAGTGTCTCTGGGGCTGTGAACCTGCTGCGTGGAAAGCTGATCGGCACAGTTTGTGGCCTGCCACTCCGGGTTTGGTACAGTTTTGACAGGGGTGGCAGTTGCTCGCCCGCGGGCGTTTTGGTCAACCTACGGGTTATCTGAAGTGAATTCGACTGCATTTTTGCCGCAGGTACAGACAGTTGCACAAGGCAACGCGGAATAGTGGGCAGTTCCGGACTGTTCTTTTTGGCCTAATTTCCTTTTGTCCCTTGGGCTGCGAAGTGAAGGATTCTTAAGATGTGCCAAGCTCGCAGAAAGGGGGACAGAAGTGCAGCCGTCGTCGCTCGTTTGCTGTTTGCTGTCACCGATGCGCATTGGGCAGCGCCCATGCTCCCCTGTTTTGGCTCGCGCTTTCGTCAGTTTCACAACACATGCAAATCATTGCGGCGGTTTTTCTTTGGACAGTCGTTAAGTGGCGCCAAGAAACTCTTTCACAGTGGTTTGCCTGTTTTGGAAGGTGCTCTTGTTTGGGCCTGTTTTTTGTTGTTGTTAAGCCTAGGCGGAAAGCAAACCCGCATATTGCTTTTCATATCTTCAAACCAGCAACGCCCGTGGACGAAACATTTCAAGGTGGGTTGCGCGGCCATTTCCACTGCGCAGATGGCGAGGGCGGGTGCTGGCTGGAAGTATGGATTTGCGCGAGTTTCCAGTTGTTTCTTGGTTGTCACTCACAAATCCATTCGAAATCCCTTAGAGAGTCATGCAAGTAAGTCCCATTGAACATTGCCGATTCAGGATCCCTGAATCCAGATTGGTGAATGATAGTCATTTCACACGCATGTTGGCTCCTTGGTAGGAACGCCAACCCAGCCGATGCCAGACGGCTTCTGGGGTGGAGCAGTTGAGGTGGGCCCGCATGCTCACAAGACGGTTGACCGCAGTCCCAAGCTATGGCTCAGAAATGTGTGTGTGTGTGTGTTTTTTGAGGGTGCCTTTTGGGGTTGGAAAAAGGGGGTGACTCAGTTAAAGTGGCGCTCAAGTTTTGAGGTAGACAGAACTTACAAGGATGGGCAAGGACGCGGTGAGTTTGACCCAAACCAATCTCCCGATTCACCACAAAAGAGCGAGGAAGAAACATGGCTGTGGCTCAAACTAAGGGACACCCCCGCTTCCCAGTCAGCCACAGGAAGCCCAAAGGCTTGACAGGAAGCCCAAAGGACAACCCAAGAGCTTGCTTGCTTCCTCCATGTGAGGTTTGGTCAACATGACTAGCAGTAATTGAGGACCACGGTTCATGCCCCATCTCCTGGTGCACAGTCCTCTAGTCTGCCATTGAGCCTCATGCAGTGCGTGGGACACCTGAGATTCCATCGCCTGCACAGAGTCTATGGTTCATTTGGCAGGGATATGAGGGCACTTGCCAAGACCCACTGGTGTTTCAGATGTCATTTGCAGGAACAAGTGATTTTAACGTTGCCTCATGTTCCAAGCCTCAGCAACAAACGGTTGAACGATACGCCAAGGGTATGGCAAGCAAGCGATTCCTTTTGAAGTGGCAATGCAGATGCCCCGGATTTCTGAAATCAGAAACCAAAGGCAGCGATGAAAGGATGCATGCGATCCGCAAAGCCTGTGGGTCAAAAAGCGAAAAAGCGGTGGAAGTGGACGTTTTTGGGCTCCCCCCCAAGGGAAAGTAGTCCTTCAAAGCCTTGCGACCGTCAGCTTCCATGGTTCTTGGGGGCGGGGTGGTAAATAATTAGTCGGGCTGACACTTCGGAATAGTCGATATGGCTCTCATGCTCAAAATTGCTCTCATGCTCAAAATTTGAGCATGAGAGGTTTGCAAGTCTGACACGCTACAATATGCCGCTGCCACTTTACCCCGAGTCGGCCCAAACTGATCTGGACAAGCGTCGGATGCCCAGTTGGGACAACCTCGCAATCGCATCCTTCACATCTTCTCCATCCAGGGTCATGTTGTTATGCTATTTGTGCACAGGTGTGCTGGCAATGACGTCCATCCAAGAGAACATTGAGAATGCGCTCCAGCCTTGGGATGACGAACGAGTATCCTGGACTAATTTGGCTACAGCTCCCGCGTGGTGCCACAGTGCAAGATGGGTCAGCCAAGGCATGTGACACCGTGGGCATTGTCTTGGTGTCCCTCCTTTGTCTCGTGTCCCTAGCTGCTTGGCATGAGAGACATCCCTTCACGGGTTCAGCGTCTCATTTCGCAAGCGAAGGCCGTCTGCTTCTTCGGGTATCGCATCTACAAGGCGCGACCGAACACAGGGCACAAAATTAGTTAGAGCCCGGGAAGTGCGTCCATGTTGAGATGATGATCTAAGTAATGCTAAGCGAGCCCTTCACAACCGAGAATGCTGACAAGCAACAAAAAGAGATCCAACAAGTCAACCACTCAACCTACCCACTCATCAGCCCACCCAAACCACCCAACCCACCCAACCCACCCAACCCACCCAAACCCACCCAACCCACCCAACCCCCAACCCACCCAACCCACCCACCCACCCAACCCACGCAACCCACCCAACCCACCCAACCCACCCCCACCCACAGCAACCCACCCAACCATCCCCAACCCCACTCCCGAACCCGACCAACCAACCCACCCAACCCACCAACCCACAACAAACCCAACCCAACCCAACCCACCCAACCCACCCAACCCAACCCAACCCAACCCAAACCCAAACCCAACCCAACCCAACCCAACCCAACCCAACCCAACCCAACCCAACCCAACCCAACCCAACCCAACCCAACCCAACCCAACCCAACCCAACCCAACCCAACCCAACCCAACCCAACCCAACCCAACCCAACCCAACCCAACTAACAACCGACAACCAACAACCAACAACCAACAACCCGCCAACCCACACACCCACACACCCACCAACCCACCAACCACAAACCCACCAACCCACCGACCCACCAACTCACCAACCCACCAACCCACCAACCCACCAACCCACTAACCCACCAACTGACGCTGTTTCACTGCTGATGTTGCGTTTGGCAGTCATACCGCATGCTTTGCAGTAGTGGTTGGTTGGTCGGCGAGTTAGTTGGCTGGCTGTCCGGCTTGGTTGGGTTGGTTGGTTCGGTTGGGTTGCGCTGTTGGGTTGGATTGTTGGTTGGGTTGCGTGTTGGGTTGAGTTGTCGTTGGGTTGCGTGTTGGGTTGCGGTTGGGTTGTTGGTTGGGTTGTTGGTTGGGTTGTGGGTTGGTGGGTTGGTGGGTTGGTGGGTTTGTGGGTTGGTGGGTTGGTGAATTTGTGGGTGTGTGAGTCGGCGGGTTGTTGGTTGTTGGTTGTTGGTTGCTGGTTGTTAGTTGGGGTGGGTTGGTTGGTTGGTTGGTTGGTTGGTGGGTGGGTGGGTGGGTGGGTGGGTGGGTTGGTGGGTAGGTGGGTTGGTGGGATTATGGGTTGGTGGGTTGGGTGGGTTGGGTGGGTTGGCTGGGTTGTGTGGGTTGGGTGGGTTGGGTGGGTTGGGGTGGGTTGGGTTGGGTGGGTTGGGTGGGTTGGGTGGGTGGGTTGGGGTGGGTTGGGTGGGTTGCGTGGGTTGCGTGGGTTGGGTGGGTTGGCTGGGTTGGGTGGGTGGGTGGGTGGGTGGGTGGCTGGTGGCTGGCTGGGTGGGTGGGGGTGGGTGGGTGGGTGGGTGGGTGGGTGGGTGGGTGGGTGGGTGGGTGGGTGGGTGGGTGCGTGGGTGAGTAAGTGGGTAAGTGGGTAAATGGGTGGGTGGGTGGGTGGGTGGGTGGGTGGGTGGGTGGGTGGGTGGGTGGGTGGGTGGGTGGGTGGGTGGGTGGGTGGGTGGGTGGGTGCGTGGGTGAGTAAGTGGGTAAATGGGTAAATGGGTGGGTGGGTGGGTGTTGCTTTGTTGGTTGTTGGTTGTTGGTTGTTGGTTGTTGGTTGTTGGTTGTTGGTTGTTGGTTGTTGGTTGTTGGTTGGGTTGGGTTGGGTTGGGTTGGGTTGGGTTGGGTTGGGTTGGGTTGGGTTGGGTTGGGTTGGGTTGGGTTGGGTTTGTTGGTTGGTTGGTTGGTTGGTTGGTTGGTTGGTTGGTTGGTTGGTTTGTTGGCTGGCTGGCTGGCTGGCTGGCTGGCTGGCTGGCTGGTTGGTTGGTTGGTTGGTTGGTTGGTTGGTTGGTTGGTTTAGCAGTCGATTTGTTCTTGCTGTTTTGATGAAGTTAATTCACAAGGGCCATCAACAAGTACAACTGGGATATGTGCAAGTCGCAGGCTATAAGCCGTGATCGTATTGCGCAGTCTAAACTGACGGCTTTCCGCCAACCGCGGTGACTTCAAGGCACTGCTGCTTCTCGGTGACAAAACTTACGTTAGCGCTGCTGCATCGCCCAAAGAAGATATGTAGAAAAGCATGAGGACTCACATGCACGGACAGTCTGAGCACTACAAGTCCAAAACGTAAACACAAAGTCGATTTTGTTGACTGAGTTGGGTCCTTACCGAAGGCTGGCCCTGAGAACTCCCTGAGCCTTGCCTAAAAGGTATTGCCCTGTCAGACATGGAGCCTAGCGGTTCTGGTTTGGACTGTTCTCCTCCAACAGGGATCCTATTTGGTCAGTGGGTGGGAGGGCGTAATTATAATTAATTATGGTGTATTCTTGGAGTCAGGCGCTGGACCACAGCGGGATTTTCCTGTCGAGTTTGTTCGGGGAACGCCTCAAAACAGAAATCCACGTGTCAATGATATCCGCCGAGGGGTCCCTTCCCAACCAAATTTCATACTCAAATCACGCCTCGTTTTTAAACAAGGGGCGCCCCCCAGTTTCTTGTTTTGTTCTGCGCTTGTGTCTGTGCTGGGGCCCATCTGCAGCAATCTCCTGTGCCATCCGGCTCAAGGCCTGGTGCAGCTCATACTTGTGTTGACAAGGAAAAAGAGCCATCGCTTTGCTGATTGTGGACTTTGCACTATTTGACCCCACAAGGACCAAACACCGCCTTACATATTATTTGTTGTCATTTACTTCTTTTCATATTTATACATTTTGCATGGGGGTCGTGGTTGCAAAGCGGGTTCTCCAAACGTAGGATGTCGAGTGAAGAGGTCTTTTTTGGAGCAGAACAACCCGCAGCGACTTTCTTCGGACGCCGTCGTAACGGCGTAGGTTCCCCTGAAGAGACCATCAATCTTTCGATGAACGCGAAATTGCCTCCAGCATATGACGGCCGTGTTAGTTGGTTTCGGTGTGAAGATCTGGTACGGGATCGGATGACGTTGTATAGAACCCGCAAGACAAGGTCCGCTCCTCAAGAACTGCCTCGTCGAGCAATTCTTCAAGGGGTCTGGGAGCACGTTGGAGACCGGTACGATGCCCCCAAGAATTTTGCACGGCGCACAAGTTCACCATTGACCTGGCGCAAGCAATGAGAGAACCATGTGGGTGACAGCGCAATTGCTGCTCTTCCTCCAAAAGAAGATATCCAGAATCATCACTGCAGTTTTCTGCGGCACGCGCCAGAACCAGATACCAAACATACCCCTCTTCAAAGAGAAGGATGGGCAGCAATCCCGAAGATCCGTTCATATTGCGGCATTTCATGTCTCCAAGAGCAGATGCTGTGTGGCAATTACCCATCAAATCGACCCTGCTGGACCACCACCACGATATTCTGGAAGATGGATTAGTAGGCAAGTCGCCGAGATTTCACACACAGAGAGGCCTTGGAGGGCAAGCGGAAAAGCAAGCCTATGGCGCCACAAAGAACCATTCCGGACCTCGTGCGCAACATCAAGACAGGCAGCGAGGAATTCAACGAGACGGATTTTCAGGCAAGCATGCTTGCCCACGTTACCACCGCGGCCGGTATGAAGGGAATTCTTCAAGATCTGCTTGATATTCGTCTACAGCAGTGGTATCACGGCCTTCACCCGCGCCCGCAGAGTTGGGTTGAGGCAAGTCCTGGGCATGGAAGCAGGCGCCTTGCTGCGGTGACGCTTGGTCGGTATCTTGAAAGGAGACTTAAATCGAGAGTTCTTGCGCTGCGAGCCGACGTCCAGAGGCTTCGGGAAGACCGCCGCACCCTTCTATCCCTGTGTGCGCCAATATGTTATTCCTGGAAGTCATTGAGAGAAGAAAAGGAAGAACATGACAGCGTATATTCTTTCCGGAAGTATTTGTGATTCTCATTTTCATGAACTTCGACTATCTTCCTTGCATTGCTCTGGTCCTATACAGATGATGAGGGAAAGTTCGACCTCGTGAATGGCCATACATCAGCCGCAACGGACAAGGTGCTGGTCAAGAAGATGATCATGCGCGTTGACATAGACGAGCGCGAGCCGGACAAGGGAATGAGAGTAAGCTTCGATCAATCCTGGGTCATGAAGGTCGCCAAATCCGTAAGGTGTGGCAAGGATGTTCAGGAGATAGATCAGCGACATAATAGCCAATCTTCTGGAGTTGCATTTGCCGTTTGCAATCATGCTCGCAAAGAAGAACAAGCAAGAGAGTCGATGAAACTTGGAGCTCCAGAACCAGCAGATGTTCCACCGAAGGCTTTCTTGAACTTGGCGCCGGCATCATCTTCAAAGGAGAATGAGAAGGGGTCTGACACTGAAAAGCTTCCTGGCAACTGGAGTGATCCCTCCTAAAACAACTGGGGGCGGCTACAATAGCAAGAATATTGGAACCAGGATGAAGATTCCGCGAGTCAGGGCCGTCGTGAACCAATCCATTATTGCCAGCCCCACATGAAGAAAAATCTGCGGCGTTCCAAGGATGACACCCTCTCCGTAGAGAAGGAGCTATCCGATTACGTGAGCAGTGTAGTTTACGACTATACTGATTGGAAGAAGATGGCCCAGCAACTCCATGAAGCTGCAACAGAGCTCATGGACAAGTTGACGGAATCACGATTCAAAACTGACAAGAAGAAACCGGCTGGTGTATCCAATGTTGACACCGCCGACAGGATTCACCAATCACCAATCTGATTGCAAGAGATCCAGACACTAATTCCCTTTCACAATGAGAAGGACAAGAATAATCCTATGTCAAGGACTCACATCACATGACCCGTCCAGGAAGAGAAAGGCGTGCCAGGAGATGCTCAAACATTGTGTTGCAGTCTACAAGAAGATCGTGTGAACAACAGACTCAGACTAGCGCGCCGCGCCTTGGACCTTGGGAGTCTAGGTCCGCCAGTATCTCCAGGAAACAAGAAAAGAGGCAACCTTGAAGACTCTGTCATTCTTGGAAGAATGTGACGGGGTTCAAGCCCCATTGTCCGAGAAACCTTCCTGTAGGCCAGATTTACAGACCGTTGGCTGCTTTGTTAGAGGTACAGCCTGGGTTGAACTTATCAACCTTTATGTGCTGACCAAGTCAACGTCTGGGCAATTCAGAGTTTAGTATGGGCTTCTATCAGATTCAGAAAATTCCAAAGTTCCGTTGAACAGATCCGGACCGGGAGAACCACTTCCTGCAACTCATACTTGAAAGAGCCCGACCGTCGGCAAGATATTCCGCGATGTCGTCATCAGCACCTCCGGAAATGATCCAAGATGGGAACCTCCTAGCAAGATCAAAGGCATCCTCGAGAGTGTACAAGTATTCCACGGAGGAAGGATCCTGTGCCTGGAGAGGTCTTAATTGACGAGACAAGCGGTGAATTCCACAGAACCCATGTGCGTCGTGCCGGGCTACCGTTCCTAGCGGTGGGAGTGTACCATTACGAGCGCAATGCAACAAAGTCGTATAACGCAGTCATTGGTCGTAAATCGGGACTGAAACACATGGTCAATGTGACGCAAACCCAGCTCGCGACAAGCTCAGCAAGAACCAGTTGGTATCGCGCTCTGAGATCTCCACCACGGAATCTTCGCTCAATGCTGGCGCAACATCCGATCTGGATTCTACGGAGGCCTAGATTGCTTGGTGTGGCCAAGAAAGACGAACCGAAGTAGAGATCTTCAAGAACGGAACACAACCGACGATCTCAACCCAGATGGGCATTAGCCGTTGGGGAACACATTTCCTGATGACCAGGAGCTCAGGCGAAAGATGCAAACTCCTGAGCCATGATCAGCTCCTGATCGGGTCAAGTCATTCAGATTGGCGCCACCCGCTCCTCGTGAATATTGCTGTCCGCGTGAGTACAGCAACACCTCCGAGGCAGCGTTGGAACCCAGTAGGCTAAGGGCTACGGCGCCTGCTACTGCGCAAACTCCGCATATTTCAGTTTGTATTCTTTTCTCTTTTCTTCCCTGTGCCATCCATGGCTCAAAGCCTATTGTTGCTCATACTTGTCTTGGCAAAGATTGTGGACTTTGCGCTGTTTGACCCTGTAAGGACCAAATGCTGCCTTGCATCTCATTTGTGGTCATTATTTACCCCTTTACATATTTATACATCTTGCGTCGGAGAAGATCCACGAGGGACCTACGAGGTGTATTGCAGTCCCAATTTTTGCAACCTCACCCTCTGGTTTTTGGTGGTTTCCTTTGGTTGCGACAAACCCACATGGCTCTTCGATCTCTGCCCGGGTCCTTCCGTGTTTTTTTTTCAGCCGCGCTCGCGCGCCAGTTGGCCTTCAACGTCTTCGCCTTTCTCGTGGGGTTCGGGATCGAAGCGGCGGTGGGTGCCGCCTGGGTGAGCCAGCAGGGCGTCCAGAGCGGCGTCACGGAGAAGGCGTAGCAGTTGAAGCCTCCAAGCACACCGGGTTCCCTTCAAGCACCGTGTTGACATGTAGGACCCCCCCCAAAACAAAATGATAAAACAATTTTTGGGCTTCTTTTTGGCTCCAATTCTGGGACACTTTGAGAGAGAGAGAGAGAGGGAGAGAGAGAGAGCGAGAAAGAGTGCGACCGAGTGTGACAGTCAAGCATTAGTGTAAACCCAGACCTGGTTCCAAAGTCACCTGCAAGCAAGCTTGCGCCCCTGAGATCATCATCTTGGTCTGCTCCATCCTTTGGGGGGTGCTATTCCTTGTGCCTTGGCTTGCAGCATAGGTGCCTTCCATGGATGCGCGTTGCTTCTGGTTTTAGAATCCTGGGCCTGCCCACTTTGGCATCACAGCAAGGTTGGTTTTCCATTGCTTCCCCTGCAAGGAAGACTCACGCTGGTTGTTGGAAGATGCTGCGCTGCAATTTTGTGAGGCGCCACGCTTCGCAGCATTGCAATCAGGTAATGGCGAGCAAGCACCGGACCAAAATCGAGCAGTTGCTGGGCTATATCTTCGGCATTTGCCTGGGGTTGCTCATCACTTTTTTGGTGCTGTACTTGGTCGAGAGGCTGGCTGCCCACACTTGACGCCCAAAGCTGATTGACTGGTGCGGCCGATTTGGTTTATGAGCCAACCCCCATCAAACCCAGCAATTGAAATGGCCAAAAGGAATCCCTTTTGGGCGCTGCTCATTGCAACTTATCAAGTCAAGGGCTTCGGACAGCAAGACTTGCGGATGTCAAGTCGTGTCACTGGCCTTCGGCAGTTGGTCCGGCTTCGTTGTAACCTGGTCTGGTGGCACTCCCTGCGAGGCCCCTGAACGAAGCCTTTGGTCAGAAACACCAGGGCTGGGAGCAGTTTGCAGGCGCGGGGCTTGCAGTGGATTGGCCAAAGATTTATGCAGAGATATGTCAACGGCGCCTTTTCGAAAAGACACCTAACTGTTTTTGACATTTTTTGACGCGCTCCCATGTCAGGCATTACGCTGGGCGTGCCGATTGCGCTGCTCACTGGCTACCTCTGCAGGCGGACACGTCTTCCGTCGCTCCCGTAGACCTGCAAACAACCCTCTCTCTATGCTTTCGGGGAGGTCTCAAGCAGTTTCATCCATGCGTCAATTTATATATGTGACACATGATTGACGATGCATTCACTGTTGTTGGCAGTTCTGAGCAAGGGGTGTCACTTCTATTCTGCAGCGGCTTAGTGTTGTTGCTAGATATTCTCTCCAAATCCATTCCGCATGGTTGTCCGGCATGCTGCTGAGCCATGCTGCGGTTGCGAGGAACAGAGTTTATCACGCATATCCATTCAACAGTTTCTTTTTGAGGGGAATCAGCCGGGTTGGAGTCTTCGTTGGGCTAGCCAACCGTGGAACCCTACTTATGGAATCACCCATTCAGGGCGCAAGCTGACATTTGCCAGGTTTGTCCAGGCGCTTACTTTGAGGATGGACCTTTGGCTTGCAGTCTTTCTTTTGGGCCATCTCTCATCAAAACCACCCTCCAGCTCGCCAGCGTTCCACTATTGCAAGAGTTCCAGATGATCATTTCCTTTTGCGATGAGGAGGACAGGAATAATTCCACTCGGGCTGGAATTTCTCACCATGATTCTTGGAATAGTCACCTGTCTTATCAGGAGATTCTCAATTTGAGCCCGTCAAAAGCTGCATGTGTCTGTCCTTGAATGCTTTCGGAACCCAATAGTATAAAGGCGACGGCGCAGTAATCCAATGTGCTACTGCACAAACAAGGCCCGGGGAAGCTCAGACTTCTGATAGCAAAGGAAAAGAGGGCGGACCAACACTGCCACACATTTCATTTGTGGTCATTTACCGTATTTACAACCTCACCCCCCCGCCCCAAATCTTTCCAAACCTGCAGTCCGAAAAGCGCTGAGTCGCTGAGAGGAATCAAGTGAAGCATCTGGTCATGCTGGTCACCGCCTTCGTGGGCGCCGCGGCGGCCTGGCGCTCCGGGTACACCCTGCTGGAGTGCGGCCAGGCCGATCTTCGCGGAGCTTCAATTTGGGGCCGCCGCAACCTTAGGTTTAGGTTTTCTGGGGGGGAAATTGGCTGCTTGGTTTTGGCGCGATCGTCATAGAGATGGGATGAACGGAAGCAAGAAACTGGGGTTTTGTGGGAGTTTGGGAGGCGAATTCTGTGTCCCAAGCTGGAACTGGTGTGCGAGCAATGGCGCGCGGTGCTTATGCATGCCCAGCAGAAACCGGTGCATGAAACCGCTTGCGCAATGGGAAAAAGAAGAGAACATGTTTGGTTCAGTGAGCTTTGAACTTGCTCTGTATTTAGAAGGCTTTTCACAGCTTCTTGTGCTGTTGCGCCTTCACGGTTGGAAGCACAGATCGCCAGACACACCCGCAAACACAACACACCCGTTGTCACCGACGTCAGCAAGCAATTGTCCTCCATGCGTATGGAGAGGTGGAGTCAGAAGTCTTGGACAAGCACTACATTCACCTGATCATCTTCATAGGCCTTGAGTACCTTTGCGGGCATGTCGGGAAAGTGAGTCTTCAAATCAAGCTTTGCAAACCTTGCTTCAATTGCCTCAACTTGACTTAGGTTTGGTTTTGTGTGGCCAGTTTCACTGCCCCTATTTCTGCCTTCTGACATAGCCAGATCCTGCATCGCTCATGGCCATTGATGGGCTACATTTGCACCCTGGTCACAAATCTATTGAACGAGGGTAAGCAAGAATGCGCGTTCCTTTCTGGTCATGGTATCCTGTCACGGAACCAAGAAGGAGGGTCGGTCAGAAGATCCAGTGTCTGTGATCAACTCAGGACAGACATTGGGAAACTATTGAGAGACTCATTCATTTTCCCTTGTCTAGAGGGAAGGGCGTGGAACATAAGAAGCCTGCGCCTGGAACATATAGTAACCTTGTTCGCATTTTTTTGGTAATCTGATTTCCCCTACCCCCCAAGGGCAAAAGGTACATACCCTTCTTTTGGACGCTGTGGGTGGTTGTAAATCCCCTTCTTTGTTTTGTGGGTCGCAGCCTTGAAGGTAATATAAGCTAAATAATAGCATCCTCCTCTATTCTCCTGATTAAATTTGGTGCTTCAAGTCCTCCACACCCCGCTTCAATTTGTCTAGCCCTTGGTATGGGTGTGTCTATTGTTCCCAAATTTTGGGTTGGAAGCCAAAAGGACGCCAAGAATCTTGGAAACCGGTGTTCGGCCAGGCTTGGGCTTGATGGGCTTCGTGGTACAGTTCTTCAGCCAGCCCCGCCTTGCAAAGTGAGGTTCGCGGGCGGTCAAGAGATCTCGACGGGTGCGGTTTGGCGGGAGCGTCAGGTCAACTTCGCAGACAAAATTAGACAGGGAGCGGGTACCTCAAAATGCAACCACTTTAACGGGCTCAGGGTGCTGATGTGGCTGCCCAGCAGAAGGAGGAACCAAGGCGTTGAGACGAGGTGCATTTTGAGATCAACCACAGCCTTCACCGATTTTGAGCCAGGCCAAAAGTGATAGGGCTGGCCGACTTGGGGGCACATGTAAATTGCTTTGAAAGTGACGAAAGGACTTGCCACCTAAACCTATCCATGCAGTTCCCTGCGCGCGGGACTCCTTTTGCTTCCCTTTGCCCAAACACCTGCATAAGTTGGTAGGTTTACCAGTTTACCACCAGTGTTCAGGGGGGTTCATCCATCCCTTGAGAATAGTTGAGCCTTCACACGCATTCTGTGCTTTTTCCGAGCGGCTGCAGGTGTTGGCAAGTGGTGAGCGTGCCAAAATTTGTGCGACACAAACGCAGCAGAACTCCAGTGTTCGCAAGGAGGACGCCCTTGTTCAAGAGGTGCTCATGTTACGAAATACAAGTGTTCCAGTGAATAAGGGTCCCCGGTCCTGTGAACCTGCTGCGTGGAAAGCTGATCGGCACAGTTTGTGCCTGCCACTCCGGGTTTGGTACAGTTTTGACAGGGGTGGCAGTTGCTCGCCTTACGGGTTATCTGAAGTGAATTCGACTGCACTTTTACCGCACGTACAGACAGTTGCACAAGGCAACGCGGAATAGTGGGCAGTTCCGGACTGATCTTTTTGGCCTAATTTCCTTTTGTCTTAAGATGCGCCAAGCTCGCAGAAAGGGGGACAGAAGTGCAGCCGTCGTTGCCCGTTTGCTGTTTGCTGTCACCCATGCGCATGAGGCAGCGCCTATGCTCCCCTGTTTTGGCTCGCGCTTTCGTCAGTTTCACAACACATGAAAATCATTGCAGCGGTTTTTTCAGTGGCGCGAAGAAAGTCTTCCACAGTGGTTTGCCTGTTTGGAAGGTACTCTTTTTTGGGGCTGTTTTTTGTTGTTAAGCCTAGGTGGAAAACAAACCCGCATGTTGCTTTTCATATCTTCAATCCGTTTCCAGGCCGGTTGCGCGGCCATTTCCACTGCGCAGATGGCAAGGGCGGGTGCTGACTGGCCAAAGGTGGGGGAACGTGCGGCGTGGAAGGGATTTGCGCAAGTTTTTTGGTTGTCACTCACAAGTCCATTCAAACTCCCTTTCAGAGTCATGCAAGTATTGAACATTCTGATCCCTGCGTCCAGATTGGTGAATGAGTCATTTCACACGCATGTTGGCCCCTTGGAAGGAACGCCAACCCAGCCGATGCCAGACAGCTTCTGGGGTGGAGCAGTTGAGGTGGGCCCGCATGGTTCAGCGCAGTCCCAAGCTACCCAAAAGCGTCGGGAAGGGTTGTTTGGGAAGAACGGTTGCCGGCTACACAGCTGAGTGACTGACAGAGCGTGACGTACGCGGCCTAGCTTACGCAGCGTGACTTACTCAAACTGACTTACGCAGCCCGATTTACACAGCCCGACTTACGCAGCCTAGCTTACGCAGCGTGACTTACGCAGCCTAGCTTTCACAGACTGACTTACGCAGCCTAGCCTACGCAGGCTGAATCACGTAGCCTGATTTACGCAGCCTGACTTGACACCTCACACACGCAGCCTAGTTTACGCCTGACTTACAGCCTGACTTAAAGGCAGCCTGACTTACGCAGCCTCACTTGCGCGCTGGGGGGATGAACCCTCTGCGGGGGTCGTGCGTGTCGGAGCGCTCTCGCTGTGGCGCAGTGCAAATTTTCGACGTGGCCAGCGAACCCTTTGCGGAGATTGCGCGTGTCGAATCGCTCTTGCTGTGGCGCCGAGCTCGCCGACGAACCTTCTGCGGAGATTGCGCGCGCCGAATAGCTCTCGCTGTGGCTCCGTGCGAATTTTCTACGTGGCCCGCGACTACATCGAACACTTCTTGGACAATTACGCGAAAGCAAAGCACAAGTCCAAAGCAACTACAGCATGACAATGTCCACAAAGACTTGTCTACAATTTTGGATAGTACGACGCGCAGCATGGGCGGTAAATCGCTACGTCATCCACTCCGACGGCTACACAAGCTTCGAACGCCGCTGGGGAAGAGACTACGAGCGAGCAATGTGCGAATTTGGCGAAACACTACTTTACCTTCCACTGCAACACAAGAAACTTCCAAAGGCAGACCTAATGCAGAAATGCATTTGGCTTGGAAAAGTTTTCGAAACCGGGGAAAACTACGTCGCAACAGAACAAGGCGTACTAAAAGCAAAAACAGTACGGAGACTACAACCGGACTTCAAATACGACCTCGCGTTGTTAAACAAAGTTTCCGGCGCACCTTGGGTGCCACGACGGAACACCTACAACCCATCATTCGCGACACTGTTGGACACGCAACTCCGTCCAATCGTCAGAAAAGAAACGATCTACACAAGACGCTGGACAACAGACGAACGTGACGGACGACATCGTCACGGAACCTGCAACGAAACAACAACTCGCTACGTCACCTCCACGGCTTGCGTGAACCTTGACGTCAAGTTCACGCCCACTACCAGATAGCCCCAGGGCTATGTCACCGACCGGACGGCCACATCCAGCGCTACCAGCACTACCTCGACAAACAATACGGCGCATGACTCCAGAAGAAGTAATGCAACCGACCAAAGCACAAAAGACCTCAAACGACACTACAATCAGATCAACGGAGGAAGCAACCAAAGAACCGCAACCGCTACAACAAAGAATTAACGCAGTGACACTTTCCAACAGAACATCCATCACTTCCTACACACACGACGACGTCTCAGAAGACCAACCCATAATCTTCGACAACGAGGTTATGCCGAAGCGCTATACTGGGAGGAATGAAACACGAATCAACCCAAATGAAACTGCATGACGTCTTAGGTGCGTCTACGAAGTAGAATCGTCGCAAAGGCTACACTACACAGAGAAGATCGAGGACGAAGACTCCGTCTACGCCTCTGCTCGGATGTTCACGACGCTACGGACACTTCTCGCGCTACAGATGTCACGACCAAATTGGATCGCGCGACTATAGGCGACGTCTCTACGGCATTTCTACACGTTGCAAAAGACCACGACGGCAAAACAACGCTACATCTACCTCTGTGGCCACCTAAAGAACTTTGTCCACCATGTGTGGGCTACGCAGCTCGCCTAAAGCATGGCAGGACTACCTGGCTGAAGTTACTACAAGGAAACTCAGCTTTGTAAGGTTAAAGCCAGAACCCAACGTCTACACCAATGCAACTCGTGACTGCTACATCATGGTCTACGTGGGCGACCTGTTGGTTCTTGGCGACAAGACTACTGTCGACTCCATCTTCAAGGCCACCCAGAAGCAGATGCTACTCAAGCGCATTGGCTACCTCGAGCCTGGCAAACCACAAGAGTTCCTGGAAAGAAACATCGAGCGCTTCAGCAACTGCTGCGCTCCTGGACTTCAGGACTCCTACATCAACAACATGATCGAGGAGACTGGAATGACCAACTGCAACACGGTGTCCACTCCAGGCATCGCCCGCTACAAACCCAGAATAGAGGATGAAGCGCTACTCGACCGCGAACAACACAGAAGGTGCAGGAGAATTGTTGGTAAACTTTAATGGTTAGCACACACACAGGACCAGACATTGCGCACGCAACAAAAGAACTTGCGCGAGACCTCGCAGCACCTACCGGACTTTCGCAAAAGAGAGTCAAGCACCTACTACGCTACCTGCGCGGCGCCAAACACTACAAATTCACCATAGAACCAACAGCAACACTAAGAGCTCGACGTTCATGTGGATGCTGACTGTGCAAGATGCCCTACTACCAGGAAATCAACTTCAGGTTTCAGCATCATTTTTCTTGGAAGAACAGTTGCATTCAGCAACAGAACAAACACTCAGTTCAGCAGAATCTGAGCTCTACGCAATTTGGACAGGAGTTAATGAGGGACTAACCTCAGGAACTTCCTACTCGAAACACATATGCAGCAAGCTAAACCTACGCATTCACACAGACCCACAGCAGGCAAAAGCATTGCTACACGACAAGGCACAAGCGCACGAGCAAAACACATCGACCTCAAATTCCTCTACGCACAAGACATCATCAAACACGACATCATCAGAATCCTCAAGATCAACACACTTCGCGACAGCGCAGATTTGTTTACCAAATGCATTAGCAAGGAAACACTACACCGGCTCGCCCAGAGCATTGGGATACGCATGTATCACTACAAACGCTTCACAACAACAGCAGCAGCAACAACAACAACCACAACCACAAGCACAAGCACAAGCACAACAACAACAACAACAACAACAACAACAACAACAACTCCAAACATTTTCGTATGTAGCAGCTACATGTAACATGACACTTTTGGTATGTAACTACATGTAATGCCACTTGCACTTTTGGCGGCATGTTTGGCGGCTTCAGTAACCGCACTACGTGTTTGTTTGATTGTTTGCTTGTTTTGCATGTCTGCCCGCTTCCTGTCAGCAACTACAGGCTCTAGGCACCCCAGTTTCACTTCGATTTAGGACTACAGCCATGGGCCATTTCGCGACTACAATCTCTGAGGGCGAGGCTGGCGTATCGTCTACACCAGAGACGACTACACCTGTTCAACTGCCAGTTCACAACTTCGCCCAACTACAGGCGCGCTACGACAAACGACTACAGACCACCACTGCCACTCAACGCACACCTACAAAGCATCTACAACTCCAGCCAGTTCAACCTACACATCAACCAGACCATCCTACTACGGGCCTTGCCCGCCACTTCACCGCAGCACACCAAATTCTACATCCCCCTGACACTTGAGAACTACTGCTTTCTCGCTGCAGGACAAGATGGTGCCGCTACAATCAACCTCTTCTACAACACGGCCACTGCAGAACCAGCGACGCTACACTCACTACCGGGCAAACTTCATGAGCCAGCACACAACCGACTACACATGTTGCAGCAGCAGAATCCCATTTGTGGCATTACTACAGCTTGACCGAACTACACACCTCCACCAACCACATCAACGACTACATCCTCGTTACAATCTCACTTCCCACAGGCTACGTTCAACAACTACCCAAAGACACACGCGCTGGGCTATTTTGCCCGTGACTACATCAGTCACTCAACTTCAGTTCAAAGCCACGACACCCCTCGCTTGAACTACTACCAGGAGCTTCACTGGTCAACTTCAGTTCACTACGCCCTGTCCAACGGCTACATTTGGGATTATCACCTACCACTCAACACCCAGCAAATACTCCACCTCTACAGCCAACACCATGACGACAGCGCGGTCCAACGTGCTACGCGCTGCGTCCTCGCCAAGACTACAGAATACTACGGACAGTACCTGCCAAACACGCGCGGCTCAGACGCATTTCACTCCCAACTACGACACACACACACACTCAAGCAACTACGCATCACGATGCCTGTCAACCCAGGAGTACAACAGAACGCGGGGCTCAGGTCAGAAAATCCTGAACCACATGAGCGAATCACTACAGGACCTTTGCCAGTCCCAAAAGGGACTACCACCCATGAAACCACATGCGGCGCTACAACACAAATTCCGCTCAGTCCGACTACATCAGGGACTGAATCCTGAACAGCGAGAGCTACTGAGAACTACACTTGTTTTCTTTTCACTGCAGTAGCTTGGATGAAGAACATTTGCTTCCATCACTACTGTCAATCCCACTCCAGTTGAAAAGATACTACATGATCTTCTAACTGAGGGACGCTGTCAATGCACATGCGGTGTTGTACTACATAGCTTGTACATGACCGCAGGCCTTGAGCTTTCACCACATCAAGAGCCCGTGCAAAATAAGAGCTGCGCAGACTACGGTTTTATTTGTGTAAGCAACATTACAGCACTTGCACTTGTAGTAAACAACAGTGAGAGTTTAATGAGAAAGAGAGAGAGAGAGAGAGAGAGCGAGAGAGAGAGAGAGAGAGAGAGAGAGAGAGAGCGCGAGAGGGAGAGAGAGAGCGAGAAAGAGAGAGAGAAAGAAACAGATACAGAGAAAGAAAAAGAGAAAGAGAAAGAGAGTTAGAGAGAGAGAAAGAGAAAGAAAGAAAGTACGAGAGAGACAGAGAAGGAGAAAGAGAAACAGAAAGAGAGAGAGAGAGAAAAAACAAGATAATGAGAGAGAGGAAAAAAGAAAGAGAAAAAGACAGAAGTGAAGCAGAGAAACGGAAAGAGAAGGAGAAAGAGAACAAGAAAGAGAGAGAGAGAGAGAGAGAGAAAAGGAAGAGAGAGAGAGAGAGAGAGAAAAGGAAGAGAGAGCGAGAGGGAGAGAAAGCGAGAGAGAGAGAGAGAAAGAGAAGGAGAGAGAGAGAGAGAGAGAGAGAGAGCAAGAGAAAGAGAAAGAACGAGAAAAAGAATCATAAAGAGGAAGAGACAAAGAAAGAGAAAGAGAAAAGAACGAGAAAGAGAAGGAGAAGGATAAAGATAAGGAGAAAGAGAAGGAGAAAGAGAAAGAGAAAGAGAAAGAGAGAGCGAGAGAGAGAGAGAGAGAGAAAAGAGGAAGAAACAGAGAAGGAGAGAGAGAGAGAGAGAGAGCGAGAGAAACATAGATATAACGATTGTACAGCGGCGCGCGCGCACAGCTCTGCGTTGAATGCGTGGGCTTGATTGCGCGATTTCACGTTCGCCGCTTAGCATTGCGCATGGATCATGAGTCAATGCTGCAACGCGATTGCTGCACGCTAGAAATGGGTTGCTCAGACGTTTGTTTGGCTGTGTAAGTGTAGGTTTCAGTTTCAGTTGTCGAGTAGAGTAAGCAACATCACACCGGTGTACATCACAACATTCTTGCATCACCTTTGTCACACACGCTTTCGGGATAACCGGGGTCTAGTTTTTTGAGGGTACCTTTTTGGCTTTGGTTTAAAGGGGAAACCCAAAGGACGACTTCCATTTTGGGGTTCCCGTATATTGAAACACGCCCAAATTCAGTGGGTCATTGGGCCAAACAGTGCTTGCCTCAAAGTGCCAGAGTTCAATGTGGGTGGTGAATCTGTGCACTTGCAACATGTGGAAAACCCGTTGGTCTGGGTCCACGAAAGTGACATCATGCCCTCTAAGTCGTGGTTTGCATGGAAACAACCCCCCTTACGAAAAACAAAACTTCAGAACCCTCAAAATTCAACCACTTTAATGGACCCCCTTGCAGAGTGCGCCTTGGCCAGGGTCAAAGTGCGGGTTCCGGAGTTGCTGCTCCCCTCCCTCGGAGCTGCGAACGATCGCACCCGCGCCCCGTCACAGGGAGCCATTTACGCTGGCCCATATGAGTCATGAGAGGTTGGTTCAACATATCCAATCTAGGGCCCATTACAAGGGATAGTGGGGAAATCTCCTTTTGTTCATCATTGCATCTAAAACCTCCCAACAGCTGGGGAAAGTATTTCGGCCGTCGTTTCTTGACGCCACGAAATCGGAATCTCCGTTCATCACCCCAATCAAACATTAGTGTACTTCTTCCTCAAAGGCTCTGAGGTGCCGGAAGCTTCCTGAAAGAGTGTCGCGAAAAAACAACATGTGTGAAGTGTCCCTTTGATTTCCCTTTGGACTGATCCATTCGAAGGCACAGAGAGTGAACCGCTTTGGCCAATGCGAGGTGTGCTGAACAACGGGAAGCCGCTACAGAGTCGCAACCCTGCGATCATCATGATGGGAAGTGCGTCTGAGCTTCTCGGCGAGAATCAGGTGAGGTTCGATGAAAGTTATTGGTAGTTTATGGTTCAGAGAGACATGGAACTGCACTAAAGTTCAGGGACTCACAATGTTTGCAACAAAAGCGCAACCCGATGCCTATGTCCTCTTGGAGAGCGCATCAAAAAAACATGGGTTAGATGGGGGCCAAGGGTCGGGCGGTTTCTGCTTTCACCAGCTTTTTTTGGAGGATCCCCTTGCAAAACAGGTGGTCTTTTGGAAGGGTCCTTTGGATTGAGCCCTCAAGCGTGTCATGCTGATGATCTCGCCTGGAATTCTTTTGAGTCAGCTTGGTTGCAAAACAGATGGGGCCAAATTGGTTCTATGCAACCGAGCTGGTCTTAGCTAGGTGCTGCCCATTTTCCCAGGACCCTCTAGTAGTTTGGTTTGAATTTGGGTTCCGGCGGTTTTCTCAAAAGCGCGGCTTGGGAGTACCAACGAGCCACACAGCTCTCAGCCATCGGCCGCGCCGAGTTTCAGGCCGTCCCTGGCCACCAAGAGCTCCAGTAGCCTGCCGAGGTTGCGGCTGCCCCCAGGCGGGCGGCGACGCCCCGTTTCAACAAGACGCCTCCGCAAGAGGAAGCTGTCAACCTGGATGTTGATGTTTGCTCGACGCTTGGGATATGTGCAGCGTCACCTTCAAGAGGGGCCATGTTGAAATGAGCTTCCTTTCGTCTAAAGCCGCCATACAGGCGGAGTTCTGTGTCAGGCGGTCCTTGCTGGATGTGTCTGGGAACCCTACTTTTGGCACGCGGCCTTTTGCGTTAAAACCTTGGCCTACTTTATATTCTATGGCAAGCTCACCTGGGGGTCACGGTGTAGGTCCTTTACTTGGAAACCCATTTCAAATTGGTTGGACACGCCTTCTGGTTTGAAAAGGGGAGATCCCCTGGTAGATCACAATTTTTGAGGGAAGAACTTATGCATTGTTCGGGTTTGCGAGAGGGCCCCCTGACACAGCCAAGGAACAGAACAATGACACAGGATTCCTTCCCAATCTGCGAGGTTTCAAAGGAAGCCGCAAGAGTAGGTTTTGGTCACCAGGGGCTCCCACAATCACAGGCATCAAACAAATACCCGATCCAATACGCTGACACAAGCGCTCATGCTGGTCTTCTAGAGGGTTTGCATGGCTACCAGCTTGAAGATTCGTATTTCTGCCCGGCAGGCACGCTGAACATCGTGTCCCAAGTGGCTATCCAATACGATGTGGATCCTTTGAAGGAGTGGTCGCAGTGGCATGCCTCCAGGTATAAGCTGTTGTTGGGAACAAGCTTCAAAACCATGTTTTGTGGGTGAGTTTTGACAACTCACCCATGTCATCCTGGGGACGGGGACCAGAGTTCTGGTTCAAGATCTCCAGGTCATGGTGACCTGGGTGGGCTTGGTTCAGCGTCCTTTGTACCTGGTCGTTTTTGACGGACTTGAACCCGACAGGAGCCATCCATCCTTCACCGTTCTGATAATGTTATCTCCTTTCAGTTTGGGGAAACTGTAGAAACCCAAAGAAATCGAGCACTGAGGGTGCTTGCAGCGAAAGACGCGCGCTCGGTGCTTGGCTCGCCAGGATTCCCGGCCGGCGCCGGTTCGCTACGAGCTGCCGCCGGAGGCCTCCCCCAGGCGAGCGGAACCCAGGTTCCAGCCTGGACGGGAGGGTCTTTTGGGAAGGATAGTCTGATGCGGGGAGGACGAGGAACAAATGCCCCAAAGAGGGGGGATGGGACGGATTTCTAGGGGGGTCCTTTTGGGGAAGCGGTGATTTTCAAGGCCTAGGCCGAGTGGATTGCTTCAAAATCGGTGGGCTTCGGTTTTCCATTGGTTTAAGAAGGATTCCCTCAATCCCTAAATATCAGGGGTTTTATGCTGGTCTACAAAACCGGATGCCTCACGCTAGTTGCACCCATGAAGCCCACCTGGTCAAATGCTACCTGTCAAAACAACCTATTCTTCGTTGCCTACTTTGCTGGGGAGCAAGTTAAAGCCCAATCACGCCAGGACAGCAAGACAACATTTCCGATTTTCCACGTTGATTGGGGAGGAGCCAGCTCGGATCCTTACACTTTCGTGTTGACCTCTGATGTATTCTACGATAGTAGTACAGGCGACCCCTATAAACAATCATACTAACAACAAATCGGCCAATGCACACCCCTGGTAGAGGCCTCTCTTTTCTTGTAGTGGTTCCCCTTTGTTTTCCCCGTGTTTTCCCTTTGGAACCCAAGCCATGGCCAACATCCGTCCCAGTCCCAAATCCCAGCCAGCCCCAGGCAGCTGGTCCGCAAGCCGGGGGACCCGCCTTTGGAGAAGCTGCCTTTGCCCAGCGGTTCCTTGGGGGAGCTGACGACCTCGCTGAGCCCACTGCATCGCCCGAGCCCGCAGCTGAAGCGGTCCATGCACCTCATGGAGGCAAGGCCTTTGTGCGGAAGATTGGTCCAGGAAAATGGAGGAAGCGCCATAAATGGCTGCAGGCCTGATGGCCAAACCACGTTTGGGTAGAATGGCCCTAAGGTGTGGAACCAAGAGGAAGCCGAGCAATTGAGAAACGCGCCTGCCTTCCTCTGGGAAGAGGAAATCGGTGTTTGGAAAGGGAGCGTTATCGCTTGAGTCCTCTTGTCATTTTCCATGAGCCAGTTTGCTGCCGCAGAGTTGAACGGGAGCAACCCTGTGGAGGGCTTGTTCACGCTGCGGCACATGAACAACAAGGAGCCGAAGGATACGGGGCGCGGGTTCCCGCCCTAGGGGGGTGACAGACGGGTGAAAGAGAGGTGAAGAGGAGCGAAGCGGCGGGAAGGCCACCACCTCGCATGAGGTCTCTTACTTTGTGTTTTTCTTGCGAATTAAGTCATGTTGATGTACAACAGCTCAACGAGTCCTTGCAATTGAAAAAGGAGGAAACGACCTTCAACGTCGCCGAGTGTTCCATCCTTCTTGGCGGCCTGATGTGGCGATGGGGATCCCTTTCTCGGCTGTCTACTTGTGAAGCTGAGCACAACCACTTGTGTGTGTGTGTGGGTGTGTGGGTGGGTGGTTGTGGTTGGGTGGTTGGGTGGTTGGGTGGTTGGGTGGTTGGGTGGTTGGGTGGTTGGGTGGTTGGGTGGTTGGGTGGTTGGGTGTGTGTTCTCGACGGTACCCTTTGACCATTTGGATTGAAGGGTTCTACTTTGGACGTGAGCACCGCTTCCTGAGCTGCCGCCAAGTGTTAGCAGGCGTGAGCCATCGTCAAGTGCACTCTCTCCAAGTATTGAAAGGAGAAACAATATCGATCAGCGGCATCTTGGAATCAAACCTCAGCGACCCATCCGATGTGAGGTCTCCTACCATATCTCCGAGGTCGGAGGACTGGGCCTTTCAAATCAGCGAGCGCCTACTGGAACAGTCTCAATGAATCGGGAATTGCCGAAGGGTTTGTTGGTTGGAAACCGGAAGGGGATCCCTTGAAAGGCAGCAGGGGATGGTTTCCTCACTCCCGACCGTCAGTTTGTGCGATCCCAGCAAACTTTTTCCCAGAGGAGCCATTGCAGGAGGAGCCACAGGCCGGACTTGGCTGTTCTCCCAGCTGGTTTACCGAACCCCAGGCCAGACGACTTGTTTTCCTTTGCGGTTCCTTTGAGGGTCTATCAAATGGTGACCTAAGGTGCCCCGATTACCACCTAAATGACCGGGAAGTTGAACCACGGATTTCGTTTGGGACTTGTAGCAGTGCCATGCTTTCATGCCGAAAGGCTTCCCAAGCAAAATGCACGCCGCAGGTGCCGAAAAGGCCCAAGACGGGGGACGGGAAGAACACCGAGGCAGGCAAAGTTTGATGGACAAAATCCTGCACCAGTTGAGATAGATGAGGAGCCACTTTGATGAAACACATCCCCTACTAGTGCAGGATTTCGTCCATCCACTGTATTTGCTTAAATCTAGTTGGTTTTTTCATTTGAAATGCACAGGCACGGATGGGCCTCGGCGTGCCAGGATGACGATCCAATGCTGCTTGCAGCACTCAAGGATCTGGAGGAGGGACTTTGCTTTTCTTTTGTCGCGCTCTGTTCCTTTGCTGTTCCTTCAGAGGTAGATTGGTAGAATCCTGGATTCTTCGAACCTTGCAGGGGACTGAGCGCTTAAACAGTGAATTTCCGGAGCACCACCGTTTGATCCGGCAACTGCATTTGCGGTTGCCAGTGGTTTTCGGGGTTCTCGAGGGAAACTAAAGGGAAAGGACTCGCTCCTAGGGTTCTCCATAACTTGAGACAAACAGCTGGAGCGCAGCTTCCCCGTGTCTTCCTCGCACGCCCCGAGGACACCTCGGAATCGCTGGAGGCCAAAATCCAGGGCATCAAGGAGGCGAAGCTCATGGCGTGCTGCCCAGAGAGAAGCGCAAGGGGCACGCTGGGATATGTGGGTGTGGGTTGAACCGGGCCATTGGTCGGTCTTCTGTCCAACCGATTTAAAGAGGGCCGGCAAGCAAAATCCAGCACTCCGAGCCTCTAAAAGATGAGCCAACATTAGGGGGTGGACATTTGGTTTGGTTGCCTTTCCTTCTATCAGAGGCAACGCTTCTACCCTTCTGCCACAGTCTCCGTGGCGGGACATGGGGCTTAGGTCCCCACGTTTCTTTCTCCCACGCAAAAAGCTTTGGATGGAGCTGGAGGTGAAGCGCTGCAAGGGCACGCGCCATCCCACCAGCATCATGTCCGACCGGACGATGATGGTGATGGCCCGGAGCCCGAAATCGCAACGAGTTTGGGCGACAAAGGCGGCTTTTTTGTGAAACTTCCGCCTTTTGGGGAAGGGTTCCCTCTAACAAATTATGGGGACCCACAAAATATCCGGCTGATGTGTTTTGTGCATCCCCTGCATTCCCTGCATCATCCGGACACAGCACATTTGGATGCAAAAACATCCTCGACATCCCAGTCCCGCCACGGACTCCCAATGTCAGTTTGCCCAACCTTCAAAAACCAGCAAATACTGTTGCTGTCCCCAATTCCACATCTTCGACAACATCCCCAGCCCGCCCAGCGTTCCGGCATCAGCGGCTGAGCATCACCAGCATTATGCAAACCTGCCAAAATTGGCCCCCTGGTAGTTGTTTTTGCATGGGATGCTTGTGATCAAGCGAGTGGGGCTTCCACGAAAGCGGAGCAGTCGCCACATGCGGAAAACATCGCACATGCTGTGCTTTTGTGTGGTTTCTCCTGGGGTTGAGGGGTGATGCTGGACACGCGGTCGTCGTCTTCTTGGCGGCTGGCTGGGTGGGTGGCGGGTGGGCGGGAGGGTTTTAGAGGGTGGGTGGGTGTGAGGGTGCGAGCGTCCCTTTGCTGGCCGACCAGCGCAGCTGGTAGAGGCGACGCCCAGGAATAAACGGGTTCCGATGGCTTGCATTGCAGAAGCCATGGGTCACCCAGCTGTTGAAAGCGAAAAAAGGTACTCATGGTGAATGGTCACCCTCAAAAAATACAAGACATAGGTGTTTCCAGGAATCAGTGTTAAGCTGACCTGGCAGGGCGCGTTTGGAAAAGGCGGCTTCGATTTGGCCCTTTGGTTTTTTCCCAACCCTCCCCGAAGGGCACCAACTCTCAAAAGAACGGTGTGTCGAAACAGGGAACCCCGACAATGGCATCGGTTTTCCTTGTGGCTTCCCTTTAAGCTAAGGCGAAAGGGCACTGAGCCTCAAACATCACTCGCACACATCTTGTCCTCCGCGCCCGGGCGCATGTTCATGTCCCCAAGGTCCGCAAGGCCTTGCTCCTCAAGCAGGCGGGCGACTAGGCGAAGAGGAAAGGAGTCTTAACAACATATTTGGGTGTGCGTTTGTCAGGCAGCCATGGGAGAAATCCATATTCCGTGTAGCCCGGTATGAGGTTTCCCCTGAACTTCGAGCCACTGAGGCGGTGGGAATACCCTTTTGGTAAGGTTTTTTGTTGTGACCCTTGATCCCATTTAAGGGATTTAAAAATGCATGGCAGGGTTGGGGCTATCGAAAAGAGCCTGTCCTGTTCCGACCCTTCCAAGCGGCATCTATTTGGATTGGGCAACTTGGGCAGGTTGAGGAGCAGATGGCCATCTTCAAGGCCAGCGGCTTCATTTGCTGAGACTTGTTTGCCTCTTGAGCAGCAATCCTGATAGCCCACCAACCGTTTTGAGTTGCCTCAGGGTGGATTCCAATGCTTTGCAGCCATCGTTGCCCATGGATTTGTTGAAGTCGGAGCAGCTTGCAAATGAGTTGGACACCGATCATTAGCCTCGACTCGCTGCGAACAAGTGCATGCATCCACACACATACACGCGCAAAGCAACGACACCTAGAGATCTACCAATTCAAGCTAGAGGCATGACGTGCCCAAATCATCAGAATCAAGATAGATGAGCAGCATGACAACGCCGCCGACATCGCACACTGCTCACCAAGAACAAGGATGATCCTTGACCAATTCAATTGAGCATTCCCGAAAGGCAACTCGCAGCATGGACATCATATCCGAGCTGAAAATAGAACATGTTGACTGTGACTCTCGCTCACACAGACTCACCAAGCGTAGCTTTGATTTCGACAGCCCCCAACAAGCAGTCGCTATGGTGCGACTAGTCCAGAGATTGAGCTTGCGATGGCAGCCCAGGATCGCAGCAGGCTGGTTTGCAGGGTATTCAAGATCCGTGAAGGTGGTTGCGCATTTGGACTCAGCGGCGTTGGCATGTGATTGATAGTCCCTTTGTCGACCAAGGTGTGCATTTTGGAGGTAGTGACAACCCTCTTAGACAGCTGCTTCCCTTGAGCGATTCTCAAGCGCAGAAAGCTCCAGCGAGGACGCCAGCTGAGCAGCCGTCCAGCGCACTGGGACAAGGACCATGTCGCTTTTGTCGATTGGCTCAACCCTTGTAATTCGGATGGCCCCATTTGCATGGCAGTTAGACCCCTTCAGCGTAGAACAAGCGACCCACAGCAACAGACACCAACGGCGCAGCACAACCAGCCAAGCTGTTTGCCCTGATCCTGGGCACGTCCATTGCTTGCTGAAGCGGCGAAAAATGTGGCAGTTTTGCCATGGAAGCAAGAACTCAGAGAGAACTTCCGTAACAAGCCAAACTCTCACGGGCATGCCACTCGCCTGTTGTGTTGCTCTAGCGCAGGGTGGCACTTCTCTTTTTGAGTTGATTGCCTCGGCTCAGGGCACGGTTCCATCTTTGCAGTTGCCCCATTAGAATACATGAGCCACCTTTGGCTTAGAGTCCGTTCGGGCAAGGTGAGCCAAACAAATGGGAATGTCTCCAAATCAGGAACCCTATCCAGGTGTTCGGTTTCGATTTCGTGTCCGTGTGAACCATCCAGCAAGAATATGCCCTCAAGAAAACGGGGACCCTCCCATCCAAAACACAAAGCCACACACACGAAAGTGTCTCTAAATAGGTATCAATCGGTGTGAATTTGAATTCTGGCCCCTTTGGTGGGCATAACCCCTGTTGGGGTTGTCTCAAAAAAGGACATGGGTACGTTTTTTGGGTTTCCACACCCACGCGTTGCGCAGTGGATTGGTTTGAAGTGAAATGAAAAGGAAAACCGATGCCATCTTTTTGTGGAGAGGCAAATCCCTGTTTCGACACCTACCCATATTCTTTTTCAGAGTTGGTGCCCTTGGGGTGGATTTAAGGGAACAACCAAAGGGAAGCCACCTTTTCGAAGGGTCCTCTTCCATTTTGAGACAAACCCAAACGAGCAACGGACGGACCCGCATGAACCAGCACGTAATGTTGTCCAGTACGCAAATGAGCAGTGCCCCAAACCCTCAGTGGTTCTACTTGGTTTCATAAAGCTTACGGCCAGAAGAAAAAGCTTTGTGCGAGTACCAAAGGGCGGTTTCATGGACTGTGACCTTCGATTCCAAGAGGACCCTGACCACCTGGCCGGCGCGAAAGGGCGCCGCCATGAGGCCCTGGCAGGCGTGCCGATTGATTCGAGGTTGCAAGACACCTAAGGCTGGATATGGACGGCGAGATCTGGAAAAATCCAGTAAGTTCCCAGGTCAACGACCCAACAAGTCCCAACACCCGCAAACAGGATCAAATGAGATTTCACGAGCTCAAAACAGCCCTGAGAAGATCGAAGCAGGTTTAGTCATATCTTTCAGGATCCAATACGGTCTAACAAGATTGAATAGGATCTAGCACAATCCAAGAAGATCTATTGCGATCGAAGAATATCTCAGGATTAGTACGGAGTCATAGGATCTAGCGAGCTATATTACAAGCGTTTTACAGGGTCGACCAGGATCTAGAAAGATCTACGAAGAACAAACAAGTGCCTCACGATCAAATGCAATCAATTATGATCAAGCAGCACCTAATGGAACCAAAGCAAGTCTGATATGATCAAGCACGCTCTACGAAGGTCTATTATCAATGACCAGCGAATATCATCGAAGAATCACGCAAAACAATCTCTCACAAGAGCCAATAAGGCCAAATGAGATCTACAACTTGAGTTCCATTTCGATTTAACCAGTCTAATTCCAAAAATGGGAAGTATTTTTTGGCATTCCTTTTTGAGTCATCGCGCTGACCTTTGATCCGAGAATTACTGAGCCTTCGGATCCGTGCAAAAGGCCTTACCCCAGCGCGACACTGATCGGAGGTTGGATCAAAGAGGTGCTGGGCAAGCCGGTCCACCGCAGCCAAGAGGAGCAGGCGATGTGCAAAAGGGTTTGGATCGGATTTGTCTCCATCCAGGCGAGGTAGCCAACACAGGGGAGGGGATGGTTTCTTGGCAGATTGGGTTGGAGTATACCGCGGCCCTTCACAGGGTGGAGTCCCTGGTGGTGGAAAACTGGGGTTTAAGGCCATGTTCAGTAATACCAAGGAACAGTTCATTAAAAGATGCTGAAGTGTCACAGGGATGGCTCACTGTGGTATCAGGGAAGAAGTTGTTTCCCCCGACCATGCACACTGCTGCTAGGGGAAGCGTCACTTTTGGCTTGACCGGGAGATGCGAGCGCAGGCGCGGACCCGGGTTTCAAAGGTAACAGGGGTCCCCTCTTGTTTGCCAGGCAAGGGGTGCCATCCATCGGCCACACCTCGACCACCAGAAGCCAGGTTACCCTCAGTTGATGGTTTGGATTGGCGGTTTGGCATTTGAAACTTTGGTTCCAAACTCAACGAGAGCCGGTTCTTCCAACCCCAAAACCACCAAGTAGAGCTGAGCCGATTGGGGAAGGGCCACAGCGCCGGGCCCGACGACTCCCTGCTGACGCTGCTGCGGAGCGTGCTGGCCAGGAAGGGTCCCTTAAAGGCCAGGTCGATTGAGCGTTTCTCAGATGCGTAGGTGTCAAGGGGAAACTTTTTTGCTTCCTTGTATGCCAACCCCAAAGGCACCAACTCCAAAATCGCAACCCGTCTGTTCTCTACAGGGTTGGCATGAGCCAAAATTGGTGGTTGAAACAAAGGAACCGATCGGCTCAAAATCAGCTTCCGGATTGCTTTATCAGCTCCTTGAACATCTTCTTTGAGGCTGGCCTTTTCGGGTTTGCTTCTTTAAATGTGCTAAGCCCCCTGTCAGTCATGCATTCTATTGGGCAATCAACGCAAAAATCAGAGTTGCTTTAAAGGGAAACCACAAGGAAACTAGTGCAAGCCCATCCTTTTGGTTTCCCAAAAATCATCCAAGATGCCTACCACGCCGAGAACCACCCCCCCAAGTGAGCTTGCCTAAAAGTGGGGACCCTTTTAGGTGCTTGGCCTTCATTTTCGAGATGGTTTTGCGGGTTGTTCTGTTTGTTGTTTTTGTTTTTCCTTTTCGGAGGGGAAACCCATACTTTTTGGATAGTACAAACCAGGAAAAAACCAACCTGGAGGCTATCGTGGGGGTTTGCTTCAAACATTGAAATCCACTTTCTAACGGTTACAGCCCGGGCTTGCTTTTCCGGTGGCGCAAACGCGTCTGTAGCTCCCCTTGTCCAGTTCTGGTACAATGGTGCCGTTGCAACTTTGGGTCGGCCTACCAGGCAACCGCCTGGTTCTTGCTCTACTGCTCCTCTGTGACAGCAGCCTTCGAGAATGCGAGGCGTCGGGCAAAACCAGCGTTGACTCTAATTCGATGGGGCCAGAAGCACGGCTTCCAGCTAGAGCCACGGTGAATTGGGCCACACAATGTCATTTGCTTTTGTTTAATCACAAAGCATCATACTCGGCAGAAGAAACAAACTCAGGAGTAAGTGGGGCAAGTGTCTTCACAGGTATGCATCCTTCACTGACGAGACCATGATGAGTGAGGTCTTTGATGAGGCATGGGACCCGTGGGCGTTTCGGCCATTCTGCATTCTGCCAAACAGCTCCCAGATCTGGAAACCTCACGTTCTCCCGTTCAAGCTTTCAGAGAAAACTCAATTGGCTTTGTCACCAAATTGGAGGTGAAATGCTTTTTTTGTTCCCTTCAACACAACGTCAAACAGGGCTTCCCCCCGCACCAAAATTTGAAAGAGGAGATCTCCCTCAAACACAAACCTGTCAAATGATGCAGAGGTGTACGGGTTTTAGTTTTCCCTTCAAGAGACCGCCCCTTCTATGGCCCCTTCTGTGTGCTTTTGGACACCGAAAGCGTCAGGTGACCGGTGTTGCGCCTGGCCTGCAGCTGGACCGCAGAGCGCGGGCAAGATCTCTTCCGCCCTTGAAAGGATACATTGGAGCCAGCTAAAGGAAAACCCGAATACCGGCTGATTTTGAGGGTTTGTCTTGTAAAGCGGGTAGTTTTTGGATGCATCCTTTCAGGAACTTTTTGCGGGTTTACCTAAGGAACCATCCGAAAATGGCCCCCTGGTTTGCGTACTCAACTAAAGAACTACGCGGGTGCGAGTTTCTCTGGGAACCGACATGTGAGCCGTCTCTCGCTGGAAGTGTGGTGTCCAGAAGCATTCCGTCTTCGACTCGAGGCCATGATTAGGAATGTTTCCGCCCTGGTAGTAGGTGTCAAATAGCCCATAATTCCTTAAGCTACCCAAAAGGAAACCAGCAGGAAAGAGAGTCGCCCTTATTTGAAGGGACTGTTTGTCTTGGATAGCTCACAGGGTATCGCATTTTCCACTCG